TATTTATCTTAAAAAATCTTATTAAATGAATCTTTTATTTGGTTTATGAAAATATCATTGTGAAAAAACTTATCAAAATTATTGTGTTTGAATTGAAACTTTTATAGCTAGCTACTATAATATGTTTATGTTTCCAGAAATGTTGGTTATAATAGTTCATAAAATTATAAAATATCTTTAAAAAAACCCAATAAAAGCCAGAATGCCTGGGTTTTATTGTTTTTTTTTATGTGTGTGTGTGTTTGTGTGTTCTATATAACCCGCCCAATAAAACCCAATAAAACCCGCCTAAAATAACCCCTAAAAAGAGAAATCAATTATTATCAATTAAAGATTTAAAACTACATTATTTTTATTTTTAGTTGAATATTTATGCAGTATAATCAATAATTTTTTTTTTATAAAAGTTCTATAAATTCTTATATTGCACCTTCATTCAATGAAATTTTCAATGATTAATTGTTTGTTTTAATGGGATTAATTGTTTTAGCACTAAAGCATTCCACACCAGAAGTTTCAATTCTGGAATTGACGAAACACCTTGGGATGCGTGTAAGTATCTTTTGACTGTTTTTCAAAGTTTTATGTTGGTAATGAGTGTCAGGCTTTTGTTTCACTTCTTGTCATTTAAAAATAACTATTACACCCTAGTAAGTTTGAGTAAACCTATATTTCTATCACAGTAGTTATTTAAAAACCGATCACAAAATAAAAAATATGATAACAACAATGAAAGGCATTTAATAATGGAAAAAAAACATTAATGCTAATGTGTAAACATAATTTATGTAGTGATTAAGTAATAAACATCTCCTCAGAGTCGCATCTATTATTACTGGCGTTTCGATGAGGATCAGCATTTATAACTAGTTTATCCCGTCAGACAAACGTCATCGCCACTTATGCTTTACCCCGCGACTTATGCCTATTCCATACTGCAGTAAAAAAGGACTCACTACAAATAGCCTAAACCCAACCAACCCCAAATTTGTAAAGCGCCAATATTTTTTTGATGACATGATATAAAAAGTGTAGATTTACTGAACAAACAAAAATAAAAATAATTAGATAAAAAACTTACCATACCACTAAAAGAAAACATGAAAACAAAATAAATTAAAATTCTAATAGAAACATAAAAAAAAAAAAATCTTAGATTCACTTCTTATCATTTAAAAATAACTGTTACACCCGAGTAAGTTTGAGTAAACCTATATTTCTATCACAGTAGTTAAATCATTAGTTTTTTTAAATTTTAAAAACTTTTTTTAAATTTCAAAAAAATGTTTATAAATAGGAAATATGAATTAAATGATTTGGCTAATAACTAATGCTTTTTTGCAAAATGTATTAGTGCAGAATAAATCCAGAACATTTTATTTTGTAAAAGATAATGTGGAATTGTAAAAAATAATGTTCAGAGTTGGTTGTCAGCATACAGGTGCGTACAAAAGGGGTGGGCGTTCATACATTCATACTTTACAAGCGCCCCTAAAAAAAAAGAAATAATGTTTAACAAATGCAAAATAAGAATTTACAAACTCATTGGTATTGAATTTTTTCAGATTGCACTCGACCTTTGGATATTGTTGTACTAATGGATGGATCAGGTAATGTCAATGAACAAACTAAGAAACGCTGGATTTTAATCAAAAATTTTGTGAGGAAGTTTATCCGTGGGTTTGATGACCATTCTAGAATTGGTATAATACAATATGGAGAAAATCCAGAAATAATTCAGGATATTAGAAAGTTAAAGTCAAAAGAAGTGAGTTTGATTTTATTCTTGCTGTTTTTTCAATCTGAATTTTTGCAATTCAAATTAGAAGAGACTATTTTTATTTTTGCAAAAAATAAAACTTACAATGCTTAAAAATTTATTGTTTAGCTTAGCATATCTTTTTCTTTCATATTGCTTTTAATAATAAGTTAATAATTTATATATTTTTTATATTGCTTTATAATTTTTATATTTTTTATATTAAATTAATAGTTTATATCTCTATAAGTTCTCAAATCAAAGTTTATACTTTATATTTATCTTCAATTTTTATATACTTATATATATACATTTTACATATTATATAATAGTTTTTTTAAAGAAAGAAGAATAGAATTTATTTTTTTAAATTGTTATTATTATTTTTTCAACAGTCCATTATACCTAGATAGTATCTACTGAAGCCTTAATCCCCAGTTTATGTAAGTAATGTACATAATGCTAGTTTGAAAACCATGCTTTTGACCATGTCTCAATTACTTTTGAGCAAATAATTTTGAGAAGAAAAAAATGCTATTAAAACAAAGATTCACTGTTGATTCAACTTAGCACTATGAAAAAAGGCTTATGCGGTTGAGTTTATTTTGCTTAATCTTTATTTTGATTTAATTTGCATCCTTGATAACTTAATGGCAAATTTCTAATGATGGGGGCATGAGTACATTTAATTATTCTTGAGCTAATTTCCAGAGAACATCTGGTGTTTTCTTGTTGACTAAGACACTTATGATTCGAGCATGGATGGTCTTTGTTGTGTATCATACTTTTTCTTTAAAGGGGATGACTCTTCTATAACATCTGAATCTGTGCTGATTTTTCTTTAGTAATAATGCCATTATTCTTGTGCTTGGCTTGTTTCTGATTAAAGTTGTTTTAACAAATATATTGTTGAATGTTGAAATATAGGAGAATGTTGAAAAAGTATTTTCACCAGATCTTTTTTGAGAATTCACAAAATCGCCATGAAGCTCATGAATTAAGGCAAGGTGATTTTGACCAATGTCTGAAACAATGTAAAAGAGTTATGCAATTCTATGAGATATGGTATTTACCTGGCTTTTAACAAAAAAATTTATATCATGATTATATTATATGTATAAAATTAAACAAATACATATTATAAAATCTTATCAAATGAATTAAATTAAGACACTGATGATGTTATTTTAGGGAAAACTGGCTTTTGACAAAAAAAATCACAAAAAAAGTTTGCTTTAAAATTTTTTTTTCAGAACATAGCTAATTGAAGCTTTTCCATTTTATTATTATATTATTATTCTATTGTATTTTTTTTTAATTAAATTTTTATAATTGTGAGTGTCCCTCAAACTAATATTATAATAATAACCTGGTTGCCATCACCAAAATTTTAAATGTTTCTTTATCATAACTAACCTGGTTGCCATCACTAAAATTTTAAATGTTTCTTTATCATAACTGACCTGGTTGCCATCACCAAAACTTTAAATGTTTCTTTATCATAACTAACCTAGTTGCCATCACCAAAATTTTAAATGTTTCTTTATCATAACTAACCTGGTTGCGATCACCAAAATTAAGACAACTTAACACAGAAGAGGAATCTTACTAATGTAAAAGTTATTGAATGGGATATAAACCTTAATAAGTTGTAAGCAGCAGAATTTTTGCAATAATCATTAAAGTTGTTAACAAGGTTGGGATCATAACATTTTCAAAAAGTAAAAGTAAAAAATTAAAGTTAAAAGTACTGCTTGACCAAAATACACGAGCAAAATGGTACAGTATGTTAAAAGTACTTTTTAGTTACAAAATAAAAAGTACTTTTTCGCATCACAAAAGTTAATACATCAAACGTTAACATACTATAAATAGATTTTTATACCTTGGAATAAAATTTAAAATACATTCAATACATCACCATAAATATGTTTACTACAACAGACTGGCAAGTTTATAACTATTTTCCATTGATGCGCAATAGACGCTGCTGTTCAAAATGTTCATTTATTATTTTTGTGCGGTTTGACATGAACACTTGTCCTGCTACACTAAATAAATTTTCACAGGCTGCACTTATTTACAAAGTAGTGTTCAGTTGTCTTCAGTCTTGTGTTCAGTTCAAGAAAGGCATTTTTCAACGATCGAAAGCCATCAAGATCATCAATTGATGAACTTGTGCTACTAATGTAAGTTGAAATAACGTTATCAGCAGTGGTACTAGTGTCACATGATGATCTAAATTAAAAGAAATCATCTTCAATTTCAGACAGTTTTTTTATTTGTTAAATTAGCACTTGCACTGTCACTGTTTTTAACTAGCTGCTTTTGTCGAATCTTTTTCTCTAGGAAGTTTAAACCAATTCTTTTTGTTCATTAACTTTGATCCAAACTGTTTTGAATTTTGAAGGAACATTTGCTTTTAGTTTTGCATTCATGATGTTCTGATTGAACCTACTATCTATGGCAGCACCCATGCTTACCACCATTAGCTAGCAGCACTGAATTGAACTATTGCAAAGAAAAAACTGCATTTTTTTTTTTAAATGGTAGTCGGGAAAATGCAAACCATGAAGTGCCAACTAGAAAAATATAAACTTTTTTATGAACCACAGTCCTATTGGTTGTTAATGATGCAATTTTTTTTTTTGTTTGCTGTTAAATTGTTTATATTGCGTTATATTTTAAGGGCCTCAAGCAGAAGCATAAATTTATTTATTAATTTTTTTATTTAATTTTATTGCAACTAATAATATTTCATTATATTTAATTTAAAGGAAAAAATGAGAAAACCCTGTTTTTAAATATCATAACTATAGTGGTCTTTAAAATATAGTTCTCAAAAAAGTTCTCATTTTATTGATACCAACTACCCTTTTAAAGTCATTTTAGTTGGTAGCAGGTATGCCATGTAGACTTTTGTTGTTTCACACTACAGAATATCTAACTCTTGAGCAAGAGGCTTCATAAGAGATAATCTCTGGAACAAGAGGCTTCATAATCTGTATATATATATATATATATATATATATATATATATATATATATATATATATATATATATATATATATATATATATATATATATATATATATATATATATATATATATATATATATATATATATATATGATTATTATTTTTTAGGCTTTAGATAAAGTATTAGAAAAAACTGAGTTTCCTGGTGGTGAAAGAACTTTAAATGATGCATTAAAACGAGCATGGAGAGAGCAATTGAAAGAAACAAATCGTACTAATGCAGATAAAATAATTTTGGCGACAATAACAGGTTTGAGTTACTTATAATCCAAGACCCATTTGACAGGTCTTTATATATAAGAGATTTTTAATTTCTAAAGCTCTACATATATACTATACATAATTGCTCTGCGTGTATATTTTTTGTGTTTGTAAATATAAAATAAGGTTCGAGTGTAAAATACTGAGGAAATAGCAAAAAGGTAAACTCACGGTTGATATAAAATTTTAGAATGTTTGTCCCAGATGGAAGCATATTGCTTTTATTTTGGAATTTTTTTTTTCATTTTTTTTGGTCATGGCAATCCTATACTGACCATCAAAAATTTTTCAAAATGTCAGCAACCTATGTTCAACGAATGTCACCTATCCATAGTCAATGAAGCTATCCAGCTATCCATGGTCTACTTGTATGTCATGGATAAAATTTTGAAATGTTTGAACAACAACTATTGGAAAATCTTCTGTTTTCAGTTGTTGGAAGAAATTTCTAAAAGTGATATATCGATTTTAAAAAATAATGTATCATGATGGCATTTATTTTGACTCTCTAGAAACATAGAGTCGACATTAATGGAAGCCTCGGTTCGTTGAAAACTATCCGATACGATAAAATTTTACAATACGATACGCAAAATTTTTGAATTACTTTAGAAAAGTCATCATAATTGTCTCAACATTTTCTGTAAATTAAAATTAAATAAAAATGGTAATTAAAAATTAGGTATAGTATAATACCAGGCCTTGCGATAAAGCGTCGGGCGATGTGAATTTTACGTCGTCCAAGGGCGATTTTGCGTGTAGCTAGGGCTATTTGCGTCGAGCAAAAAATTTTTTGTTTGAGTATATTTAAAGATATTTTTGAGCGGAATTTTAATGAAGTAATTTACGATTATTTTAACATTTAATAAAGTATTTTAAAAACCGCACGCAGTTGAAATAAAAGTTTGAATTTAAAAAAATTAAATATGCTCATTATTTACAAGTAGAAAAAATTCAAAAATTAAAAAAAAAGTTTAAATCTTTTAAGCTAACATTTTAATAAAATTATTCAGCAATAGCAACGTTGTCGATAAAATTGAACAAAAATACTTTCTTTTAGTTTTAGATTTTAAACTTAAATAATTATTTTACAGGGGTTTGATAGGTTTTAAAATTATTCCATAGATTTAAAAATATTTATTAACTGTTAGACGTATTTAAAGTATTTAAGAGTGATTTCGAGGAAACATTTTAAAAATTGGTGAGGGCAAATAAAAAAAAAAAAAGATTAATATTAAAACGTATTCTACTTGATTCAATAAAAAAGTACAGTTATTAAAATTTTTGTAAAAAGTAACTCAAAAAAATTACTTAAATAATAACGATTGCTTTTATGTTAAAAGTTACCGAAACTCATCGAAGCGTGCTCAAGAACAGCTGCTGAAAAATAGAACGTTAATAGTTTTTCGAATAATTTTTAAGAATAATTTTTAAGAATAATTTTTTCGCTGAAATATTTCTTTTATACCTATAAGATTTTTATTCTAACATTTTATTTTATTTTACTAGAAATAAAATTCCTTGTTAGCATTAAAAATCTATTCAAAACGTTCGTTTAAGTTTTTTATTAATACGAGTGATTGTGCTTATCAACCGCTTTATGAAAATAAATAAAAATAAATAAATAAATATTATATAAAATCGCTTGTAAAAATATTAGCTATTGCACAGTTTTTAATCGTACAATATTAAAACTTTCAGTTTATTACTCGCTGACTTTTTAAAAAGAAAAAATAATTATTTGAAAAACTTTAAATTACATATTTAAGAAAAAAAAAAATCAAATATTAGCATATTTTATAATCTTTTTTAAATTTAAGTTATAATGTTTTTTATTCGTTTAGTATAGACAAAACGTGACAAACGTCGAGAAAATAAACAAATGTTTTTACATATTAAAAAACGAAACATTCCAAAACATTTTTAAATAATAACATTTCTACATAAACGATTTAAAGTAGTTTTGCGGTAATTAAATAAATTGGTGCTGTTAATGTCGATAAATATGAAAAGCAAATAAAAAGAATTTAATGACGTCAAAAATCACGTCGTGCTTATGCGTCGCGCAGTTCTTATTCATCGCAAGGCCTGGTATAGAGCAAATAAATAATGGCAAAATCATTGACTGAAATGAAGGATGTTAAAGTTAAAAAAAAACAAAAGCATAAAATGACTTTATTTTGGTGTAAAAAATCATCAAGATTTCTTACACCAAAAAAATCTAAAGTATTTTAAAACAACTTTAAAATTTATGAAAAAACTTCAATTATACTGACATTTTAAATTATAAAGTTTTTTTATGAAATAGCAATAAAACAATAATACAATTGTTTTATATTAATACAAGCTTTATTAACAAAACGACCTCCCAATATTGGTTTATTATTATTTTCAACAGCTTTTTAGAATAACAATATAATATGCGTTCATTTTAAAAAACATGATGTCAAAACAACACAAGCTTGTGTGTTTTACTACACAAATTTATGCACAACACATGATGCTAATTCAACATATTGCCTTGTATTAAACAAGTAACGCAAGGTCTTGTATAGGAATTTATACATTATCTTGCGTTTAAGCATGCCAATTTTTGATTGTCAATTTTTGATATTCAAGATTAAATACAAAAAGAGACAGTCAAAGGCGACAGAAACTTTCGAAGGACTGTAATTCCTTTTTGATCACGCACAACGAAAAAGACAATTAACACGACAAAATGAAAAATTGTTGTTCTGGATTTGAGCAATTAAAAGAGTTCTGCCACCCTTAAAAAAAAACAGTTTGAAAATAATTTTACGTTTGAAATAAATCTAATAATAAAAAAAAAATTAACACAAAAATGGGAGAAAAAAAAGAGAAAACTGTATAATATAACTGTATAGTATAACTGAGTTTTTTACTTCTTAAAAAATATCGGTTTAACTTCTTAAAAACTATCGGTTTAATTTCTTAAAAAATATCGGTTTAACTTCTTAAAAACTATCGGTTTTACTTCTTAAAAACTATCGGTTTTACTTCTGAAAAACTATCGGTTTTATTTCTGAAAAACTATCGGTTTAACTCCTTATAAAATATCGGTTTAGCTTCTTAAAAACTATCGGTTTAACTTCTTAAAAACAAGCTGTTTAACTTCTTAAAAACTATATATTTTCGGTAAGTTGTTTATTAAAGAATCTAATAGAGAACGCAGGTCAACAACAAAAAAAAAATTTCTGACTTGTGAAAACCTTATTTTGTGAAAAAATGCTTTATAGCAATAATACAAAAAGTATTCGTTTTTATCAAAAACGAATATTATTTTTAAAATTTTTATGAAAATAATTTTTTGATAATATTTGGGATTTTATCCCAAATGTTAAAGATTTGAACCCAAATATCTTTTTAACTTGACGTGATCGTGAAAAATGAGTTGCATATTTGAAATCAAAATGAGAAATGCTCTATGAAAAACGTACTGTTTGCTCGGCAACAGAATTTTTTTTTTGTTGAACTGTAGAATTTTACCTTTAATTGCGCATTTTAAAACATCTGTTTCATCATAACTTCAATAGGATTTAATATGCTTATATATGTTTACGCTACCATGAGAAATTAACGAAAAACTGATTTTTGACAAATTGAAATTTTACAGGTCGACGATTTTTAAAGCCTGATTACGCTAAAAGTTTTCATTCTTATCAGTGACTGATATATATATATATATATATATATTTTCTTTTTTTGTTGCTGTTTTTTTTAGTTTTGAGATGTTATTTTTTGTTGATAACAAGAAAAAATTAATAATAGGTAGGGCAGGGGGTCTTAATAAGCATTTCCTCCCGTTTATTAAGCACCTAAGAGTAAACACAATTAAGATTATATTACAATTTACTTAGATAAAAACATGGTGTCATAAATTTAACTTTTTCGTTTGAAAAAAGCTTTTTAAATCTGGAATGTTTTCTAAATAATTTTGATTAATTTATTTGAATTCGTCATCTAACTGAACAGTACAAATAAATGTTACAAAAATTATTTTTTTAATTCGGACACTCGTTTGTTGGTAAAAGAATGCCTTTTTTTTGTTGGTAAAAGAATACCCTTTTTTTGTTGGTAAAAGAATACCTTTTTTTGTTGGTAAAAGAATACCTTTTTTTTGTTGGTAAAAGAATACCTTTTTTTGTTGGTAAAAGAATACCTTTTTTTTGTTGGTAAAAGAATACCTTTTTTTAATGGTAAAACAATACTTTTTTTGTTGGTAAAAGAATACCTTTTTTTTGTTGGTAAAAGAATACCTTTTTTTACCAACAAATGAGTGTCCAAAAAACTCCTGAAATTCCTTAAGTACCATACTAAATGTTAGTGAATCATTTCAAATCCACATTTTTCTGCATAAAAGTGATATTTTTATCAGTTCTACAATCTTTTTTTATTTTGGTCTGTATAAATAAGATGCAGCATGTTTGTCTTTACTATTTTTTCTTTCTTTGTTTTTCATTTCAATTTGGTCATCTCTAACTGCATTAAACCCATTTAATATGAAATGAACATTTAAAATGTTATCTTTAAACATGTGTTTTAAAATTTTTATGTAATATTAAAGTATTAAATGCATCAATGAAATTGTGTTATGAAATAAATAAACAAATCTTAAATTCATCATCACAATGAATTGTATTATTATATTAATATTATCGTTATATTAGTAATACTGCAAAAAAAAAAAATTGTTGTGACATTAAAAATCAATTTGAAAATTACATTAAAAAAATAATAATAATAACTTACGTATCCATTTTCGTTTTGGCCTAAACTTAAAAGTTAAAATATTTTTGATCAGTAGATCCACTTACTTAGTTTTTAATAATTCTTAGATGGACACACTTAGTTTTTAATGATTCTTAGATGGACTCACAAAACCCATTATTTAAATTATTTGCAATGATGATATTGCAAGTGAAAAATACAAACAATACATAATAATAACATAAAAATAAAATCGAAAATTATATAGTTTTCATATAAATAAATATAACAAATAAAATTAAAGTTCTTAAATTATATTAAGATTATTATATTAAGTATTAGTAAATTCTTAAAAGTAGTAACATTAGTTTACAACTTAAAAATTTGCACAATGTATTAGGTATTTAAAATATCAATTTAAAGTAATGACTTCTCAAAACTCCATTTTTTTAGGTTTTATGCATACCTTTTAATATATATATATATATATATATATATATATATATATATATATATATATATATATATATATATATATATATATATATATATATATATATATATATATATATATATATATATATATATATATATAATACATATATATATATATATATATATATATATATATATATATATATATATATATATATTTATTTATTTATTTATTTATATTTATCGCAAGCACTTTAGAACGTTATTTATAAAATTAAACATTAACTTGTGTTTAATGAAAGCAACACTAGATCAGCTGTTGTTTTCGACACAAAGTTTTTTACTGTGTTAAAAATAAAACGTGTTTTATTGTTAGTACGAACGGGGTAAACAATAATAAATGATTTTAAAATAAACAAATTTAAAAATAAAAGTTAAATTTGTTTAAGGTGACATTCCATATGGATTATATGGTTCATCACAGTTTCTTTCTGACCATAATGTTCGCATTGTTGTTGTTGGAATTGACAAGTATGTTCATTACGAGTTTTTGCAGTCTGTTGCATCATATCGTGATGTTGGAAATATATTTTCTGTTAACAGTGGCCAGCTTGATGACGTAGCACCTTATATTTACAGAGATATTTGTAACAGTAAGTTAAAGTTTATTTAAAAGAATATCGAAACTCAAATAATTTTAAAATTAATTTTTAGCTTCCAATTTGAATTTTTAATTTTTATATTAATTTAAGTATAATTTATCTAAACAATTCTAGATTATTATAATTTATTTTAATTTTATAGTAATTATATTTATAAATTGATTAATATAATAATAAATAAAATAATTATAAGTTTATATAAATAGTATTTGTAATTTATCATAAGTTCTTGTTATTATTATTTTTTTAATTTTAATTTTTTTTTTTACAGACATGCCTGAGTATGTTTTAGCAACGACGCCCACACCTTCAAAAGAAAGACCAATTGATTCATTAAAAAGAAAAAATATGACTAAAACGAAGGAAAACTTGAATAGTATAAACTTTAAATATGTTACATAAGTTATTCTTATAACATTTGTTGCTTAAGAATCGCTATTCGTACACACGAGCACTCAACCATGCATGAAAATATTTTTAATGTGTTTGTTTGAAATATATATATATATAGTTATAATTTTTATTGTTATTGTCAACATCTTCAACTGCATTCCATTTTGGGATAATACAAATGAAGCTTAACCTAACTCCCAATTTTAATTCTGTTTGATTTTTCAATCAATCTTATTTATAAATCACTTACACATTTTTTTTTTCACATTTCACAAATAAAAACTTACATATTTAATATCACAAGTACTTAATCATTTTTATTTTAAATATTTATGTTTATAAAAAGATTTTTAAGTATTATAAAAGCATTTATATATGCAATTATTTAAACATGGCTATATATAATAGGGTTTGTAAGTTTACCGAAATTTTCATTTGCCGATAATTGGGTAAAGGAAAATTGAAATAAAGGTGGACCGATAAGTTTTCGGTAATTTTTAAACAGCAGTAAAAAATTGAGATTTAGCTAATCTAGTAAATCTTTTTTAGGTAGCTTTTTTTTTAATTGAAAAAAAAGTTATTTAAAACTCAGCGGTGCTCTGTGGTAAGAACTTGTTGGAGTACCTTAATAACCATACATAAGAATAAAAAAAAAGTTATCCAAACTCAAAAACCTATCTTATAATAGAGATCTAGTTTTGGTGCAAAATAATCTAGCTTTTAAATAGCTACTTTAAAAAAAAAAAAAAAAAAAAAAAAAAAATTTATCGCTATTCCAAGAGTTTTGCCTAAGTCGATAGTAGTATCGCCATGTTGGTTCTTGGTAACTTTGTAGTTTATTATATAATTGATACAACAAAAAGTTGAAAATTTTTTATTATTTGTAATTATAAATTTTTTTTTTGCTATTTACCGGTAAACCGATAATACAATCCCTGTATATATATATATATATATATATATATATATATATATATATATATATATATATATATATATATATATATATATATATATATATATATATATATATATATATATATATATATATATATATATATATATATATATATATATATATATATATTTATATATATATATATATATATATATATATATATATATATATATATATATATATATATATATATATATATATATCTGTGTGTATATATATGCATGCTTTGGAACCAAATCTTAGTTAATAATGCTAAGTTATTTCAATTATTTAACATATTGTAGTTTTACACTTCAACAATATTTCTTCCTCTAGATGATGAAAGTTTGAAATCATCAAGAACAGCAAAAAGTCGTGGAGAAATCCCAGCATTTTCAAAAGACAATTATGATGAACTTGACGGACCTGTATCCAATCATGTTGATTTATCAAAAGAATTAGGTAATACTAAATATAAGAAGCATCTTATAACGGCGGTAAGAAACGGAACATCTAAAGAAAAAATTGCTACCATGGTTTTAATAAACCCATCGCCAGATGTATTTTTAGGTCTAACTTCGGTTGAAGCTAAAGCTATAAAAAATCAATACAATTCTTCAGAAGAAACCCTAGAAAAATTTAATGCTTTTTTACCCAAAGTTTCTAAAAAGCAACCAGTTATTGCATCAGAAAGCAAATATGTGAGTAAGTCAAAGGATCATTATGTTCCCTTAAACTTTTTGAATAATAAGAAAAAATCAGATGATCAACTGGAAGAGTTAACTTCAGTTGACATTAATAAGGAAACAAATGCTTTTAAAAAGTTAGATAATCACAATGATAAAGAAAGTTATTCTGAAATAGAGGCTGGTCTTAATCGTAAATTTGTGGCGATGAAAGACAAGGCCAAATTGTATTCAGTATCGCATTCATTATCAAAAACAAAAAATACAAATGAAATGAAAATGGAAGTAAAAAACAAAAATAAAAAACCAATTGTATCTATTTTAAATGAAGCAAAATCAAATAAAACTGCTGACAAATTGAACAACAAAGATCATCACATAGAACGTAACAAAAATAGATTCGAACATTTTGGAAAAAATTTGAATCATTCTATGAAAGGATTGGAGCATCATGTAAAAGAATTCGAAAATAAGATAGAACTAGAACACCCAACACAAGAATCAGGTATTCCGATTAAGTTATTTTCGAGCCAAGGTCATGATCCACCAGATTTTAAAAATCGTAATGGAACCAGTTTACTTAACTCTGGATATTTGAATGAATCAAAAGTTTCGGATCTAAACATACATGGAGTAGGTGCTCTTTCTCAAACATTAGAACTACATACAGGTAATGGAAAAGAACATGTTAGTTATCATCCCCCATTTCGTATAACACATCAAAGTTTATTTACAGATAAATTAAGTGATAGAATGAAAATGCATAGTATGTTTTCAAATAAAGAAGAAGGTCAAAAAGAGAGAAATAAACAGCCTTTAAAGTCTTCTTCAAAAAAACTAGACGATTTTACAAATAAATCATTTTTAGATTCAGCAGGGAAAAATCTAGCCGATATTTACTTACAAATTCATAAAGCAGAAAGAACAAATTTGGAAGTTCCTGGTACTGTTGAAGAGTTTCTAGGTAAAAAAGAAATTGTTTATAAAAATACAAATATAAAAACAAATTTAATACCTCACTTATTTTCATCTGCTCTTGACAGTAAAACAATGTCTGTTAATACATATCATAATGCAACGAATCTTCTGGGATTTCTCCATAACAATGTTACTAGGAAGCAAAATATTAATCGTTCGCAATTAGCTTTGACCTCATCTAATCAAAGTATTTACCCTACAACAGATGGCGGAGTTATTGATCTTATAAAAAATACAGTTATTGCAAGAAAAAAGTTTTACATTGATCAAGCTAACAATTTCAATCCTTTCATAGTAGGGGCTGATTATAACGAGGGGTTAGGCTTTGACAGCCAGACCGATGAGTTATATTTGTCAGAGAAACGAAATTGGAATAATAAGCATACTTCAATAAAAAAAACAGGCCACGGAAACCTTTTGGGTTTGAAAAGCAATCTAATTAGAAAAAAACAAAACTCACAAAAAATAGCTCGTTTTTCTCCAAAATTGAATCAGCAGTTTCAATACAACACACAACTAATTCCACCAGCATCAAAACGTCATTTGCCGAAAAATACCATAAATAATGATTTGGCACCAAAGGTTTTATCCAACCTTCACAAAAAAACATTTCATTCTTTTTCTATTGATGGTCTTAAACTCTATGACAATGACGCAGTTATCCATGGAAACATAAGGATAGATGGCTCTAAAGTGAATTTTATTTCTGAAGATATTAATCGCACAAAAACTTCAAACAATACAATGTATACTTTGATTGATAATCATTTTTCTGATGTTGCATCTGAGAACAGCAAAGTTGCCTCTAATGAAGTAAGTACAGAAAATGGGATTCCAGATGATAAATTCAAAATAAATTCTGTCTTGTTTACGAACACAAGTTCAAGAAAAGAAAATATTAGCGAGAATTTAAACCATCCGATAAAACTGTTGAAAAATCAAGTGAAATCACCAAACAAACAACTCATACAAACAAGCAACCAAGTCAAACTGGCTAATATTCAAACTGAACAATCAAAAAATCAAGTCAAACAAACTAACAAACAAGTTATAATTCAGTTAAACAATAAAGTTGAGCAATCAACTAATAGACCTAAACAATTGAACAATCAAGTTGAACAATCAAGTTATAGAACTAAACAATCAAACAATCAAACGAAAAAATTAAACAATCAAGTTCAGCAACCTACTTCAAAAAAAATCGCTGAAAAATTGAATAATCAAGTTCATCATCAAAATAAAACTGATTATCTTATAAATAAAACTGACAGTCTTAAAAATAAAACTGATAGTCTTAAAAATAGAACTGATTATCTTAAAAAGCAAAATTCATTTCAAATTAATGGTCCTAATAAAACCATTGGTATTAACACGCAGATCAATGAAGTGATCAACAAGTTCGAAAAAAAATTAAATGATTCTTCTCGATTGTCAAACACAAATATAACAAAGAAAGAGAGGAATATTGAGAGATTAAACCAGTTGCTCAATACCTTTGAGAAACACTTTAAAGAAGAAGCTAAGATTAACAACATTTCCTATCATATTGCTGATAACAAAAGGAACGAAAGTGTCAGTCATACTTTCTTTCCTAAAAAGTTCTATAATGCAGATATCAAATACCCTGAGAAAAAAAAAGAGACGTTAAAAAAAAATCTTACTAACAATACCCTGAAATTGTTGGGCGTGAAAGCAACTTTAAAAACGTTTGATATAACACCTAAAGTTGAATCTTCCAAAGATAAAACAAGTAAAAAGTTTTTAAAAGAAAATAATACTTTTAAAAAGGGAGATAACGAGATAAAAAACTTTGATGCTAATATTCAAAGATATAATCATAATTTACTTGGTAAAATATCTATGTTAGTAAATGCAATGAAGCCAGTCATGAATGCGCATATTGATTTTAAATCTCAAGGAGAAGAGAAGATAGGAGTTAACAAAGATTTTTCTTTTAAAATTGGTGATCCTTCACCAACATCTCCTTTATACAAACCAACTTCTACACTTAAAACGACTACGCGTCCCACAACAACGTCAACAACACCGACAACGACAGTTACAACTACAGTAACCACAACCCCGTTTACCTTACAGTTTGAATATCAATATAATCCTGCAAGTGGCACCGGATTTATTTTACCGAATTCACCTATCCAACCAAATGTTCCAAATGTGCCGATTAGTAATGCTAGTGTTTTAGAAAATTTAAAAACTGTACCAGGGTTTATTATAAATAACGTGAGTGGAGATCTTACTCAAATAAATAATAATAACAATTTTGCTAATCTCACAAGTACTAATATAGCCATGCCTTCAAGCGATGGTAAAGTTTATTTTCCTGGAAACTTTGAAATATCTGATAAACCAAAACAAAATATTCCCTCAAATATACCAAGTTCTATCCTTCCGTATAACCCTTCTTACACCTCAAAACGTAATGACCAAGTAGTAAAAGGACCAAGTATTGGTTTTCATGGAAACGCCATGTCTCAAGATACATTTCGCCCATTAGATCAAATGATTAAAAAGTTTTACAAAGCTGGAGAGGTCCATCAAGTTATTGATATAAGAGAACCAAATTTAAACGATGCTGAAGAGGAGTTTAACGCTTTAGCAAATCGTAAAGGACTTGCATCAGTAACGATTGCTAAACCATTGCTTGTAAATAATAATCAATTTGAAGTATTGAAGTTATCAAATGGACACACAATAAACAAACCAATTGATAGTGAATTCGATAGCTTACCTATTGACTCCGAGCAAAGAATACCTTACAGTCCAGTTCCAGTTTCACAAAGCAATAATTTTATTCTAAATGTTCCCCTAAAACAATCAACAAATATTCCATTGAAAGTTCATAAGATTTATTATAGCTCTCTTAATCCTGGGATGAATTTCAAGCCTGGGACGAATTATATCAAGCCTGGGACGCAATTTAACACTATTGAAGATGCCCTTTCGGAACCACATGAAGACTCTGTTTCAGATTATCAAAATCGTATTGTTGGAGATCAATTGGGTATTGCAGTGGAGTCTCAAACAGACATTCAAGGCGAAAATCGGCCAGCCCTAATTTTAAACGAACAACATGGTGTTTTTCATAACACGTCTGATGGTTTTCAGGAGCAAATAAGTGGACAACACATTGAAGATAATCGTGTAATAGGTAATCATATGCTAAGTCATCATAGAGTAGGCAATAATTTAGCTGGCAATCATGTGATAGGTCATCAAATGGCAGAGGGTCATGTTTTGAGTGATCATATAGTAAATGGTCACATTGTAGGTGGTCATGAAGTTCCAATTACTGATAACAAACCTTTAAAAATGATTTTCTTTCAACAAAAATACAATGAACTAGACTCAGAAAAAAATAATGCTGGCAAATTTGTGGGTCCAAACGAATTGATTAAATTACAAATTTCCAAAGAAAATCATCACGGAAATCATCATCCTAAAGTAGTTTTGTTTAATCAAGTGCCAGAATTACATGCTATCAATAACAATGAAAATAACCTAGAAAATCATATGTCACAAAACGTAATTAGTCCTTTGGTTAACAATTCAGCATTGTACCCTGAGGAAGAGGTAGGAAACTTTGTAAGCGAACATCAACATAATGATGATGGCTTGCATACGAACTACAGACACCACAACAAACTTCATCATTTACAAGCTCTCGCTCATGCATTACATCAACAGCCAGAATTAAAAAAAGTTCATTTGAATTTAATAAATCAAGAAAACCTAAAATTAAAATACCATTACTTAGGAATGAATACACTTGAACGAAAACATAGGCTCAAAGTTAAAATGTTGGACAAACCAGTTGAGTTTGAAAATCAGAGACGCGTTGGTTTACGCCACTTAAAGAAGGGTTCACGCTACTTGAAAGGTTCGAAGCGCTCTCATAACTTTGCTCATCATAAACGCATGAGGCAGCCAACTTTACCAAAAATTCCAGATTCAATAGTACTACCTTCAATGCCAGATTTCAACTTTAACCGCCTTAGCTACAAACCTCGATTGTTTAGACCTATACATCCTTTAATGACTTCACATGCTGCTCCTGGTTCACACAACATTGTACGTCATGAAAAAAAAGGTTTTATTTCGGCTCCAAGGCGTAATGAACGACGTATGAAAAGAGTTTTAAACGAGAAAAAATGGGCTGCAATGCAGTTACTTAACCAAAACATTAATGGAAAGTTTTTGCATGGAAGAGAACGACCTACTCAAAGTTTTAATAAAAGTGAAAAAGTTGAATACCCTGAGTTACCTTTGACTAATGCATGGACTGAAGCTGATTTTTTGCCTAAGAAAGGACCACCGTTATTTAGAACGAATAAAACATTACTTCTTTACCAATCTCCCAAAGTAAAGGAAACTGTGGCTAAAACTCTGCAAAAAATACTTTGGATTAATGCTCTTGTTGGGCGCAAAGATGCAAAGGAAGGTAAAGGTGAAGAAATTCACAAACTTCACCATGATAATCATGCTAGTTTTAAGACTTATTTATTACATGAACTCGAAAATTATGAAAAAAATTCTGCGAAACAACTAGATTTTCAAAATGCCGAACAATCAGCATCACCAAAAAACATAATTACACATAATTCGCTGCATGATTCTAAATATGGAAATGTGAAGAAAACATATTATGTTTCGAAAACTGCTGGTCCATTTGAAGAACATAATGTTTACCATATTACAGCAAAAGACAAACTGAAAAAACCAGGCTTTACAAACGAAATTACCGACAAGTCTCAAGTTAGAAAGTCTGAATCAAGCAACTATGACATAATGTACCTAGGAAACAATGGAGAAAATGTTCCAAAAAATATTATCGATGAGACTTCATCAGACGGTGATTTGATGGCATTTACTTCTCAAGGAAATATTAATAATAATGCTGAAAAACGAACTAATCAACCAGCAGGAGAAAAGACTAAGTTACCTAACAAAGTAAAGAACCTCAAAGACATGCGTAGTTTAATGACGCCAAAATCTACAAAACAACTCACTTTAGAAGATTTTCCGCGATCATTCTTGATTAAAGATTTTAAGTTAGGAGATATGCCTTTGCTTCCGGTGGGCAAATCTTACGTTTTGTCAACCCCTTCTATAGGTAGGACCCCCCGTCTTTTTTATATTCCTAGTAAATAATAGAAAAATAGAAAAGCATAAAAATAAAATGTAAAAAAAAATTATTATCTATGACAAAGTGTACTATGCATTGTGACACAGTCTTATTAGAATCTTACAAACATACTTTTTAATTGTTTTTTAGTTCATACACATGCTGTTTAACGTCACAAACAAATTTTTCTGCAGATTTTTTATTTTGATTTTAATTTCTTACAGGAACAGTGACAGTAAACATAAAGAATGATATGACTCCTAATGAAAATAAAGGGTCAAATCAAAGTCGTAAAAAAAATCGCTTGTTTCATAATAGTTTACATCGCAATAAATTGTCACGCTACAATAGTAACGATCAAAACAAAAATGATCAAAACGATGAACTAGAAAATATAGACATCAAAGACAAAAATAATCATAAAAGTGAAAATGAAGAAACCAATAGAAACGAAGTTAGTTATTCGAAACCTAAAATTTTTTTAACTGAGCGAAATAACCTTGTCGCGGTACCTGATAATGTTTTATACGGCCAAAAATATGGAGATGATGACGACGATGTTGATTCTAAAGAAAAGCTTGAAAGCGAGATAAAAAGTGAACCTACGAACTCGCTAATGGAGAGTGGTGAAAATCTTCCAAAAGAAAATATAGAGAGTTTAGAGAATAGCGAAAGTAAACACAACAAAACGAGTGTCAATGAAGCCGTATTGACCGATATGGTTCACGCAGTTCTTAAAAATATTGTCAATGAAAGCAAAATTTATATGATGAACCTTATAAATTCTGAAAGAGCTTCTGATTACGTAAATAATTTTTTTAACAGAAGACATGAAACCAGCAACTTTACTGGCGTTTTTAATGAAAATACAACAATCAGTGCACCCATTTTGCAAGGTATCAAGCGTATAAACTCTATTGCCATTGCAAATAAAACTTTTAATAGCAGTGCTTTTATTAACAATGTGACGATGCTTAACAAAAGTATGCAAGTAGATACCACTAACAAGTCTCAAGTAATTTCTTACAACACATCATTTACAAACGCATCTTTTGCTAACATTACAGGTTTAGACAAGAAAAATGATTTAGGAATAAAAGATGATATTTATGTTACCACCAAGATGAATAACGCTTTTAATTTAACAATAGATAAGATTCCTAACGAAAATCTAAAGAAGACTTTCAGCAACAATACCTTTATGCGCATGACTCCTTTAGAGTATATGCTAGGTATGTATCAATTTAATTATTTTAGTACCATTAATAAATAGAATAATAATTTTAATATTTTGTTTTTATATTATTATTATTATTATTATTATTATTATTATTATTATTATTATTATATATATATATATATATATATATATATATATATATATATATATATATATATATATATATATATATATATATATATATATATATATATATATATATATATATATAGAGAGAGAGAGAGAGAGAGAGAGAGAGAGAGAGAGAGTTAAAATGAAGCAAAACAACAAACTTGAAGTTTCAGGCCTTGTAGGCAATCACCGGCCATAAAATACATTCAAATAACTAATTATATCCAATATTTCTATTGTCTGAGCCAATTATGGTTTTAATCTACGGCATAGAAGAATAACTAATCTTGATTGAGTTTTTGTTAAATGTTTTGTTTGACTAGGAAATGTTGTTCGTCTAAGGTTAGAAAAAGTTTACCAATTTTTGTGGTGACAATTTTGCAAAATGGTCAACTGACTCCTGTATAACTATATAACAAACAACTATATAACACTCCTGTATAACTATATAACAAACAACTATATAACACTCCTGTATAACTATATAACAAACAACTATATAACACCTCTGTATAACTATATAACAAACAACTATATAACAGCTTAAATCTTTAAGAGATTTGAAAAACCTAAATGTAATGGGTGTAATGGTTGCCAAAAACCTCTAGTTCAATCTATTAATGATCTATGACCTACAACAACACGTAAAAAATTCTTTTTACTTTACAATAATTATATTAGTATATCATATATTGCATTTTTACAAAAACATTATTTTTGACATCAATGTTTTTTTAACAAATTAGTTATTATTAAACTAAGTTATTTTTTTTCGATTTTTGAATGATTGTCTACAAAACATGAAACTTCAAGTTTCATAAATTGTTCTTTTTATTTATTATAATTATATAATGCTTCATATTAAAATTAATTTTTTAAATTATTGAGTACTTTCTACGATCGAGAATTTTATATTTTAATACAATATTGAACTTATAAACAACAAGTTATTTTTATTCAAAAGAAGAGAAATCTTTGAAGAGAATTATAAATAAAGTAATATGTACTGTTTATATATCATAAAAATGTTTTAAATATTTTTTATAACCTTTTAAGTTGTTTTAAATATTTTTCAGGTTGCACCAAGCCACTTCGTATATTGTACGCTATTGATGTATCTGATGGTCTTGGTGACGGTTTTATACGGAAAAAAAAATGGAACCGACTCAAAGATTTTATATCTGACATAAATAATAGCTTGTTTAAGGATGTAAGAAGCAATTTCATGGTCTATAATATCGAGCCAAGGTTTATGGAGAGTCTAGATGGGTGTGACAAAAATACAGAGTATTTTTTAACAGCGGATGACTGCCTTTGCTTTACTAATCCATTTACACTCTCTGCTAAAGCTGGATGCAGTGTAAATGGCCCAACGCAGCATGAAAGCGTTGAGGACTGGGGAGCTAAGGGCCCTCGCACGGGCCGTGCTCTTGATATAGCAAGGACAGTTTTTTTTAAGGAGAATTTAAACACATTTAAAAACGTCATATTTTTAATTAGTCATAAACAATCTACTGACGATTTAAAATTGGCGGAAATAAATCTAAAAAAAGACGGTATTAGTTTGGTGGATATAGAGCTAGGCGACAGACATGATTTGCGTAAAAAACAATTTATTCCTAAACAACGCCTTTACCGTCGCAGTAATACAGAAGAAAACATTCTTGATGAACATAAAGTGAAAGTTTCTCTCAAGAAACTTCAGCAAACTTTAAGAAATATTGTTGGTAGGGTTTGTAAATCGCAAACTGATGGAGATTTATAAATTGCTTCATTTCTTTAATGTAAATAATAATCGTAATATTAATAATATATAAATAGATAATATAAGATTTTTTTTTAAATTATTTTTTTTTTCAAACTTGTTTTTAATTAAGAACTGTTTTAAAAAATTTCAAATTGAAAATTATATTTTTATTATTTAGAAATTATGTATAGATTTTTTATTTTGACAATTTCAAATAGGTTGCTGGTGTAAATTATTCTTGAATTATATTTAAAAGTTTTAGTAAAAACTGTCTCTCCTACAAATTTTATAAATATAGTTGTTCAGTTGTATGATCTCTTTCTCATAACGATCTCATTATTCGCAAATTGCGCAAATGTTGAAAAAAGAATAAATTTCACTCTTTAAGATTCGTTATTATAACTTTTTTTATTAACTTACTGTAATATTTTTTGACAGCTGCCTAAATCAGGTAAAATTGACTATAGCTTTCAATATTTTTATTTTTAGTTAATAAATATTTTGTATATTTACACTATTTCACTAATCAAAATTAAAAAGAAATAAAATGAAAAAAAAGCCTCAAAGTGTTTGCTGTTCCGCATGGCTGGAACATGATTGGAAAATCACACAACCTTTATTAAAGCTACATGTGATTTTTATATATAATTTAATATATATATATATATATATATATATATATATATATATATATATATATAAATATATATATATATATATATATATATATATATATATATATATATATATATATATATATATATATACATGTGGTAAATCAACTGTTCAAATATTTATGTACAGATTTTTATCTGAAAATTTAATTAGCAGAAAGTCAGACTATGCTTTATTGTCAGCGAAGGAGTGAAAAACCGTATTTTTAAGTCCGAGAAATATATCTTTAAGTCAGAGAAAGCAAAATTTCAACTTTAAACGCTTATGTAACAATACGGTTGTTGCAAGAATAAAGGTAAAGAGTTTACTTTACGGTAAGTAAAGAGTAAACATTTTTGTTTAGCACCCTTCTGGGAGCCAAACAAAAATGTTTTTCGAAAACAAACAAAAGTTGTTATAAAAAATCAAAATTTAAAATTATTAATCGTAATATAACAATATAAAAATATATAAACTTAGTATCTGAAAGAAGATCCAAATGATTTTGTCGCCAGAATATATCAAACGTGTATATATAATAAAAAAAAAAAATACAATTGATTTAATAAATATTAACAATGTAGAATAAACAAAAATTGAAAATAATTTTACAAATTATCCAGAGTGAGAATAATTTACATTTCAAAATTATTTATATATATTGCCAGTAGAAAGAATATAGTTTTTAATTTAGTTTTAAAAATGGAAAACGAAATTGACAAATCAAAATTTGGAACAACAATTTTGTTCCACAAATACGGTGCTCGATAGTTAATGCAAAATTGATTAAACTTTGTTTGACAAAAGGGTTCAATTAATAGATTATTATTTCGTAAAGTGTTTGTTTATAGCTTTACGGGTAAAAAGATCTTTTTCAAAATGAACAATGGTTGTTCACTTTTACAACGAAACATAAAACATAAAATATTATAGACATTGAGTTCGTAAAAGTTAAGTGCTCTAACGATTTTAAATAATAAGTTTTAATTACTAAGTCCGTACCGTAAATTACTCGTAACGTAAACGCCTGTGGTCTATAATAAATGCTAAATTTATAAAAACCACCCTGCAAACATTCTATAACGGAATTTCAATGGACCTATATAGATATTTTGAGTGGTCCACTGTAGTTTTTTTCATTTATTACTTGATTTCACTATATCACATGTTAGAAAATTATCAGCTGGCCATTTATAGTAGTGCACCTAATACCGAAATCATTTTTCAATACTGGTATTTCGGTACTGAATAATTTCAATATCGGTATTAAATTTTTTTCTCTTAAACACGTGTTCTTCGTTAAAGCGAGTAACGTAATGCTATAAATCAGTGGTGGGTATTTAAAAAAAAAAACAAAAAAACAATGCATGGAAACTCGTATATGTTTTGTCTATTATTTTCATAATAATAAAACTGGCAATCTCCAATTTACTTTTATTTAATTCTAATCTATATAAATATCTTATTTACAAAGAATGGTATTCATTAGAATAGATTACGTTTGAAGTAGAACGCACGGAGCAGAAAAATTTTTTAGTCACTAGACAAATAAACTTTAACTCCTTTTAAAGTATAAGTTCCAGCAGTTTTTACTTTTTTTTAAATAAAACTTTAAATATTAGTTAAAATTTCCAGAAAGTTACGGGATAACAGGATAATATGCTCAAAGTTATGGGATAACAGGATAATATGCTCAAAGTTACGGGATAACAGGATAATATGCTCAAAGTTATGGGATAACAGGATAATATGCTCAAAGTTATGGGACAACAGGATAATATGCTCAAAGTTACGGGATAACAGGATAATATGCTCAAAGTTACGGGATAACAGGATAATATGCTCAAAGTTATGGGATAACAGGATAATATGCTCAACTCTCAAATTATTAGAGTAACATCAATCGTTTGAATCCAGTTCTTGTATGTATGCACGGAAGTTAAAAATTTTGTCGAGTTTATGTATTTATTTTTTTAAAAATAAATTGCTTGTGAGTATTTTAATTGAAATACTATACTTCTACAACTCATATATTTTTGATGAGAAATCATCAAATATTTCCCGCTAGAGTAAAGTGTTTAGAAAAATGTTTTTCAAACTACTGCGTCATCAACGCACACACAACAATAAAATTACAAAGATATATATTTAAATATTCAGGTAGCCTAAATAATGAAAAAATATTTTTGTTATTTTCTTTAAGAAAATTATAAAATCATGCATATTACTATAAGTCTTCTATTTGTAAAAACAAAGAAAAATAAACGCGCAGAAATGAAAATTGCCTGCCTTGTTCGTAGAAGGAAGAAAGAGTTTTACTTTCGAATTAAGCAAGTTTTATCTTCGAGTAAAAATTTTTCAATAGCTTTTTATAAAAAATCAATGATCAAGCATTGTTTATCGGGCCAAGAAGTTTTAAATATTCCATTTTGTGTTTTACGTGAAGAAAGCGATCGTGCACAACCCCTGCACATATATATTTTTATTTTGTGCTTAGAAAAGGTATCGGTACTACCGGTCATGGATGCAATAATTTAAGACGGATGCCGTTAATGGCCTGCTAGGTAAACAATAAACGAAACTCCAATGACCGTTCAAAATACCTAAAAAAGTCTACTGCAAGTCCACAACAAAAATGTTTGCTAGGTAGTAATTACATTTTTAACACTTTACAATTTTGTTTTTAAGGTAATTTTTAGCTATTTTCAACAATTGATTAAAATTTACTGGAAGTTATCTTGTTGACAAAATTTGTTGAAAATATGCCTCACTGATGCAAAAGGTTATACTATTAAACATTAAAATCGGTTAAATGACTGAACCATTTAAATAAAGTGAGGGAAAAGCATTCATAACAATAAAAAGTATTTAACAACAAAAATGTGAAAAATAAGAAACTAAAACAAGTTTCTTAAAGCATAGCCACGAAAAAATTGACTCAACTTTGAGAGCTTAACAGTTAACTAAAAATGATTCAAAAAAGTAAACTTTTTAAAAATAGACAAAGCTTAGTACTACTTTTTCACACACACAAAAGTTTTCTTGATTATTATTAAAAATGATATCAAAAGAACAAAATAGCTGTAAAAGAGTTTTGCGCATTTACTTAGAAACTACTGAATCATTACCTAGAACAATTTCTAAACTAGCTTAAGTAAGTCAGTTAACTGCTTCTCGGGTTACTCAAACGTTACAAAGAATCTTTATTTATCAATCGCAAGTCAGAATCTTGGAGAAAGAAAGGGTTTTAGAATAAAAAGTTGGCCTCAGAAATTTGTCTTCATACTTGGAGAATACTGGACTATGAAAAATTTTATGCTGGCAAAGCGTGAGGTTGTCAGCGATAAATATACAAAGCTGGATAAATTTGGCAAAAAATGTATAATTTGGCAAGCAATTTGTAGCTGTGTCAAAAAGTGCAAGCCATTTTTAATATCAAAGTCAACGAAGGTCAAACTTTACAAGAAGAAATGCCTAAAAAAAGTGTCTTCTACCTTTTACAAAATCATATGCTCCTGTAAAGTTTTTGCCTGCATAAGCGAGCTATCTATATGCTAAAGCAACAATGAGTTGGTACTGAAAAATGACGTTGGAACTATACCTAAAGATCACAACGCGCCAAATTATCCACTAATATGTCCTATAGAATATTTTTAGGCTATTTGTAAGTTTAAGTTAAATAAGACACAAGTTAAAGTCAATACAGAATCCGAGCTGCTCAAAAAGTGGAGAAAAGTTTGTGATAAAGTTCCCGATAGCACTGCACAAAACTTGATGAGGGGCGTTAAGCCTAAAGTTCGTATTCTTGCTCAAATAGAATAGTTTAATAATTGTCAAAATATAGATGAATACTCTATATGTTAAACTAACTTTAATAAATATATATGTATTTTTTGTTAATTAAACGCTATCAAAGTCGAGAAAATTTTTTCGTGGCTATATTTAGTTTTGTTAAGCTCAACAGTTTTATATACTTTTTTTTTTAAATGAAGGAGTGTAATAGAAATTACAATTATTTAACATATTTGAAATAAAATAAAAGAACACTCGTCACAAAATTGAATTTTTTGCTTTTTTTAAAAAACAACAACAAACAGCATTTAGTTTTAAAGATAAATATAAAAGTATTTTTATAAATTCATTTTATACATATAAATTTTTCACAAATTACATAAAATTATTATCAAATCTGTAGACAAAAATAGTTCTAAAAATAAATTTAAAATAGCTGATTTTATTTTAAAGGAGCATAAATTAGAAACTAGAAAAAGGCGCAGTTTAAATTTATGAAACGCTACTAAAGTATGCGAAAGTATGAAACACTACTAAAGTATGCGAACGTATGAAACGCTACTAAAGTATGCGAACGATTGTGTGATATATAGACAAGAAAATGCAGAAATCACTGATTCACATAATTGAACAGTGTTTTTTTGCTTCTCTTTCAAATTCATCTTCTTCTATCTGAACATCAACGGGTTGTTTACCTTCAATATCTGGCATATATGATAAAATATCGAGATTTTGCCTCTCATAAAACAACATATATGGTATTTCATTACTCAACACACTAGGATTAACTTCCTAAAACAAGAAACATTATATTAAGAAAAAGTTTCTAAAACAAAACAAGTTTGTAAAAATTAAAAAAATATATCATCTAAATGAAAAGTTATTAATAAAACTTAAAAAAACAGTACCATTTTAAGCACAAATTTGTTACTTTAATGATAATACAATTGTTATTTTGACGTTCTTTGTATAAATGGCAGATTTTTAAAAATTAAAAAAAAAAATGATTTTAATTTTATGTTTCTTCACAGAAAACATTGTGAAAATTCGGTTAACAATGTAACCGAAGATCAAATCAACTCTATAAATTTAATCTCATTTTTATAATAATGAATAATAATAACTTAAACTTGAAGTTTAAAAACATTTGACTTTCAAATGTTTTTAAATATTTTTTCACAGTACTTGAAGTGTAAATTTAAAGTCAAATAAAATTGTCTTTCTAGCGGATAATATTGCAAAATGACAGACATAGAGAAAAACTTCTAGAAGTCTCGATTATTCATTCATTCTGATTATTCAAGAAGCCTTTTTGATTGATGTAGTTCTTACTTCAAAAAACTCAAAGAGTCAAACTACTTAAAAATGACACATTTTATTCCAACAAATGACACATTTTATTCCCACAAGATGACAACAAATACGCAAGATAAGGATAAACCATAAGCAAAATATTAAGCCTACACCCATGTACATGAGTACAGGCTTATGTACCATATACATGAATACATGTTCATGTACCATATACATGAATACATGTTCATGTACCATGTACATGAGTACAGGCTCAGGTACCATGTACATGAGTACAGGCTCAGGTACCATGTACATGAGTACAGACTCAGGTACCATGTACATGAGTACAGGCTCAGGTACTATGTACATGAGTACAGGCTCAGGTACCATTTACATGAGTACAGGATCTTTTGTAGCTCTTATAGTCTTTTATAATTTTTTGATAAGATTTGAATGTAAAAAACTAGATACAATTAAAAAACAATTTTTATAATTTGTATAGTTTAGTTAGAAAAGGGTAAGAAGTTTGTCGGAGATTTTTTTTTATAATTTGAAATTTTTTTTTTAAAAGTTATCACATTTAAAAGATATTTTTTATTTTATTTTATTATTATGTTAATTAAATAAATCCATTTTTATATTAGGAGAGAAAAGAAATAGAGTTTAGATGTAGAAAAGATAATAGTGAGAAAGCAAAATTAGCTAAATTGGTGACAGCTCAATGTTTTAAAGCTTTTAAACTACCAGATACAATTTATGAAGAAACAGAATGTAAATCAGTTCAGTACGCCATTTATTTGAATAACCTTTTTTTAAAGGTTGATGGAAAAGTTGAAAAAAATGCAAAATATACCTCAAAGGTTTGTTTTTAAAAAAGTTTAACATTTTAATCAACTGGAAAGTTAAAGTTTTTCTTTTCCTGTACTTTGAAATTTTTAACCTAAATTTAAAACCTTAAAAAGAAAAGTTGTGAAAGATAATTATTTGTTTTCTCAATTTATATAATAAGTTGTGCAGGAATTAAAAAAAATATATATTTTTTAGTAAACAAGTGAAAAAATTGCTTTATTTTACAAACTTATTAAAATTAGCTAATAATTTGAATAGAATAAACTTTTTTTTCAGATGATTTTTAAAAACCAACTTTAGCAGCAAAAAGTAAAAAAAGAATGATAATACATTAAAAAATGATAATACTTTGAAGTTAAATTTATAAAAAATTTTAAAGCAGCACAATAGCCTATAATCATGGTCATATTCTGTGTTTACTGCAATTCCTAAGAAAACACTTTGTTTACTACAATTTCTAAGAAAACCCTTTGTTTACTGAAATTTCTAAGAAAACCCCTTGAAAGTATGAATATAAACATATTGTAGCCACACTTAACGCATTTTATATTTAAAGATTACTGTAGAAAAAAAGAGATATAAAAAACAAATTCAATCTATATTATTGATCTAAGCATTTGCAGTAGATTGTCCACAACTATTTTTGCTGTGCATTATGTAACTAAAAAAAGAAAAAAAAGAAAAGAAACTTGATGAGCAATATTACTACATTATTTAAAGTTGACTTTTTTGTAAAAGTAACTTTATCAAAAGTTGACTTTATTTGTAAAAGTAACTCTATCAAAAGTCATTAAATTGCTAGTTGAATTCGAAAATAAAAATGATTTAATGATTTGTAAACAAAAATAATTTGCTCTAAATAATATTAAGATTAACATTTCTATATTAAGAATATATTATATTATTTTAAATGTAATATTTATTTTTGTTTATATTTAACTAAATTTTATTTTATGTGTATTTCTTTTTTTGTTTATTTTCTTTGCTTTGTAATTAACATTCCTATCACTATCTTACAACACCGTTTTTCAGAAATCTCTACAATACTATCTGTGGTCAACCTAATTGTCATAGTCTTACAAAAGTATTCTCAAGAAATCTCTAAATTACTCTCTAATTTATTTAACCAGTGCAACCAAGTGAACTTATTTTTTTGCCTGTTAGCAAATGGCATCTGTGGTTCTAACTTAAAAAAACTCTGGTTAACACACTGACCCCTCTATTGTTTAATCAGCCTTTTCTCTGACATTAGCAAGGTCTTTGAGTTTTTAACAAACTTTTTATCTTGAGTTTAATAACTTTCTGACATTCTAATTTTCAGTCTCTTTTTCTAGAGCTGTCTTGTAAACTGTTAAAACAAAAAAATTCTTTTGTGTGTTATATAGAGGCAGCAATAGCCCCTGAGGCAGGGGCTATTGCTCTTATAATATCTTTCGATAAAGTCTGGAATGCCAGTCTTCTCCATAAGCTTGCTTTTTATAATGTATCTGAGTTTTTAAAATTATTTAACTCGTTTATAACTGCAGTATTAAAACTATCCTTAAGGGCCAACACTCTATTTTATTTCTAGTAACTTTTGGGTTAACACAAAGTTCCATCCTTGGGCTAACACAAAGTTCCATCCTTGGTCCTACATTGTTTTTTATTTATAGTAATGTTTAATATGCTGACAACACATACTTCAGCCTTAACAAAAAATCATAACTTTTTGATCTTTTAAAATGATTTTGAGTGTGATCTCTCATATACGACATCTTATGTCTCTCATATACGACATCTTATGTCTCTCATATACGACATCTTATGTCTCTCATATACGACATCTTATGTCTCTCATATACGACATCTTATGGCTAAATTTTGAGTGTGATCTCTCATATACGACATTTTATGGCTAAAATTTTTTGTTCTAGTTCAAAATTTAAAAAAAAAAAGGAATTACTTGAAGTAAGATTTAATCAAAACAAAACAACTTTTTTTTTAGTGTCAATAATTAACACAGTGTTATTCTTATATTCATGAATGGTGCATGCCCTAAACACTTCTGCACATAATTGCTTTAGAATTTTCTCCAATGTTTTATATTATCATTTGTATTAAAAAAATGTTTTACAAAAGTATTTGTATTTTAAAAGCTATTTTGACTACAATAATGGCTGACTTTATTAATGCTTTGTTTTCATATTTTCCAGATTCAAACAATTTATAGTTTTCAGGTCTTTTGTCAACCATTTTAGAAACTTGCTCTGTAATATATTTCTTTGCTTTCTGGTAACATAGATAATGATTGTCTTATTTAAATATCAAACAGTTTCAACCACTAATTGTGATTGTTTTCATTTTTGTAGATCAAGACTTAAAAAAAAGTTGTTGTTAGTTTTAGATTTGCTTAACAACAGCAAGATTGTGTAACAACTGCAAGATATGAATAATTTGTAATTATTTTGTTTTTTTGAACACACAAAAAGTTTATCAATGAGTAGAAAGTTTACAACTTTGTAGTGAATTTTTGAAGCTTTATTACAAAGTAACTATACAAAAATTATGGTTGCTATTAGTTTCTAGTGTCCATAGCAACCAAATAAAAATGGAAAAAAAGCACTACTATAAAAATTTGTACTATAAGAAAAAAAACTGATAATTTTTAATTATGTTAATTATTTTGTCATTATAACTATTACTATGTTTAAACATTTTTATAAGTCTGAGCACCCAAGTATTCCATTTTTATAAGTCTGACAAACACTTAAATTTTTGAATAAAACTTTAATAATATATGTTTAATAATATAAAAGTTATGTAAAAAAAAAAAAATTTAATGCATTTAACCAGAGATATTTATAAAAGTTAGTGGTTTTTGTATAATTTATTTGCTTGTTTTCTTTTATTACTTTTTTTTTGTTTTCTAAAAGCATATTCTGAAATGCTAATAAAAGATCATAAAATTTTAAAACTTTTTAATGACCATAATTTTTATGTTAAATGTTATTGCAAATTAATATGTTAGCAATAATAATGTTTTGTTTACTTTTTTTTCAATTAACAAAAATTCATATCTGAACATAAAATTTTATATCTTAGAGTTATAAGATTTAGAGAGTGGAAGCAAAAACTGAAGAAAAAAAAACTAGCAGTCACTTCAACAATTTTAGTCCACAGACTTTTGGGAAGTGAACAAGATAAAAAGATAAAAAACTATTGAAACTTTTTTTGCATTATTATATAAATAACTAATGAAATTTTTAATGAAATTTTTATAAATATATAATTGTTTAAATAGTTTAAATATACCTTACAGGAGCTGTCATTATAATAATACCATTTCCCATTTGGATTTTTTGCATATGTAACATAATGACCACCGTTTAATATTCCTGAATGGCACTGAAAAAAAAAAAAATAATAATAATAATAGCTTCAAAAAAAAAAAAAAAAAATGTATGTATGTATGTATGTATGTATGTATGTATGTATGTATGTATGTATGTATGTATGTATGTATGTATGAGATAATAAAAGCTTGTTAAAGATTCAAAAATATTTTCAATTATAGTAAGAAGACTGATCGGACAATAGTTAAAAGGTGACAATAGTTAAAAGTCCTTTTTAAAAGGAGTATTTTTTTTTTCAGTTGACAGGAAAAAAAAATTTAGTGAAGCTAAAAAAAAAGCAATTGTTAAATAGTTTAGTGAAGAGATTTGCGGTAGTGGTGTAGTGGTAGAGTGCTTGCTTCATAAGCAAGAGGTTCCAAGTTTGATCCCCACCATGTCACTGGTAGTACAGCGCTCAACTTGTTTCTCTGCGCAGCGGCCTTGTTTGTCAAGGTTCATCAAGTGGGTATTTTTTTTTTCAAGTGACAGCCTTATAACTATGGTGAAGTAATTACCTAAAACTCTCAAAAGCATAAAAATAAAATATATAAATACTAAAAACCCTTTGCGCAAATCCATTTTAAAGTATTCTCAAACGTTTGAAAATTTGCATAAATAACTCATATTGTTTAACTATTAAGTATTGTATTTTAGATGTATAAGATATCAGAGAATAATTTAATTGGAAAAATTTATTGCCCTTCCAATATTTTATAGCCAAGAAGTTGTATATATGGAAATTTGATTTATGTAAGACAAAGCAAATATTAGAAAGATATCATTTCCTTTTAGAGCTGGGTCCTACTAACTTCAGAAATCTTCCTATGGGTGCAAAGGTCAGTGCAGTATTGTGACAGAACCTATTACAACACATCTGCGAAACCTGCCACCTAAAAGAAAAGAACTTGATACAAACTATAGTCAATTGTTTGATGATTTGTCAGACCATTTTAGAAGTGAAAGTTCAAAAGATAATAGTAGAAGTGATGGTTACACAATCCCATTGAAACATGCTAAGATCACCGGTAAAATGGTAGCTAAGATATCTTAAAATAAAGGGTATCAAATAAGTTGTACGACAAATATTACAAAAGCTGTATTCGATGCAGTTGGTGAAACATCGATTTGCAGATCCGCAGTCCAAATAGAATCTACAAGGCTAGTGCATGATTTAAGCTTGATTCGGTCTTATATTAACTCTTGTGAAGAAATGTGGTGCACACATTTTGGTGGTAAGAACATAGAAAAACAACATTATAGCAAATGCATTTCAAGCAAGTCTAAATCTTTGGTTATATATTTGAATAAATTAGCAGCAGAATTAGCTTGCAGAAGAAATGTTGACAATATAATGAAGCTAAAATTGCCATTAACTGGTAATTGCCTTGAGAGTTTAGAAAGACACTATAATATTTGGAATGATTGTCCATTAGACATTGATTACACAAATGAAGTATGTGAAAGATAGCTTGCGAAAGGTAAATTATTATTCAAAGAAACTCCATCAACTTAGAAGCCAAGTTTCTGAAACACTGTAATAAATCTTGATCTGCCAATGTGGGTTAATGTAATAAAATAATTCAGTGTTTGAACTATATTTACTTCTATGAGACAATTTTCAAAGGCGTATAACTAAAAATTTTGTTTAAAGATATTTTTTGTTGAGTTTATAACTCAACAAAAAATATCTTTACCCCAAGTTACATTTTATGCATAGTTTGTAAGCATGGAGGCTAGCCACATTAGACAATTTGCAGAGCCTGTGAATTTGGGGGTCTTTTTTCAAATTTAGGGGTCCTTTTCCAAATATACTAATTTTTTTTTTAGTAATACACCTTGTAATAGAAGTTTTTTAGGATTTTAAAGCTCTAGTTTCTAATAAGACAGGTTGGAGGGGGAGAAAGGGGGGGGGGGGGAAGGGGCTCTGACCCTCTAGCCACAACACTGCTCGTAAGGTATTTTCAGCTCTATGTAAATTTGTTACTTTGTTTTATTCAAGCAATATTTTAGTTTATAAAAGTTCCTTTTAAAAACAAGACTTTTCAATCTGTCGCAACAATTGATTTTTGGAAAATTTTATTATTTCAAAAAAGCGAGTTTGCGCAGAGGGTTTTTGAATCGGTTAAAATTATTTTCTAAAATACTTTTTATACTATTTCTTCGCCGATAGTAATAGGGAAAATGAATTTTAAGAAAAAAAATCTAAAATTTCCCACCACTACTGTGGAATGTTGTCCCAATCACAGGAGGAATTTAAATGAGAAATAACTTTACCAACAAAAACAGGATATATGGATTTGAATATATAGATGTGCATATGGCATAAATGACACATTGTGGTTATTATATACAGCATGTTGTGGTTAGGGTCTAGTAAATACAGCATATGTTAAAAGTGTTAACTAGGCATACACTGTAGGTTTATTTTAGATATTTTAAAATAAAAGTTAAAAAAATCTCATACAGATATTGCATAAAGATTGTAGCTGTTTTCTTTACTTGAACCATTGTAGCTGTTTTCTTCACTTGAACCACAGATTTGATAATTTATGTCTGAAGTTAATGAGCCATTCGTTTCCTCAAACCTTTTAATATCAGTTACCGATAGGCAAGGAGAATCATCATGCGTTTCCTAAAAATTAAAATTCAATAAATGTTTGATAGTACTATTATTATTAAGTTATAAAATTTAATTGGTCAATAAATTATACTAAAGATGGAGCTAGTGTAACAACAAGAAAATGTATAGAATATGTGGTGTACTTAGAATAATAGATCATGACATTCTTTCATATAACTGCATTATACATCAGAAGCAGTTATGTGCAAATGTAATAAAGATAATGTGATGTTATGAAACTTGATATTCGAACAGTTAATTTAGTAAGAAGCCATGGCCATATTCGCTGACAGTTCAAACAAATGTTTGAAGATTGTGGAAGTGAGATTTTATATAATTAACAAATTGATATAAATAACAATTATAGGATATAAAAATACAAATTAGTTAAAAGTTATAAATCAAAACTTTTTTTACAGGCCCTAATAAGAAAAAACCTTTATTGTACTTAATTTTCAAGAAAACTTGAAATTTTTTGAATGAATAATATTTTATTGCTTATCAATTTAATCGACTAAGGCGCTAAAGTACACAATTTAAAAAAAAAAATAATAAAAAAAGAATTGACATCTATGAAAGAAAAAAAAAAAAAAATCTCAATAATTTTAACTATTTAAACCTAAAGAGATATTATAAATGCATAGGCAGCAAGTACTATTGCAAATATTATTTCAATGTAAAAAAGAAATTAAAAGTAGTATTATGTTATAGCAGTTGTTGAATCTTTCTGAATCACTCCAACTCTATCTCTTTCTGAATTACTCTATCTCCATCTCTTTCTGAATCACTCCTTAATATTTTAAACCATAAGTAAAAACATAAAAAAGTTTATTTAAAGAAAATTAAATTTTTTTGTTTTTAATTTTATCTGAATTAATTTCATTTGTAAATAGCGCTTATATCTAACATAGTTGTCATTAAAAGTTTTGTAATCAAATTTTTTACATAACTTTCATTCAAACTTTTGTGAGGTTTTTATGATGTTAATTAGTTTCTTTGTCTTCTTGCTTAAAAGGAACCACTATTAGAGTTCGAAGTTACTGGAAGAGAAAAGATGAAGTCTATAGAGCAAGATAAGGATTGACAGATGATTTAAAAGATTGCAAATTATATGAATCTATAAAATTATATGAAGATAAAGGAAGCGAATTCTAAAGATGATCATCGAGGAAAAAAACTAGATAAATAAGAATTTTTGGAGCACTTAATAACAGTCACAGTAAAAAGATGAGATTTAATTGAATGGCACAAGAAAGGCTAGCTCTTTAGAGCAGTGCCGGTTATAGTATTTGTAGAAAAGAGAAAGAGAAGAAACATTATGACACTGTAATAATGGTAGGAGGTTGGCTGCAAGAGCAGGTCCAACTATGTTTAAAATGCTTTTTTAGACTTTGTCTAAAAGAGACAGAGCATCATTGGAAGATCCGCCCCAGATGCAACAACATTATTCTATACAAGGATGGATTTGAGATTTATAAACAATAGAATCAGAGTTAGAAAGTACCACCTTAGATGTGAGAATATCTGGAAGATTATTAATGTACAGGCGATGATCAGAAGGTAAGTTATTAGATTCAAGATGAGAGATTGTTTGTTAAATAAAGCTTATAATAGAAAGAAGACTAATAGGACGGTAGTTAGACAAGCCAGATTGCTCCCCAGAGTTTTTGAAAATAAGGATGATGCTGTTTTTCAGCAGGTTAGAAAACTCTGATAAACTTATTAAATAGTTTTGAAAGTATAGACAACAGCTCCAGAGAACACATTTGAAACTAAATCTTTCTCCTACTTTCTTCCTTATATAAGCTCTCTTAGCTCCACAGAACACATTAAAGGTACTTTTACCACTACCACAAAAGCTCCACATTTCAATTGTGCTGTTGTGTAAATGACTTTTACTTTGAAATGTTTTCAGCTCGCAATAATAGTTTCTATGCTGCAATTCTGCCACTCATCATGTAGACATTTTATAAAAACTCTATACATATTCTGTCTGCAACTGTACTAGTGTCTTTTATTCTTGATTGTTGACCATCCTACTTTCACTGTCTTAGCAATGTCCTTGTATTTAATTCCTTGATATGCCATGACAATGATTTGAAATCACTTTTTAGTTGATAAATTCTTATACATTGTAGACAAATATTTTGCAAAAAGTATACACAAAAATAGAAAATATATATATTTAAAAAAATAAATATACAATTAAACAAAAATTTTATTTTTTAAGCATTTAAAAAGTTTTGTCTTAAAAATAAAGTTTTACTTAATAATTACTCTGATTGAATGATATTATAGTTAGTTTAATAATTAGCATAAATTAGCATAAATTAGAATTAATTATTAAATACTAATTAACTTTGCTGTAGTCACAGATGTCAATTTGAGATGGTGTATAATTGTTTTATGAGATGTAACAACCAAACACCATTCATGATTCATAGTATGATGTCATTAATGACATTATACTAAATCATGTTTAATTTGTTTGCTAAAAAAAATGTTCAAATGTTGGGATCAGCTTATCGATGTTTTGGTAAATACTTGATGTTAGAACTTTTATTACAGTACGGTAGGATTCGTCAAATTTCAAAACACATTTATTTATATCCATCAAACTTTATTTAACTCACATAAAAGAAAGTTTTTTTTTTTTTAATATCATACACTTAAAAGAAAACAGGTTTTTTAATAAAAGTAATTTATTTTTTTCTAATAATAACAGCAATTCTGTAAATTTCAAAAACCTCTAAAAAAAAACAGCTAACAATTTTCTTTTTTTGGAGATACATACCTTCATAAAAGCCAGTAATAATAAATGTGACTCTGAGGAGATGTTTATTACTTAAAGGACAGTTATGTTTATAAATAAATTTACATAACAGTTAAAGTTTTATAAACAAATTCACATTTAAAGATTCACAGTTAAAATTTTATAAGTGTTCAAAGATTTAAAATAAATAAAGGTTTAAAGTTATAAAATTTATAAACAATTAAAGTTATAAAAGATATAAAAACTTACAAACTTTTTGTTTGTCAATAAAATAAATAATAATGAAAAAATATATACAATGAAGGTAATAAAAACACTCAAAAACCTTTTAATACAAAAAAAAAAACTTACTTTACATGACATATTTGAACTCAAGCTTTTCTTGATTTTAGTCATATAAACCGATGGATTAAATGAATCAAATGGGAAACGCACATGCTTATTTGATTTTACCCATTGATTGTTTATCATATGAAAACGTTTAAGATGTATAACCTAAAAACAAAATTAAAAAAAATAAATAAATAAAAGAAAAAGATAAATACTGGAACCATAAGATAAGTTTTACAAGAAAAAAAAACCTTACTAAAATAGGAGGTAATTTCCATATATCAAATTTTTTTGCAATTTTACGATGCATGTTACATTTTGAGCAATACCTGAAAAAATAGTTTTTGAAATCAATAACTAAACTAACAAAAAACTTGTTTAATAAAATAATAATAATAAAAAAGTATATTAAGTAAAGCTAAAACAGAAGACATAAATAGAAAATAAAATTAAAGACTAAATTAGAGATTCAGTTTCATTTTGGCTGAAATGAAAATTCGTGACAATAAAAGCAAAGATTTATGTTTGCTAATTCCAATTTTGAACTCATATCCGATCTAATTTCAAATGTTGACTGGATACCATGCTTCAGTAATAAAAATGTACAAAAAATGTTTGATGAACTGATTTTTTATACTGAGGTGGCATGTAATTATTTCACTCCAATTAAAAAGACATTAAACTCTTTATAAATCAGACCAAGGTTAATGCTAGGTTAAAGTTTTTTTTATAAAAAGCGAACAAAATTTAAGGTATAAAAACCGCTTGTGTAAATGGAAAGACCTGGTTTTGAAATCTAAATACAAAATGATTTGCAAAAATGTAGCAAAGAAGATTAAAAAAGTGAGACAAAACTTTGAGTTTAATCTAGTAAAAAGAGTCAACAAGAATCCAAAGCTTCTCTACAGCTACATGAAAAATCAACAAGTAGTCAAAAATTCTATAAAAGTATTAATCAGAGGAAATGGTAAAACCACTCAAAATTTAAAAATTATTGAAAATGTCTTAAACAAAAATTTTCAAGCCGCATTTGCGAAAGAAAATGTCTACTGCTTTCTTTTGATTTAAGAACTACAGAAACATTCGTTATGACAAATTTTACACATGAAGATGTTTATCTAAGAATAAAAAACTTAAAAAAAAAACAAACTAAGTGGTGTTGATACAACTTACATTCAGCTATTTTAAAGAATTGTCAGCCTTCGCCATTCCACTTACATATATTTTTAAAGATTCATTTTAAACCAGCAAACTGCCAGTGCAATTTAGATCAGCAAATATCACTCCTTTGTAAAATAAGGCAAAAAAACCTTGGCAGAAAACTGCCAATCGGTATCTCTCACTTTAATTGCATGTAAAATAACGGAAGGTATAACCAGATATAAACTTGAAACTTTTCTATATAAGTTCAAACTAATAGTCAACTAATAGTTTTTTTTTAAATTTGGAATTGTAATTTAAAAAGATTCTTTGGTTTTTTTATTTTTTAATGTTCAGTGATCAATCATCAAATAGATTCTATTTTCATATAAATAATTCTATAGATCCCAACTAAACTTGATTTATAACAATATCACATCATTACACATTACCAAAAGCAACAGCTGATCATTAACATCATCAATAACAATAGCTTATCATTACACATTACAACATTCCCAATAGCCCATCATTAATATCATCACAAACAATAGTACATTATTAAAAATTATACCATTCCCATAAAGCTATTATTATATTATCACCAATAGTTAATCATTACATGTATTAAATCATTACATTACATTAATCATTAACTCATTGAAATTACTTGAGAAGTTGAAATTCAATGAATATTAAAAGTTATACCATGTTTCATCATCTCCTAATTCTTCTTCTTCAGTAAAATTTTTCAAACAGGTGTCAAGCGATACAGTTTTGTGAAGCTGAGCAAAACTCTCTCCAATGCTTATATGATCATCAAACTGCTGAAATTAAAAAAAATATTTTTGAAAAAACTTAAGTTAAACTTAGTATGAAATGTATGTGCTAATATAAGAAATGTATTTGAAACAATACTAATGTATTTGAAACAAACTAGTCACTTATTTTCTTAATTTGAAGAAAAAAAAATTAATTCATTAAAAAAAAATTAAGTGAATAATATTTTGAAGTTTAAAAACAAATTTTGCTAACTAATTCAATGAAGAGAAGAAAAACAATCATGTCACTTTTTATTCTCACTTGTCATGTCACTTTTCAAGCTCACATAACACGTTTTAAACTTACCTGCTGTGTCACTTTTTAAACTCACTTATCATGACACATTTTAAATTTACTTGTCGTGTCACTTTTCAATCTCACTTATCATGTCACATTTCAAACTCACAGGTCATGACACGTTTTAAAATTACCTGTACCGCCACTTTTCAAACTCACTTGTCATGGAATGTTTTAAAATTACCTGTTGCGCCACCTTTCAAACTCACTTTTCATGACAAATTTTAATCTTACCTGTCATGTCACCTTTTTAACTTGTCACTTTTAAAGCTCACATAACAAAATCTAAAGAAATTACCTTTTCTTTTGAATATTGGTAATACAAGTGAAGAATCATAGAATCCCAATCAATTGCTAGGTAAGAACTTGTATAAGCAAATCGATGAGAATCACATTGAATCACACAACCACGGCAAAATCTGTAAATAATAATTCATTACTCTCATGGCAAAAGCATACTTAATAATTATTTAAATCCTTAATATTTTTGTTCAATTTTTTTTTGATTTAATTAAAATAAGATAATTGATTTAATTAAAATAAGATAAATAAACATAAAAGTTGCTGAATTAATTTATTTGTGTTGTAAGAACATGTTCAAACCATATGTATTAAAAAGTTTATATGAACACTTAATATTTAAATAAAAAACATAATCACTAAAATGATAAACTAAAATAACAAGTAAAATATATGAAAACTTTGGTTCTAAACCTTTGGTTGAATCTAAACACAGTTTATTATTTTTTTAATGAAAGGCAAAAGATGTTTCTTTATGCATTCATATACATAAAACTAAACCTTAAAAGACTTCTGAGTATTGGGTAAACTTTACAAACCACAGTTACGGATTTTTGCCATACATAAAACTTCAAGGCAAATTTTTCAGTTTGAATATACTTGAATTTGTTGGCAACATGTCTTCTAACAAAAAGAATGATGAGTTGGCAAAGTCAGAATTTATTATTGCAAGAAATCAAAGTAAAAATGTGCTGATGCTAAATTCTCACCAAACCTCAGATGTTAAGTTCTAGAGATTTTTATTTTGTCATTAAACAACTTCAACAGTCAAACAACAGTCAATCGACAGTCAATCAACAGTCAATCAACAGTCAATCAACAGTCAATCGACAGTCAATCGACAGTCAATCGACAGTCAATCAACAGTCAATCAACAGTCAATCAACAGTCAATCAACAGTCAATCAACAGTCAATCAACAGTCAATCAACAGTCAATCAACAGTCAATCAACAGTCAATTAACAGTCAATCAACAGTCAATCAACAGTCAATCAACAGTCCATCAACAATCCATCTGTAATTCATGAGTCTGATCTTATAATTGATTAGTATGATCTTTGCAAAGAACCTCTTAAATCTAATTAGCTCACTCTTTTTACCATTCCATTTAAAAAAAGTTACCCATCATTAGACATCCAAATCACTTCAGTTTCTGTTGCTAAAGTCATTTCTCAATTAAACTCTTCAACTGCTTGTGGTCCAGACAATATTCCTATCAAAGTCTAATAAGTGTTTTTAAGATTTCTCTTCAACTTTCTCTAAATTATTTAATAAGTGATTGACTGAATCTTGTTTATTTGTCTGATTGAAAATGGCATCTGTAGTTTTTATCACTCAATTTTTAAAAACTCTGGAGCACACTTACAACTTTCCAACTATTGTTCAATCATGTTGCTCAATCATATTGTTCAATCATATTGCTCAATCATATCATTAACAAGATTTTTGAGTCTTTAATCAACAAACATCTTTCACTCATTCGCTTTTACTTATTCACTCATTCGCTTTCACTTATTCACTCATTCGCTTTCACTTATTCACTCATTCGCTTTCACTTATTCACTTTCACTTATTCACTCATTCGCACTAATGCTTTCACTTATTCACTCATTCATTCATTTTCAGCTTTCACTTATTTCACTAATTCGCTATCAGACTTTGACCTTAGCTTTCTACAGCTTGCTAACTGCTGCAATCAAAAGATTTTATCATCAACAAGATGGAAGTGGCAAGGCAAGGGCTATTGCTATTATAACATATCTTACATATCTAAAACTTTTGATAAGGTTTGGCATGCTGGTTTTCTTAATAAGCATGCTTCATATAGTGTATTTGAGATATCGTATAGAGTAGCAACTACTATTGTGGTTGCTATCACTAGCATGTTTGCTATCAATTCACTATCATGGTTGTTGCTCAAATGAACTACCATCATTAGTTCAATCAACCAAAACTCATTCTTGATTGACTCCTCGTTCAAATAGGTGTCATTCAGTATCCTTTTACTTTATACCTTTAATGCAATAATAAAATTTCGCTTTTTTTTTTTGATAACAGTCTGATGTTTGAGGGCTTGAGCTACACTTTAAAATATATATTTTTTAAAAACAACATTCAGAAAAAGTCTTCTCAAATTGTGTTTCATATAATAACTCTAGATTTAAAAAATTCTAATAAAAAGATAATTTTTAGGGTTAGCTCAAAACAATTGATTACACAATTTAACAAATATAATTTTGATATTTCTCAACAAATATAATTTTGATATTTCTCAAGTTTGAGTTGAGCCTGAATATGATATTTTTTTTGAAAAAAAAAAAATATTCAGATTCAAAAACAAAAAACTATTGAAATATAAATAATTGAGAAATACAAATTTAGTCAATATATATCATTTCAAAATTGTTTTGTTACAAAACATCATGTTACATCATGTTACTAGGGCATCCAATACCGGACCAAAAATTGAATACCGGTTTTTCAGTATTAGATTAAGTGAAAACCGAAATACCGGTATTAAAACCGGTATTTACTATTACTAAAAAAACATTTAATAAAACCCAAAGGAACAGTTAAACGGTTCCAAAACTTTATTGTTTAAGTTAAAATAATAGATATAATTAATTAATTTCAAGCAAAAAAACATAAAATAGTTATTTATTACTAAAATAGGCCCGCAAAAAACATTAATTATTTAAGGTTTCGTCATTTAAAGATGATCGTATTTTTTTTACAAAAAATTACTGATGAAGAGAAAGCCCGTTCAGCTTCTACGCTAGTTGGGGGAATAGTTAAAATATAATCATAAACCAACATCAAGTTGGTACCATGTGTACCGTCTTCCTCAAATATAGAAACTTCTTTTCGCACCATTTTACTCAAATCGTTAATATTTTGCTTTGTTTTTGGTACTGTTTTCGTTTTTATCTCATTATTTATGTCCATGTCTAGCTGCTCCTGTAATGTCAAAGGTTCGTCTTCACACAGTATAGAATCTTGGTCTTCATCTGTTTCTGATGGGAATGCTGCAGTTTCAGTTTGCTCGGATCAGAGCTGCTGGATAAGATGCACAATTAAATTAACCAAAGCAGTTTTAGTTAGCCGATCAAATATGATATCTGAACTAATTCTGAAATTATTTTGGGCTTGATCACCTTTATGAAGATATTGTATCAGATAAAATAAATTTGTGCGTCTTTCTTTTATTTTTTTAATCAAGGAGGTTTTCATATTTTAACTTAATGGTCCTACGCCCAAATTTTGCAGCATGAATGCCAGGGTAGCATCAGCTGATAGTAGGTTAGCATCTCTCCGACATAAAGCCTCTACAGCCAATTTCACTGGTAACAACATAAAAACTGTTGATAATATCAATTCTAATTCAGATTCCATAAAATTATTAGCTGAGTTTAAGTCAATCAGGGCTTTTTGAATAGAATTTTTTAGTTTATAAAAACGCACTAGCATAAAAAGTCTTATTATCTAATATTAATGACAGTTCATTACTGTGTTCAGTTTTTACATAAACTTGAAGGATTTCATTTTTGGTTGGCAATTGCCTGAACAGTTTTACAACTTTTCTAACTTTGCTTATCAATGGAGCCAAATTATTTGCAAGTTCATTTGAAATTGGCAAGTTCTGAAAAATCCATAGTCCGTCTAAATGCTCTTCATTATTATCAATTCTACAGTTGTTGTTTTATACAAGACGTCAACCACAGCCAATTGGATGGGTAAGACAAAGTTGCTGGTCAATGGATATTAACCGTCCTACTTTCTTCATAACATAAGCACCATCTGTAGTAATACATACAATATCCCAATCAATATTTAGGTTGTGTTCGTTCAGTATGTTGTTAATTAACTTAACACACACTTCTGCTGGGAAATGTCCATTAACTCTTGCTAAACCCAAATTCCAAAATCTATTTCGAGTATGAACGTTAATGTTCAAATAATGTCTATTTTTTACCGAAGTCCACTCGTCAAACGTAAGACTAAACCAATTTCCTTGCTGTTGAAGTTCAGATAATTCTTTTATTATTGAGTTTCGAATTTTAGTAGCATATTTCATAACTATTTGATACAGATACAGATTTCTCTGTGTCAAAACACGCACAAAGTCTTATCAATGAGAAATACCGGTATATACCGGTATTGAGAGTTCGGTATCGGTATTAAAAAAACGTCCAGTATACCGGGATACCGGTATTGGATGCCCTACATGTTTCATATATTACATAATTGTACATTGTTTTGTAATTCTCTCAAAAACATTCTTGATGCTCTTTACTCACATCACCCAAACTCAATCTAATTAATTCAAAATTGACATTTTGTATTTCATATCTGGATACTGTAGAACTAAGTTTTTCACTAGCTCTTTGTAGCTATCACTTTTTTTGTTGTCTAAAAAGTATGAATAACATATTAAAATTTTTTTTTAACAGCAGATATTTTGTTCTCTTTTCAAAGCAACATAACTTTAATCTGTGGACCAAATGAATATATTTACTGAAATTAACATATTACATAACTGTATTATGATACCCATAATAGGTCCTGATCTCCTTTAGCCTTTAGTATGCAATAAAGAACTTTTTTACCAATGAAAATCATATGTTTAGTTTGAGTTGGACTAATATAATAACCATAAACATAACAGACTAAACATAAACAACTTTTTTGTTGTTTTTCATTAAAACCTAATAACCAAAAACATAAACAACTTTTTTGTTGTTTTTAATTAAAAAAATAATTTTAGTTATAATTGAATATGAATGTAAACAAATAAAAATAAAATCCATTAAAAAATTTAAATTAAAACAGAAGAAAAAACTCACTTGTACCAGGGACACAAAGAGCAGAAACTACAATCTTTATTAACAACTTTTATTTCAAATGGATATTCACTAAAAAGTAAAAAAACTATGCAACTATAACTATATTACAATATTGTTTTTACAATTTTTTTTTTTTTTAATATTTAAGTTTAAATCTTAAAGTTTTGTTTTAAATTAATAAATATACCCTTTTTTAAAAACAATTCCATTTATATAACGTGAGACATGCAGTAAAATACAATCATATAGATCTTGATTAGTCATATTCTTGGAACAAGCAAACACAACAGGTATACCAAAAGTAATTGGACGATACTTTTGCCATGAAACAAAATATGAATTGGACTGAATCTAAAAAATAAAATAGGTAATCATATATTTTACATATTATTTTAATAGAAACGACTGAGAGTAATGTAAACAAACTGGTACCATTAGAATAATTATATTTATGTGTGTGTATATGCACTTGCAGCTGTTCAACAAACTATTATATAATTAAATATATTTTAAATTTAGTGTTCTTTCTGAATTTGAGTTATTAATTAAGTTACATAATGACTTAAGTGATTTGTGCAATATTTAAAGAACCTTGAAAAAGATTCACTCTCTGATTTTCAGCCAATGCAAATTTTTAAATTGCTGGTCATTTAATTAATTTTTTGGTTTTAAATACTAGTCTTGCTGCACAACTTTGAACGGATAGCATTATTTTAATACTTTCTTTTCAATTCCATAGTAGAGGGTGTTGCAATAGTCTAGCTGTAAAGAAAATAGTGAACATAATAAGCCATCGTCGGATTAAGGGTCTTGGGGGCCGAGTGCAAAAATTATTTTGGGGTCCCTAAAAGTATATATTCTTAAATGAATGCAGCAAAACATGATTACTTTTTTATTCATAAAGAGCTTTTTCTTGCTTTCAAAATGGCAAATTTAGTTACAGTAACTTCAAAATTTATAATTTATAACAAAGTTTTATCAATCGTCATTAAACAAAGAGAATTTAAACAACCATTTAACATTAAATAACAGAGATCATTCTTAACTCTTGCCATATTTGAAAATGCTTGCTCTGCACTATAATTGGTTATGGAAAGGGTTAGAAACATCCATTATGCAATGTCAGCATTTGGAAAATCTGATTTAAACTTATTCCTATGAATTGGTTTTAAACATCTTACTACTGATATATTCTTCTCATTTGTCATAAACTTGGAAAACTGGACAGTTTCATCATGGAATTGTGTATTAAAGTCTGAAAGATAAATAGTACGCAAGGATTTGGCAGCAGTAACAATGACAGGAACATTCATGGTCAGAAAATTAGTTGAAAACCAAACTTTCTCTCTGCAGAATCATAAGCAGAAAGCCTTTGTTTCAAGCACATTTCCAACTTGTCTATGATAGAGAACAATATGTTTAATTCTTAATTTGTCACAACCACTTAGAACCACTTCACTACTTACTCCTACTTTGCTTACTCTGCTTTCTTTGTAGTTTCTCTGCTTTTCTTGTAGTTAGTTATAGTTTGCACTGTTTACGAATAATGATTGAGAACCTTCCAACACATTCCTAAATGTCAAAAAACTCTTTACCTTCAGGTGTCACATATTCCGAATGAGACACAAACAATCGCACAAAAATGGCACAAAAACTCAAATCATTCAACAAATCTTCTCAGATTCCCTTTAGTCTTTCATCATTCAACTGCTGTTTCTAATAAGCGTTAATATTTCTTTTTATTGTGACTTTACTAAAACAGCACTGGACCGCATCAACAAGCTGTTTGTTTGTTCATGCCTCTGTATAGAATACTGTCAGCGTGACCAGTCATCGAATCCAGTTCTGAATTTGTTATTTTAATCTTGAAAAAGCAGTAGAAGAAACAAAATTTCACCTTTTTTCAACCTGAAAGAAAAATAGTTCAGAAAGAGAGAAGTGCCTTAAATATGCTTTTGTCATTTTTTTATATTTTTCAAAATCTTTGTCTGCAACATTTTGATCTGGAATTTTTTTAATAAAATCAAGTAGCTTTGCTCTTCTTTCAAATCTCTTCACAATCCTGTGTAAGATTGACATATAGAAAAATTGAACTGAATCAAAAAAATAACTGTACCATTATTAGTTTTTCATTAAAAAAGTCGCAGTAGTGATATAAAGGTCCTAACAAACCTACAACTGTAGTGGCATATATATTTTAAAAACTTGGGGCCCCTACTAAGACCATATTTTTCCGGGGACAAGTGTTTGTTACTGTGCGCTTGGGTTAATCCAGCATTGTATGGTGCACAAATCTTTATGCATTACATTCATGGCATATGAATTGTTTTATTTTGTATATTTTGCTCATTATATTATTGTTTATTATCATTTAACTATTTTTTTATTTGCATTTTGAAAGATAATTCATTGCCAAGTATCACACCAAAACTTTTTTATGAGTCAACAAATCTTATGCATTCCTCGTTGACAAACCTTTTTCTTTTTGAATGTTACACCATAACTAATTTTTTTTTTTTCAATTGGTTAATGCTTAAGAATAAATCACTCATCCATTTAAATATGTAACTAAGACATTTTGCTAGTGTATTATATTTAAATAAAGAAAGGAAAAAAAAAAAAGCTCTTACAGCTTGGTGATCATCTGAGTATCCAAAAGTTTTAACATTGATATTCAGATAATTTTTTTGAGTTGTCTTATATATGTTAAAAGGTTTTGAACCAACAGCTGTACTTTGGAAAGCTCCATAATTAACATTTAGGTTTGTGGAATATGAGCTACAAATTTTAACTTTTTAGGTTAACTAAAAATGATTCAAACCACTTGTGAGCTGAGTCAATTATACCTATTTCACTAATTAATAGTTCAAGCAGTTTTTGCTGCCAAAAGCATTGGTTTACCAAAAAGTTCATATATGTCATTGATGAGTTTAAGTAAAAGTGTTTCAGTCAAGTGATGCTTTTTGTATCCTTATTCTATATGAAGAATGATTTCTAAAATGTTTTTAACAGCTACATAGAATAATTTTTAATTTGTTTAAATAATTTTAAATCTTAAATAATAGCAACTTTGAGTTTTTTTAATCATTAATATAGTTTATTTTATTCTTTTAACACTAAAGTTTTTTATTTCTTTGTTACTACTGTTAATGTTTATTGAAGTTGCAAATAATTGTTACTGAAAGAAAAGAGTCTTAGATGAAATTAATCATCTAAAGATTGTTAGATGCTAGACGAGGGAGATATATATACAATATATTATAACTATACAAGGCTATGCTGCAAGACATGGGAGAACACATTGTATAGCAAGAAATTCCAGAATATAACAATTTAGATGAAAAAAGCAAATATAAAAAATTTCCAGATGAAACATATTTTTTTATGTTATCATAATAGGAAGGTACTATTTCTGCAAATTTCACATTTTATTTGTTCACAAGAAGTTATGTAGATTTTTAAAATATAATAAAAACTAAAATAAAAACTTTTTTTTTTACTTCATACACAGATAGTTTAATTCAGAGTGCTGATAGTTTTAGGCTAGATCAAATTACTCTTTTAATATATCTATTGAAGCAGTAAACTTAAACAAAACAGCAAAGGAAAAATTTAGATTAAACTAAAGGCTTTAGATAAAAGTTTGTGTTCTTTAAAACAATTATATTCATGCAGAGGTTTTAACAGGTGTTCCTCAAATTCAGTTAGCTCCATAACATTCTTAAAAATTGACGAAAACCAATAAAAGTCAAGTTCAAATTTGATAGATTTGGTATATATTTAAAAAAAAGAAGCTATTTCATTTGCCGTGCTTTATAAGTTACTCAGCACTCGAAATAATTATTCAATGTTGCCGATCAACATTGATTGGCTGAAAAAAAATAATTAAAAACCAGACAATCAAATCTTTTTTTAGACAACTAATTTTTTATAAAATCTTACTAAAATTAAAATTTTGCCTTTTTTTAAAAGTATTTTATTTAAAGAGGTTTGTTTAAAATAAAATATAAACTAATTTTTGTTTTTACTGTTTTTATTTTGATTATTTTATTTAGAAAATAAATTGTTTGTTTTGCCATTTTTATTTAATTTAGAACTAAAATAAAACTTGCCATTTTTTTAAAAATTATTTTATCTAGAATTTAAATAAGTTGTTAGTTATTAAATTAAAATGAATTAAATTTAAAACATAATTCATTTTAATATAATTTTGATGTTAATTTAATATTTTTAACTTTCTGTATTTTAAATTTTTTTCTATATTTATTAAAGTTTGACGAGCAATTACTGCCAATCAAATTTTATCAGCCAGATTTAATTTTAGAAGATTAAAATGTCAATTTTTCTAAAAGCAGCTGATCATTGATTGTTGATCGGGCGCTATTTCGAGTGCTAGTTATTTTGCAAAGAAATAGGTTGTGGTGTAGTGATGTTGTATAGCAATCTAGTGGTGATACCACAACATTGCCCATTTTTTTTGCTGGCAATTAATGTCATGTGTTATAAACGAACATCTTAAATATATGTTAACATCTTCAAAAGTTTAAAAATATTTTTTAGGTGTGGCAGGCTGTCCTTGGCTTAGCTTCTTGTGGTGCCTGGTGTTATAACTGGTTTTAAGAAGAATCTCATAACTGATGATATTTATTCTTTTTATGTTGCCAACTAAACCAAGAAATAAAATGTATATTTTAAAACCAGCTTAAAGTGCTGTTGTTTTAATACTCAAGAACTTCCATTGTGGACTAAAATCTCTGCTCAATTGGTCAACAAGTTCAAAACAACTTGATTTTTTTTTTAATTATTCACCTCCCCAAGGCTTACTCCCAAAGATTACTCTTTTATAGCTCATTGTCTCTAACAAAGATGAGGTGAAACTGTTAGCTATTCCAAAAAATACAGCAATCAGAACTTGAAGAATAAAAAAGATAAAAAAATATTAATATTCTACTGAAACGGATAGGGATTAATTAACCCTAATTGACTAATTGGCCTTAACTTGAACACCACAAGCACCATATTTACAAAATAAAATAAAATAAAGAGTCACTGTTGTCATTCAGCAAACATTTAACTAACACCTGCTTTTCATAAATTGTCATCACCATATACTAGAAATTTTCAATCAAGTATGCAATTGTATATTTTTATATCTTGTATGTTCTCTTGTAATACACATGATGTTTTTCAACAATAAAGATAAGCACCGATTAGTCAACAAAAAATAGTCAATTGTGCAAGTGTATATGTCTTATGTTATTATTTTTGTGTTTTGTTTTATCTGAGCCATTTCTGGAATCTGAACTATTTTTTGGAAGATTAAAAGTATACACTTACTTGTGATCTATCAAGATCACAAGTAGCCACTTGTGATTCTGATAGATTACTAATTAACATCCCATAACAAGTCTCAATATTTTCAAATTGAAAATAAATGATAATAAAAAAGTATATGGCTCATACAGAAACCAGGCAATTAAATGCATTTGTTACATTAACTGATAAACATTTTTACAGCCAAAAAACTTAAGCACAGTTTTCTATTAACAGACGATTAGGAAGCAAATAACAATGTTGTTATGAGGAAATTTATAAACAATTAAAGCTTACCTGATTTTAAAGACATTCAATTATTTATTCTAGTAACAGTTACTTTAAACATTTTAAAGTAATATAACTGTCTGTAGACATGATACAACTGTCTGTAGACATGATTAAATTACTATAAAAAATTTACAGCATGTTTATATTACCAAGTCTTACAAATCTAGGGTATGCTATGTGAAAATACAAAGATTTGGTTTCTGCATTTTGTTAACCTGATTTTCTTATCATAAAATTTTATTTATTATATATTTATTATAAAAATGTTGTTTATCTTAAACTTAGCCATTGATTGTTTTAACCATTGGTTAAAGCCAACCAACCCAGATGAATTCCATTCAAAACATCCTTTATATTAGTAACTAAAACAAACCTTAAGTCAAAAATTAAACCTTAAACCAAAATCTTTAAGTCAGTAATTAAGACAAATCTTGAATAAAATATTAGACAATTCTCGAATAAAAAATTAAGACAAACCTTATGTCAGTAACTAAAACAAAGCTTAAGTCAGTAACTAAGACAAGAAAAGTATATTATTATAGGTATATACCTATACATAAATTTTATATTTGTTAACTATTAAAAACTAATTTTATAAAACAAAAATTTAATTCAATTAAACACTATTTAAAAAAAAGAAACCATTATATTACCATTTTTCTATTCATAGCTATAACCAAAGTATGAGTACAATCATTCGCTACTTCCAAACTTGAACTTATTTTGTGAACAGGAGTTGTGTTTATTGTTCCTTTTATTTCATCTGGAAGATGAATGCTAAGATCGGTGGCATGGTTTTGGTGATCGGTGGCATGGTTTTGGTGATCGGTGGCATGGTTTTGGTGATCGGTGGCATGGTTTTGGTGATCGGTTGCATGGTTTTGGTGATCGGTGGTTTTTGTATGATTTAAATCTGATGTATGATCGAAATCATTAACTATATTTTGATCTAAACCATTGACAGAATGATAAAAGTCTTTATTTTGAACATCAAATGTTTTATAAAAGTTATATTCATTATTTTTTTCATTATTGCAAACACTTTCGTGTGTAGGATAAACCTTTTCTTTACTTATAAAAAGTTTTGGTTTTACATTCTTTAATAATTTCTTTTTTGTATCTATTAAATCTGAAGAAATTGCAGTAGAACCTGCTGAGCTATGGTTTACACTTTTTATGCACTCTTTAATGTTTACATTCATTGGTTCAGAAATTTTATGTAAATAGGTTATGGTAAAATCATCAATTTCATATGCATATATATTTTCAGCAAGTATTGAACTAACTTTCTGAAACTCATAGAGGATATTCTGAAAATAAAAAACAGAGGATATTCTAAAAATGAAAAAGATAAAATATACAAAATAATAAATACATATTAATAAAATATATCATAAACATTTTAAAAAAAATTTTAAATGTCTCTTACTTGAACTTTCCCTCCAATTATTTCAACAAGCAGCAAGCTTTCTACATTGCAAAGTTTGGCTAATTCTTTTCTAGCCATAGCAATAGTTGCATCATATGATAAAAGTAAACCATACTTTAACACTGTTTTGTGATTTGATAAAAATACTATAGTAGTAACAAAAATAAAAAGTACAAATTACAGATCTTTTGGTAATAACTTGTTAATTACATACTCAGTACTAAATAATTTAATACAAGCTAATTAAGGTTGAAATGGTTAGATTTTTTGTGATATTTGGAGGAGTTAAAAAAAAAAAAGGATTCCTGTCTAAAAATTAATGAAAATTAAAAATTTCAACATAAATACTAATTAAAATATTCATCAATAAAACTTGAAAGAATAACTCACTATTAATGAAAGTACAAAAATAATAATAATTCTTAAGTCGGCACAAAACAAAAAAAAATAATGATAATTCTCAGGCTGGCACAAAACAAATAAGTTTAAAAAACAAACAAACAAAAAAAAAAAACAAGCACTTAATTAAAAATGACAACTTTATAAAATATATAAAAAAGTAATTACATATATATATATATATATATATTATATATATATATATATATATATATATATATATATATATATATATATATATATATATATATATATATATATATATATACTATTTTATGAAATTTTTAATACAAACTTGTAAAACATGTTTAACTTATTAACTACATTATCATATTATTGAACTACATTAACATTGCTATTGACTACATTATTGTTACTATTGACTACATTATTATAAAATTATCATCAAATAAAATAGTAATACTATAAACTGAGTATGAAATTACTAAACCAAAAATTACAACCAATTAGAATTAGCTACAGCAAATATCACTGAAAATCATAATAATATCAATTATGGTAACATATTGACCTTAAAAAAAGATACCTGGAATTTGAAGATGAATCAAACTTTCTAGAGGAAGAGGCAATGAAAGAAATATAAATGGATCAAAACGTACACTTATATGCTGGCAATGTAAACAACGTACTTGGGATTTCAGCTTAAAAATAAAAGTTTATTATAAATACAAAGTTTAATATAAATATATATATATATATATATATATATATATATATATATATATATATATATATATATATATATATATATATATATATATATATATATATATATATATCTTCAGATAGATATTGGAATTAGAGTACACCTAACACCTTTAACACCTAAAAGTGTTAAAGGTCAGCAAAAAAATTGCCAACCTCATTTCTTTGTTATGGTAAAACCTTAGTATCAAGTTTTTTTGCTGACCTGATGACCAATATTATGGTTTATTTGAATAATTTGGAATTAGAAAAAATATATTTTAATAATTTGGAATTAGAAAAAATGAGGTCAGCAATTTATTGCTGACCACATTTTTAGCGTGACAGTCGTAACGCTTACTTTTTACCACTTCTGAACAAAACAACTTTGTCAGATTAATGCAGCAAACTGCATGGTAACAAAAAAATTATTTGGTGTGTGTATTTAGCATACTGATATATATATATATATATATATATATATATATATATATATATATATATATATAATATATATATATATATATATATATATATATATATATATATATATATATATATATATATATATATATATATATATATATATAATTCAGCGCTCGAAATAATGACCGATCAACGATTGGCTATTTATAGAGAAATTTTGAAAAATTCAAGTCAAAATAACCTGTTTTTGTGAAAAAATTACACTTGACCGGCAAGCTTTGAAAAACTATTCCGAGCGCTGTTATTATATATAAATATATTGATGTTATTATATACTGATTTTAATAGTTTTTACTTTTTAGTTTTACAAGCATTTTTACAATTTTTTTGTTGTTGCGACGTCGTAACTGTGATGGTCGCAACGAAAAATCCAATGCTTAAAAATAGCAAATAAAACAACGCAATTAATGATTTAAGAAAAAAAAGTATAAATGATTATTAACAACCATGTATATTATGTTTAAAAAATGCAATATAACATTATCAAAGTTCTTAATTATGGGTATACGATAAAACCCTTACAACTTTAAAACCAAGCTATGGTATGATAAAATAATTTTTTCTAAAAAACATTTTGCTTAAAAGTATTTTTAAATAGTTAAAAAAAAGAGTTTTGGAGTTTAGTATGATTTTTCATAACTTTTTCGCCTTTTTTCTTTCTCCTTTGTCTTGCGGAATTGCTCCCCCCCCCACACACACACACATATATATATATATATATATATATATATATATATATATATATATATATATATATATATATTATTTGAAAGTACTGTTATAGAAAACCTATTTTTTAAACAATAATGCTTCTTATAAAATCATTCAATAACACCAACAATAAAATCATATTTAGTCTTTTTGATAAATTGTATATATTTGAGTTAAAGACTACTACATAAAAATATTACTGTTCCAGATAACACTGCCTATAGCTGTGCATTGCTTTAAAACTTTTAGTTTTTTAAGCTTTTATTATTATTACAATTTTTATGCATGTTTATATATTTTAAGTAATGCTTTTGTAAAGTAAAATAAAAAATACAACTAAAATAAAATCCCTCAATTAACCCCCAACCTCCAGTTGCTACTATTTATAGAATTTGTAACATTATTATTATTATAACTAACTTCAGTAAACATAGTAATTAATATTATGATAAAATAGTAATAATTGTATTCAGTAATATGGTGATAACTTCAGTTTATTGTTTTAATATAGTAAAATTAGTGATAATACCTACAGAAAAAAACATATATATATAAACTATAAACTAACTTTTCAGTTTTTGTTACTTGAACTATAAATTATAAAAAATAATACTGTTTTTAATTCAAAATAATAATAATATATTTTATATTATACTCTACATTACATCTTTTGCTCTACATTAAACACATGAATGTGTTTAATGATTAACTTAATAAATAAAATTAGAAAATTTGTCATTTGTCATCTCACATGGTGTCTGACACAACATTCCAATGAATGCAAGCAAATGTGAAATTTCTAAAAATTGTAAATGTTGCAAAATTATAAATGATTGTTTAAAAAAAGTGAGTTGCACTTATTTGATCTGATACTTTAACTAATTCAAAGAAATAAATCAAAGAATAAAATGTATATACACATAAGTACCGAAGCATTATGGGAAATTATTCAACTTGAGCTTTTCAACACAAACACAAAGGTTTTGGTGACAAAATCTCATATATAAAAATATAATAAAAGTATAAAAATTTGTAAACAATATTAAAAAAATATTACTTGTCCTTGGAACAAATCCACAACAATAGATTGATTTCGTTTTATATGATTTTGCCATGCCTTAAAATAGTAAAAAAGTTTACATTTGAGTTTTATTAATTAAAAAAGATTTTAAAAGAACACAGAATTTGAAAATTTACAGAACAATATACTCAAATCAAACCACTCAATGAAATATATTAAACAACTCTTTGCTCCTCGCTTATTTGTTAATAATTTTCTTATTGTAAGAAACTTTAAAAACACAACACAACATTAAAAAAAAAAAAAAAATTAAAAAAAAAAATTATGGAAGCATCTTATGGTAGCATTTATAGAACCATGTATGGCAGCATCTAAAGAATGCACCATGTGTTTATTATAGAGTACTTATGTAGTATTAACTTTAAAAAAAAAAGTTTGGCATTTTTGCTTAGTTTAGATTAGAAAATTACTAATTTTAGATTTCTGGGATGATTTAGAACTAATTGATATAATTTTAATTTTTGGACTATTAAAAAACTATACAGTATACATCATTACTTGCAGGATTAAAGAGCTTTTCTTTTCTACAGTGTAGGTTCACTTTAGTAAACTTTACATTTTCACATGTTGATTTGCAAACCTGTAAAAATATTTTCTATTATTTTCTGTTTATCAAAACTTGTAAAAAAAAATTTGCCATTAGTGTATCATAACCAGATGATGATACAAAGGTGTAGTTCAAAGTCTTCAATAGGAGTTGATCATGAATGAAAAGTTTAATGTATAAAGGGTAATATAATAGTATTAGGTAGGTAAAAAACATATATAAGGTGCGCCAATGCACCAATAGTGGTTTGACATTAGCTAATATCAATGCTTCTGCTGATGTCAATTATTTAACAGATTATATGCCTGATGGTTAGATTGATTAATCGATAGATGTTTACAGATGGCATAGGCTTGTAGGTCAAGTCATTGCTGATGTATAGGGACATCTTATATATCACTCTTATATATACATTAAACTTTACATATATCCTATTATAAGCTACAATAGGTTTTTGGCATCGATGGCTATAAATAATGATTTGATTTTTGTTCTAGAGTCTCTTAACACAATAACTTCCCAGAAAACATAATAACTTCCCAGAAAACATAATAACTTCCCAGAAAACAAAATAACTTCCCAGAAAACAAAATAACTTCCAGTAAACACAATAACTTCCCAGAAAACACAATAACTTCCCAGAAAACACAATAACTTCCCAGAAAACACAATAACTTCCCAGTAAACACAATAACTTCCCAGAAAACAAAATAACTTCTCAGAAAATGACTATCAAATAGTTTGTAATACTTTTTCTGGGAGCAGATATACCAGACTTAAAATAACACCAAACAGGTGCATGTCACAAGGCAAGAGTTATTAAAGATGCAATATTGCAATATACATTCTTACCCTTACATAACCCAAGACATCCACAACATAATGACTGAACAAAAGAGAACAAAAGAGACAGAACAAAAAAGCTTCAAAAAAAAAAAGCCAACACATAAATTGCTATCTGTCGCGTGCCTTGGTTCCTGAAAAGATTTGTTGGAGTAAATATTCCAGCAAATGATTTCTTGGTTATTAAAGCTTTAAATGGAATAATGAACATAAATCAAAAATAAAATTTTACTTTAAAGTTTATAAGGCATACCTGGTATTTAACTAAATAGGTAGTAGTGATGGTTTTTGGTAATGATATATTTATTGAAACAAAGAAAAATTTATTATAAATCTTAAACCAACTACTGAAGTATGATGTTTCTGAGAAGTTTTATTAAAACCAGAAGCTATCTTTACTTCAAGATTAAAAAACTTTAAAGTAGGGATTTACCGGAATTCCGGCTGGAATTTTTGTCTTTTAGTTCAATTCGCTTCTGGCTGGAATTAAAATTTTTTTTTTACTCTTTTTTTATGACTTGTGACACAGGCTTTGTGAATAAATCAAAAAACCATTATCCTACAGAGCAATTTTAGAACTATAGGTAACTGAGGTAAAAAATACAAATGTAATTTTTGAAAATGTATTTGCAGTACTACTATTTCTGAAAATAAACTTAGATTTGTATTTTTTTTATCTAGGTTTACCTATAGTTCTTGATTGCTCTGTAGGATTGATTTATTTACACAGCCTGTGTTACATGTCATAAAAAAAAAATTAAAAAAAAAATGTTTAGGTACAGCCAGAAGCGAATTGATCTAAAAGAAAAAAATTCCGGCTGGAATTCTGGTACATCCCTACTTTAAAGAGTACAGCTAAAATAAAAAAGCACTTGATGTGACTGGAAATCTTTTGATAGTATGACAGTAGTTTTGAAGAAAATCCTTTGATAGTATCTAGTCACTAGATACTATCAAAGGACTAGGAAATCCCAAACAAAATCTTATTTGGGATTTCCTAGTCACTAGGAAATCCCAAACAAGATTTTGGGATTTCCTAGTGACTACCAGATAGTATCTGGTAGTCACTAGGAAATCCCAAAATCTTGTTATATTTTTGTGGAAAAGGTTTTTCAAATTTTGCTTAAAATTGTATTAAAAACCTGAAATATATACAAATTTATTGAATCTAGTGTTGAAATGCTTTTATTTTTATCAACTAATAATTAAATATATATACAACAATTACTTTTTTAATTTATTTACAATATTAATTTAAATAAAGGGGTATAAAGGTCTGCTATAAAATAGAACATTTCTATTTTTTGGGTTTAGAAAAAAAATTCAACTTTTCAGGATTTCAAAAAAAAAAAAAAAAGAAAAAAGAAATTTAAACTACTTTTTTTAAAGCACTAAATTTAAAAGCTTTCTAAGACTTAGTGTAATCCTACATTATTATTAAATATTTAAAAAACTTTAAGTTGAAAACTAAAATATTAAACAAACTTCATAAGCAACTTCATCATCTGGTCTTCCATTGCTATCTTTTAACTCAACGTAAGGTTTGTCATGAACTCTATAATGCAATTTATAAATATATTATAAGAGCTTAATATCTACTAGTTGTTTTGCAATTATTCATTACAAACCTATTAAGATCTTCATGCAGTCCATCAAGCAAAAAAGAAAGCAACTCCTGTGAGTCGTGCTGTTGGAAACCATTGAAGCAAGGTGCATATTTTCCTATTGTAAACTAAAGCATATTAAAAGAATTATTTGTGAAATAATAACAAATTATTCAAAAATTAAATTTCAACAAGTTTAAAACAAAACACAATTATCATTAGCAAAAAAATTTACACGTAGTTTAACTGGGGCTATACTCCTATAAAAGCCGCTCCATAGATCAGCTGTGAGGTCACCATACTTCTTTGCTAACACACCTTTCATGCCTAATCGATTTGTTCTGCAAAATAAAAAACTCAATAGTTAATGGGTTCAATGAAAAATTGATTATAATTATGATAACTGTTTATTAAAACTCACTTTTCATTACATCATAAACATTTATTGAAAAAATTTCTTTAAATTTAATTCAGATAAAGTATATTACAAATAAGTAAAATCCTAAAATTTACCAAAAACACTGTTAAAAAATTTACCAAAAACACTGTTAAAAAATTTACCAAAAACACTGTTAAAAAATATACCAAAAACACTGTTAAAAAATTTACCAAAAACAAAAGAAATGTTTTAAAGTACATAATATGTTACAACACATTTACTACAGTAACTTACTACAGTAACTTACAGTTATTTACTACAGTAACTTACTTACTACAGTAACTTACAGTTATTTACTACAATAACTTACTTACTACAGTAACTTACAGTTATTTACTACAGTAACTTACTTACTACAGTAACTTACTACAGTAACTTACTACAGTAACTTACAGTTATTTACTACAGTAACTTACAGTTATTTACTACAGTAATAGTAAATATGTTACTACAATAAATATGTTTAGAAGACTTTAAAAAAAAGAAAAAGAAGATTAATAAAAAATAACTTTTTTTTACATTATTTTTTTTTTGTAATTGAATACTGCCAAAACCTTAAAATTTAGGCAATATATGAGGAGTGAATTTTTAAAAAGTACCAAGTCTGAGTAAATTGATTTTGAGAAATCGATGAAAAACTGGACTACTTATAGATGCACAACAACAGAAACTATTTTTTCTTTATCTATTACTAAGACCTAGAGTCTATTATAAATTCTAATATCTAATAGATTTCAGTATATAAAATTTGAAAATGAAACAAACTCTAAATTTTTATTTTTGCACCTTAACATATTGATTTTAGTATGATACCATTGTTTTATGCAGACATTAGTCTACAGTATAAAAATAACAACAACAACAATAATAATAATAACAATAAAAGTTATTAATATACATATAAAGAGTCCAGGGAAAAAAACGGCATAGTCACATTTAAAAAGTTTTAAGAATGTATATAATGATCATTTATAAAAGTCTTAGTATAAAGATAGGTAATACATATTTTTAATAAAAATTACAAAAATTTTATTAAAAATGTTAACTTAAGAAAAATTAATCAAGAAATGTCTTTTTTTTGCTTATTTTTAAACTTTTTTGTTTCATATGACTTTTATAAATGATCAATATATATTTTCTCAAAACTTTTGAAATGTGACTTTGTCATTTTCCCCACTGGACTCTTCATATATTATTATTTTTAATAATTCTATTAATACTATATTAATTACGGCTTTTTTTACTATATTATTACTGATATAAAAAAGTTGAAAAAAAAAAAAAAAAAAAAAAATTCACTTACTTGTTAAGCTCATATAAAAAAAATTTTGATAGAAAGTATTTAGTTAATGGATTTGTGTTACTGAGACATTGAATTGCAGAATTCATAAAACAAGTGTTGCCAAGATTGTGAAGACCAGTTGCCCCTTTTTCAAGTAAACCTAAAACATAAAATTAAAACAGTTATAACATTCTAACATAGATTAAGTTCAAATTTTCATTAAAATACAAACAAATGTTGCTTTAAAAACACAAATGTGCAACAAATTTTTTTTCAATGCTATTAAACTTTCTTTCTTTTTTATAATGCTATTAAACTTTTTAGAAGTTCTTGTTAAAATTCTAAACTCTTTTGCAATTTCACAATATTTTAGGCAAATTTCATCACAAAATCGTTATATTTTCTGCAAGAAAGTTTATTTAACAAGTTTTGTTTCATATTATTTATATATCTGTTTGATCTTGATATCCCAACACTACACACTCTGTTTTATATTTGAACTTAGGCCGGTTCACGCTCTCTATGCCAAAAAATGTTACAATATGCTTTTAATATATTATATATTTATTGAATACTTAAATATAAATCTTATTTGCTTAAATCATTTTTTAACTAAAATTATAATTTAAATTTACAAAGGTTTTTTATTAAGAAATAGTAACTTTTCATATTTACAACGTGAACTACTTCACACACTTCACAACGTGAACTACTGGCAAGTTATGTTTTTATGAGAATTTCGTTAATATATTTTTTTTAACTTTTTTTTTTGAAAGATTTATTTTATATAAAATTTATTTTGGATTTTAGTTTTTATTCTGTAATCAATTTTGGATATTGAAAAGATTTTTTTGTATTTAACCAAACAAATTGATATTAAGTTTTATCAAAATTATACATAAAATATATATAAATATATATTTTAAATTTCAAATTCATTTTAATAATTTCGAATGGCTTTTAGAAACTATAGATGCCATCCTGATTCCTTCTATTATAGAAGGAATCAGGATGGCTTTTATCCAAGGTTTGTGAAGCCTTCAAAAAATATTTTAAAACGCCAGTTGAAGACTAAAGCAAACCCTGGGCTCTTCATTACTGTTGTGAGCATTTGTAAGAAGACACTTGAATGGTGGCTTAGAAACCTTCTGGAGCTATTTACAAAGTTATCTGAAACAAAAACTAAAGGTTTTTGTTGGCAATAACTTCAAAAAATAAAATGAGCAACTTCACAAAGATGTAAAGGAAATAAAGTGGAGGTATCAAGACATGATAAAATTAAAGTAGGAGATAAAACAGTGGTTATTGCAATCAGAAAATAAGAGAAGACTGGGGACTAATGCAAGAGTTCAACCTTAATTACAACCAAAAATCCTAAAAATCCTTTTCATTTTTGATGTTTTTATTTTAAAACATTTCATTTTTGATGTTTTTATTATAAAACAATTATCTTTTCACTCATTTTATTTTATATTTTTGTTTTATGATGTAAACATCTTCTATATTGAATTTTAAGACGTAAATATCTTCTATATTGGTTTAGTATTATGAATTGATGAATAAAAAACTCGTTCTTATCTTTATAAATTTAAAATTTTGAGAAAATAAACATCCAGATCACTATCAGATCAGATCCAGACCCTAACTTATGATATAATAATGTTTTTTTTTAATATCATATTATAATATAAACTTTTTTTAACATCTTATAATAATATAAACTATAAATAATACTTAGAACCTGGGAACATACATTACTGTTTAATTTACTAAATGCTAAATCTTATTATATTAAATATTTTTATAATACAAAAATAATAAATAATAATTTTACATAAATAAAAAAACGTTTTTATTCTATATTATTTTGAATACCTGTATAAGAACGCTCTTTAAAATTTCGCGTTGCAACTACAACATTCATTTCTTCCGGCCAACTTAGGTCTTGATTTCGAACTGAACCACAACATAATTTATTGTTAAAATTTTAAAGAAAAAAAACAACAACAAAAAAAAACTAAGTCTATTAAGTTTTATAATAAAATAACAATAAAGTTAGTGCAATTTGTAGTGGTTTTGTGGTAAAAACTCACTAAGTAAAACACACCGTTTCTCTAGTAGTACCAAGTTAACTTGATTACTTGCAGAACAGCAAAGTTTCTCAGCTTATGTTTTCAAAATTAAGAAATTAAATTAAGGGTTAAAAGGAAAAAACTGTCACGACTCTAAAATTATCTGACGAGGATTAAGTACATTGATTGTTCAGTAAATACATCAATCATTCAGGACATACATAGATTATTCAGTACCTCGATTGTTCAGTACATAAATTGATTGTTCAGTACATACTTGATTGTTCAGTACATACATCAATAAGGCATTTAGTGGGTACTATTATGTTAATATATCAAAATAAAACAATTAATTATTATAAATGTTTAGTTAAAAATAATCGAGCGCAGTTTTCATACTAAATTAATTTTTTTTTCACACTTTTTTTATTAACTTTAAATATTCATTAAAAATTTTAAGAAACTATTAATATAATAATAATATTAATATAATAAACCTACTAAACCTAACTAAAACAAAACAATTTGTTGAATCAGAAATTGGTTGTTGTTGATGATTGAAGAAATGCTGAAAAAAAAAAAGTTAAAAAAAAAATGTATTTAAACACTAAAGTAATAGTTCCTTGCATAAACCCAAATTCTCAATATCTGTGAACAGTTATTGAAGCCACAAACTTTTATAATTATTTAATGCAATTTTTTAAATAAAAATATTTATTAAAAAAATTATTATTTAAGAAAAAAAAATTTAATATTAGCAAAAACATGTCCAACATGCAGAAAGTAAATTTATTTTAAGTGTAAATATATACTGAATATAGCTAAAACTTAATGGAAATGTGAATTGATTTGCAAAAAGAGAAACTTTAGTACGGAGTCTAAAAACATCTAATAAATAGTAGTTTATCTATTTAATAGTATTTTTTTCTTTTTCTTTCTATTTTTAAAATTTTCTACCATTAAATTTTTAGGTAAATAAGTAGAGTGGTCTATGAGGTAGAAGTCTAAGTCTATGAACTTCTAAAATTTTTATGATAAAAGTTGCATTAAATTAATTGGGAAACTCTTATCTAAAACTTATTTTTCTGATGTGTGCAAAGGTAACAAACATAATATTTAAATTTTTTTTTTTTTTTTGGAATATTTATTTACACTTTTATGTTTCATTTCATAGAGAAACTACAGCAAAAACAACAAATTCTATGTAGTTATCAATTGTTCCAAATTTTTGGTGTTTAAAACTTTAAAAAAGTTAAGGAAGTGAGAAAAAAACTTAGCCTAAAAATTGGTTTCGATTACTTCTAACTAAACATTTATAATAATTTAACTGTTTTTTTGATATATTAACTAAATATATCATTTGACAAATACAGCATTTATTATGATGCTTGCTTAAATCTAAAAGTCATAAACCTACACAATATATAAAGAATGGAAACTCTTGCAACATCTGAATTTATATTTACATTTAAATGAGAAAAATAGTCTTTTTTAATACCATGTAGTCCACAGTACAGCAATGAGGGAGACATTTAAAATTTTTACTTAGTTTTTGCAATACTTGCAAAAACTAAATAAAAATAAAATCATTAAAAAATATTATATAAAATTTAAGATTCTAATCTGTTAAAGAAAATTTTCTTTGATCAGTTCAACATTTTAATAAAATTTTGATTATAGATCTAAACAAAAGTTTTCTTTTTGCTAGAAAGTCTTTCTGTAAATATTAGAAACAAAAAATCAAATATATCTATAATTTTATATATTTAGTTTTTATTGACAAAAAAAGAATTTAACAGTTCTATATTAATTACTTATATCAAAGAAATATATTGTTTTATATATTGAAAAACCAAAAAAAAAAAAAAAACTCTAAAACATTTTGTACTTTTTATGTCAATAAAAACTATAAAAATACAAAACAAAAACAATTTTATGATATCTCATTATATTTATGCATTACGCATTTGATATTAACAACAATATATATATTTGATATTAACAACATATATATACATTATGCATTCTAAATGAGGGTTGTAAATGAATGAATGAGATTTTTGTTGAGTTACCACAAATGTTGTGTAAAAACATAAAAAAACAAAAACAGTAAAATATACTTTCAATAAGAAGATGACTTCCATCTTTGAGTTCTAAATCTTCAACCGATTTATCTTCTTCTTCCAAAAGAATTAGACTTTTCTAATAAAAATTACAATTATATATATATATATATATATATATATATATATATATATATATATATATATATATATATATATATATATATATATATATATATATATATATATATATAATATAACTATTTTAAACAATTAAAAATTTATTACAAACCTTTTTATTTCCTTAGATTTGTATCAAAACTGTCAATGAACCTTTTTTTATATTATTACACATTCTCTATATTATAAAATATTCTTCATGTTATTAAAACAACTATTATTGTTATAACTATTTTTTTATTATACTATTTATAAGTGTTGTTATGAACTTCGACTAAATTGAGTAAAAGTCAACTAGTCGTAAGTCGAAAGTCAACTATGAAAAATCTAATAGTCGATTTAATCGACTTTAATTGACTTAATCTACTTTAGATTTTTTACTAATCGTCAATTTAATTGGGTCCTAAAATTCTTATATTTATCTCTTCATTTGATTTAACTTTATCAATATTTAATTTTATTATGATACTGGGTAAATTAGTAAAGATATATCCTTATAAGTAGATTGTTTTATAAAGATAAAATATTTGTAAAGATTGAGCCATGCGCATTATGTTTTAATTCAACCAAAATTTCTGAACATTGACTTAATTTGTTGTTTCATATAAACTTAGCTCTAAGCTTACTGTATGCTGTGCCACTACATTAATTTGCTGTTTCATATAAACTCAGCTCAAAGCTTACTATATGCTGTGCCACTACATTAATGTTTATAATGTTATACTGACTTGTTATAAAAAGTTAATTCTTTAAAAAAATATTTAATGATGTGTCATCAATTAACGATGCCAAAAATTAATAACTTTAATTCCCTTTAGAAATTAATAACAATTAGAACAATTCTTATAATAATAATGATAGGTATTCATGCAAATCCTTTAGGACATTATTTCTGCATGAAGAAATTCTTATTTGAACGCACTTAAAAGCCGTGACTTCTTTGACTTAATTGTAATAGCTATTTTATTTTTATTCTTTTTTAATGGTAAAAGTAAAATATCCAATTGAAACATTCATAAAAGTAAAGTCTGAAATTATTTTGTGAAAAACAATGACTACAATAACAATGTGTAAATATTTAGACACGAGATTTCATAATTTTAAATTTATATCGAACAAAACAGCGAAAATTTCTTGTATTAAAAAAGCTCATTCTTTAGTCATGCAATGAATTGCAGCTAATACCAACAAGCCTTCAGTTGTCTAGCCAAGAGCCACCTAGTCAAAAGAAGTCCATCAAAAAAAAAAAAAAAAAAAAAAGAAAGTTATTGTTATGCGATGAAACAGTGTCATCAGAAGATTTGTTATCAGTAGACAACAAAATCATCAATTACTTAAATATGAATATAAAAGTATTGGAAAATTTGTGTCTCCTTGCATATTGTAAAAATTATTTATGCCAATTTCTCATTTTGCCAAAGATATCAAAGATGCTCTTTTGTATAACTGCTTCTATTGTTCATATTTATTTTAGTATAATTGAAATAAAAATGAACAATAAAAAGCGTTCTTAAACTTTATTTTATACCCTTAGACACCTAACAGAAAAAAGGATGTTAAAACCAGATACTAAAGGGTAAAATCATTAAAACAGTATCCAATACTATTCCAATATTCAAATCAATGTTAAACAATTGAACAGCCTGTAAGACTTATTACTAAGCTAAATGGATCCCTATCTAGTTACATTACTGAACAGTTCTTATGACTCAATAAGCATAAATCTTTCCATCTTTCATAGGAAGCTGTTAAACAATTTAAGGCTAACTTTTTAATAATACCGCAGTCTAAAATTGAAGCTTCAGCTGGGGGAATATTAGGTTAAGATGCTAGACATGCATTTTTTTACAGAGCTCTATAGAGCACAAAATCTTTAATCAGTCATAGAACAAGAAAATGTGTCAAACCAAGTAAAATTAAAATCAGTTAAAATAAAATATTGGTTGAAACTGAAGATTCTAATCTGCTAAAAATAATTTTTTTTTTTATCTGTTCAACATTTTGGAATTTTTTGATTATAGATCAAAACAAGTTTTTTTTTGCAAGTCTTAACAATTTTGACTTTTTTTTTTTGTCTAAACAACAATATCATGCATTGACATAAGCTAGTCTATAAACATTAATTATTGAATTAATAATGTTACTTGATAAATTAGTCCATATTTCCTTTGTATCTTTCGAAAACATAAATTTTTTTCTACACGTACAACATAAATTTTTTTTCTACACGTACAACATAAATTTTTTTACTCCCACGACTATTAATCTAAGTTGCTTAGTAACTATCAAGTTGCTAATATAACTATTATCTTCATGTTTGCTGATCAAAAGTAAAGCTTGCTTGACTTTGCTTGACTTTTTATTTGTTTAAAGGCATGTTGTTTTTTTTGGAAAAAAAACAACATGTTTTATATACATAAAACTAAATTTGTTTACCTCCTGCATTTTCCACAAGCGCAAATCATTTAGGTTTACTTTCATCTTTAAGCTTATAAATTCTAAGATCTTTAATGAAAAATTAAAAGAAACTTTTAAAAACAATAGGAAAGGAAAACATAATAAAAATAAACAAAAATAAAAACAAACAAACATGTTTTGAACCTGTTTTAAAGTATTTTTGCGACTAAATGAAGCTGTATATGCCAGATATCTTCTTGGTATTACAGTTGACTCCAGGCTTGTATTACTATGATCATTGTTTCCAGAGACCATACTTATAAGATGATTAATATTAACCGAATTATAAAAAACTGAATGTTTTGCCGGTTGCATATGCCTATAAAGAAACACTTGAATGGGATAGAGCTCAAGAACAGCTTCTTTGGAGCCTGGTATTTTTAGAACCTAAAAAAAAAATTATTTTATTATATTTTATATTGTATTTTATTATACTATATTATAATATTTTATATTATATTTAACTATATTTTATTTTTTATATTTTTTTTTATTACATATTATATTTAATGATAACTAAAAAATTAACTAACAGTTCTTGGTAATGCAACATTTGCTCCATACCAAGACAATAAAGCTTTCCATACTGGTTCCGATACAACTTCATAATGTGTTCCTAATATAAGCAGTTGATTGGATTTCAATTTTCCACCTTCACCGGTTAACACTACTAACTAAAGCAAAAAATGAATTAATTTTTTTTTACAGCCTAAAAAAATGTTTGACTTTGTTTTAAACATTTATCTCTGTATTTTTATTATGACAGTAGTCAATATTTTCTCTTTCTACAAATCTACAAATGTTTTGAAGCTTTGAATTCGAAAATTACTTTTAAGGCCAATCAAGGAATATTGCTAGAACTTGAAAAGATAATTGCTGGATGCCAGAAGTAAAGCATCTTGAGAATGCACAGTGAAAGAAAGATTTTAGATGCATTTTATATTGAAAATTTATCAGTTTTGTTGTAATTGTTAAACATATAAATTAAGTTCTGAGAAAAAAGGTTTAAAAATCATATAATAGATCTAACTTTTTTATGAGTTGTGTAATAAGAAATAATATTTAGACTTTTTGTAGGAAAAGGTAAAAAATCATTGATTTAAAATTTAATTTTTACCTTATTTATTTAAACTATATATAACTTGAGATTTTTTAATTCCATTTTTTTTTTCAGACATTTTTTTCAGTTTGAAGAAAAACATGTAAATTTTGAGAAAAAGGATAGTAGAACTGATTGACTGTTCCAAAGTTACCATAATGACTTATTTGTTAAACCTAGGATATAACTATTCTAATAGAATTAACATAAGTAAAAAATTATTAGATACAGTGCACAAAAACAGCTTAATCAGGTATTAAGATTTGTTTATAATCAGTCTGTAAGTACGTAAATTATTTGGTAGAGCGACGCCCATAACGAGCTCTTGTTTGTTTGTAACATCAACTAACCTAGATACCTATCTTGCAGATTCGATACACCCAACTATTCACATGATTTCTGGCTATTTGATTGATGTAACTGTTAATTTTATAAATAAATGAAAAACAATTTGGTTGCAAAGTTTACAATGTAGTTACTGATTACGCATCAGATATGTCAAAAATGAAATAACAATTGGAAACTAAAGATGATGCTAATGCTATTGCATATGGATGTTCAGCTCATCTGAATACAGCTCATCAGATGTTCACCTCATCTGCTCAACTTATTAACTCAAGATTTAACAATTTCAAATATCAGAGATAATTAGTTCAAGTTGTTAGCACCAATCTTAAATAACTACTTCTTAGCAAAGATCAGGCAGTTCAAGCAGTTATTTAAAAAAAAAAAAATTTGCTGCTGAAAAAGAGATTGAAATGAAATTTGGGGCTTTAATCCAAATTTTTTTTCTTTTTCTTCTCCTTTTTAAAGTTGAAGCTGCATCATTTCAAAAGTTTATGTTTTGAAATCGAATTTGTTCAAACTATAAAGTTATGCAATTATTGGAGCCCTCAAAATGATTGAGTAAACCGGCATTAAAGTTCTTAATTAGTTACTTACAGCTGTTGTTTCATATGAAGGAATTGAATGAATATTTTTATCATTTGAAATTATACATTCAAACATTAGAAATCGATTAGGAAAATCAGTTATCTTATTCAAATTACCTAATCAGAAAGCATCGGAATTTATGCAGTTAGAAACTGTTAATCTGATATTTTAATTTTTTTTGCATGAGTCAACATGGAGAAAACTTTAGAATGTTTTAAATCTAAATTAGATTTATATAGATTCAGAAGTATTTTTTTACTTAAATCATTTTTTTAAAATTAACTATATTTAATTTAAATTAACTATGCAAATAAAATTAAGTATATATTTTAAAGTTTTAACGAAATCTAATTTAAATTTAAAAATTCTGATTTTTTTCTCCTGAAAAAACCATGCTTTTCATTAACCCTGTTCTCCAATCTTTTAAGCTCTTCAATCTTTTATTGTTCTGCATTCATTAAAGTGATTAACATTATTGCTAAGACTTTAAACTTTGTTTGATTGTTTAAAACTGTGAGAATTAATGGATTAACTGTTAGAATTGATTAGTTCAATTAATGTCAACTAATTAATTAATTAATTAATTAGTTGACAATTTAAAACAACATTTTTATGATACTAAATATCATTAAAAAAACAAACAGATACTAAGTTTTTTTTTATTGCACCAACACATAGTATATACACACCTATTCAACATATTACACACTTACTCAGTATATACATACCTATTCAGCATATTACACACCTATTCAGTATATACACACCTATTCAGCATATTACACTTACTCAGTATATACACTGGGATGTCCCAGAAATTTTTTTTTTTGAATTTAATACTGTGCACTCTGTCAATCCTCCTTATTTGGTATTAGTAGACCACCATAAAAACATCTAGGCTCAAAGTCACTGATTAGCTGAAGAAAGGGTTTTAGAAAAAACTTGCATATAAATTTTAATGTTTTTTTTTTCCATTTATTAATTGATTCAAATTAGCTTTAAGTTAATCATCCAATTCATTAATTCTGACTGCTATACTTACTGCAACTTTGAAAAAATTTCATAACTATTTTATTCTTTATTATAACTGCATTGTTTTAAAATGTTTTTTAAATTGAAATACTACAGAATGCAAAAAAAAAAAAAAAAAAAAAAAAAAAAAAAAAAAAAAAAATTGGGTGGTGCAAAAGTTATAAAGCTTTTGTTGGAAAAAATATATTTCAAAAATAAAAAAATAGCCATAAAGTGCTTTTTATCTAAATATTCTTCAAGTCTTATTTAGTGGCATATTTAGACACCTTCTACTGCTTGTCTATAACCACCATTATTGTGTCTTGGAGCCTGTGTTTGGAATGTGTCCTTCCAATGAATTCCTGCACCTATTCGATGTGTCTTTCAGCCCTGTCATAAACAACTACTAATTGACGTACACTGGACACAAATGTCTTGAAAGATTTATTGTTGAGATTTTTCTCCAAATTTGACATTCCTTCTTCATTCCATGAGAGAAGGTCATCTTTGGTTATACCAAGATGGACTAAAAAAAGATAAGACTCTAGAGAAACAAAGTCTGATAGCTTTGAGGGGAGACAGACCTGTGTAAAAGGTTCTGGTTGTTCTTTGTCAAATCTTTTCATCTCTGGAACATCATATTTTAACAATTTCACAAGAATATCCATCCTCTCTTTCTCCTCTAAGTGTCAGCTAAAGCTAAAGATAACACACTGAGTTGTAAAATACCAAGTGTGTATGAGAATACTAAGATTAAGTTCTTTGCCAATATTTCTGTACCTCTTGGAGTAAAGTGAATCTATTATGATTTGCAATAAAATCTTGAATGCTCCAAGATCATTGGATAAAGCCTGAGCTGCCATTAGGCTCTTCAAAACGAATAAACAGTGAAAGATCACTATATAACATGTTGCACCATGTATGATCTTAATCTCATTGATACTAAGTTGCTTGTTGTAATTCTTGATCATTTGCATTGTTAACAGATACAATGAATCAGCCATAAGTCTTGGTTCGTGATGTGCACCTGGTTGTAAAAACCTGAAGTTCAACAAATCTGGTCTGAGGTAAAAAAGCTACCAATTAACATAAATACTTGTAATCACCTCTGTCAAAAATATTTGTTTTAAGAGCTGCATTGTTTCATTTGCAAGATTGTGATAGAGGGTTCCAAGAGCAAACTCAGGTCTGTTCCAATCAAATTTCTTAATGTTGGCCAATGTATTCACACCTTTTTCAACCTTATGCCAATGATCTGGATGTTTTATGTATAAGGATCAACTGGGTCCCTCTGTTTCTCCCTATAACTCCATCATAACATGATGAACATGTCGTTTAAATTATGTAACATTGAAATTATTTTACCTTGAAGTTTTATATATACTTGCAATATACTTCACTTTTTATACATAAACTTATTTACCTTGTCATAAATGGAATCTACTTATCTAAAACATCATCCAGACTGAGTTGAAGGCATATCTAGGTTGAATCATACACCTTTTTTTTTTTTTTGCAGTAGGAGTTTCAAAGTCTGAATCATCTGTTCCACTACACCCACTGGAGAACTAATGCTCAAGATTTCTTAAAGCCTCTTCTGTTGCTTTTTCCAGTCATTGGCTTTCATTTTTTTGCTCAACAATTGCTTTTAGTCACTCCTCCTGTTGCTCTTGACCATGTCCCCTTTCAAAGATCTCTTCGAAAAAATTTAATCCTTGTTTATAGCCTCTTTACTCCTTCTAGGATTCTGGCTAATTAATATCTTCCTTGTGTATAGGAAACAAATCATTGGCTTTTTCTAAGAACTCTTGAGTATGTTGGCTCATGGCTTCTTCGCTCATCTTTAGGGTTCTCATCTTTAAAACTTTTATATACTAAGTATACAGAGCATAATTCTATTCCTAAATTAAAAAGTTACAAAATTTAAAAAATGTCAACATTTTAAAATATAGCATAAAAACTTATATGTTAATATATTTCACATACATATATGTTTCACGCTTAATTTTTATGACAAGAGATTTTTATATTTAGTCGCTTACTTAATCGACCATTCACTGATGATAAAACTTTCATCAAAGCCTGCCTTGTTCCAAATGTTAATCAGCTCCCTTATGATACAAACATTTGGTATTTCGTTTCTGCTATCCGTATAACACAAACCACCACTGCATTTGCCTGTAAGTTTGCCTGTAATCGCCAGAGGACATCCAATTTCAGATGACAATGTTTTGATTCCAGGAGCATGACTTTGATTAATCCAGTAAATTCTACAATAAACTTCCCCACCGGTTGAAAGTCTATTCTGAGAAAATATCTGGAGAAGGTACCCCAGCAGATAAAGAATTCCTCTTCCACTAGCTTTTCCAACATGCCCTGTACTAACCATATTTAATACTATTTTCTATATTATAAAATTCAACAGAATTGATCACAAAATATACAATGTTTTATACATATTTTACATATATGTAAAAATTGTCATTAAGCAATTAAATTTATATTACTCAAATTAGAATTAAGTAGCAGTATACAATATATACTGCTATTGTTTTTCAACATCCTAATAACTGATAATTTATTAAAAATTAATCTCTTATATTACTAAATATATTTGCAGAATTTTAATTATAAAATGCAAAAAATACTCTGCAAACTCATTCAAGTGTATATGAAACTTTTTTCTAAAACACCTACTTCATCTTAACAATGAGTACAGATATTTTAAGGAGGTCTACTGGGACCAACTATAGAAGATTGACATAGTGTACAATATGTATGCTGTGTGGAGAAACAAGTTGAGCGCGGTACTACTAGGGATGTGGTGGGGATCAAAGTGGGAACCTCTTGCTTATGAAGCGAGCACTCTACCACTACACCACAAACGCATAAATTCTCCTTCTCCTCCTCTTTATTTCACATCAAATACATTCTTCTTCTCCTCCTCTTTATTTCACATCAAATACATCCTTCTTCTCCTCCTCTTTATTTCACATCAAATACATCCTCCTTCCCTTCCTCTTTATTTCACATCAAATACATCCTTCTTCTCCTCCTCTTTATTTCACATCAAATACATCCTCCTTCCCTTCCTCTTTATTTCACATCAAATACATCCTCCTTCCCTTCCTCTTTATTTCACATCAAATACATCCTCCTTCTCCTCCTCTTTATTTCACATCAAATACATCCTCCTTCTCTTCCTCTTTATTTCACATCAAATACATCCTCCTTCCCTTCCTCTTTATTTCACATCAAATACATCCTTCTTCTCCTCCTCTTTATTTCACATCAAATACATCCTCCTTCTCCTCCTCTTTATTTCACATCAAATACATCCTCCTTCTCCTCCTCTTTATTTCACATCAAATACATCCTCCTTCTCTTCCTCTTTATTTCACATCAAATACATCCTCCTTCCCTTCCTCTTTATTTCACATCAAATACATCCTTCTTCTCCTCCTCTTTATTTCACATCAAATACATCCTTCTTCTCCTCCTCTTTATTTCACATCAAATACATCCTCCTTCTCCTCCTCTTTATTTCACATCAAATACATCCTCCTTCTCCTCCTCTTTATTTCACATCAAATACATCCTCCTTCCCTTCCTCTTTATTTCACATCAAATACATCCTCCTTCTCCTCCTCTTTATTTCACATCAAATACATCCTTCTTCTCCTCCTCTTTATTTCACATCAAATACATCCTCCTTCCCTTCCTCTTTATTTCACATCAAATACATCCTCCTTCCCTTCCTCTTTATTTCACATCAAATACATCCTCCTTCTCCTCCTCTTTATTTCACATCAAATACATCCTCCTTCCCTTCCTCTTTATTTCACATCAAATACATCCTCCTTCTCCTCCTCTTTATTTCACATCAAATACATCCTTCTCCTCCTCTTTATTTCACATCAAATACATCCTCCTTCTCCTCCTCTTTATTTCACATCAAATACATCCTCCTTCTCATCCTCTTTATTTCACATCAAATACATCCTCCTTCTCCTCCTCTTTATTTCGCATCAAATACATCCTTCTTCTCCTCCTCTTTATTTCACATCAAATACATCCTTCTCCTCCTCTTTATTTCACATCAAATACATCCTCCTTCTCCTCCTCTTTATTTCACATCAAATACATCCTCCTTCTACTCCTCTTTATTTCACATCAAATACATCCTCCTTCTCCTCCTCTTTATTTCACATCAAATACATCCTCCTTCTCCTCCTCTTTATTTCACATCAAATACATCCTCCTTCTCCTCCTCTTTATTTCACATCAAATACATCCTCCTTCCCTTCCTCTTTATTTCACATCAAATACATCCTCCTTCTCCTCCTCTTTATTTCACATCAAATACATCCTTCTCCTCCTCCTCTTTATTTCACATCAAATACATCCTCCTTCCCTTCCTCTTTATTTCACATCAAATACATCCTCCTTCTCCTCCTCTTTATTTCACATCAAATACATCCTTCTCCTCCTCTTTATTTCACATCAAATACATCCTCCTTCTCCTCCTCTTTATTTCACATCAAATACATCCTCCTTCTCATCCTCTTTATTTCACATCAAATACATCCTCCTTCTCCTCCTCTTTATTTCACATCAAATACATCCTTCTTCTCCTCCTCTTTATTTCACATCAAATACATCCTCCTTCCCTTCCTCTTTATTTCACATCAAATACATCCTCCTTCTCCTCCTCTTTATTTCACATTAAATACATCCTCCTTCTCCTCCTTTTTATTTTACATCAAATACATCCCTCTCTTTTAAAAACCACATTTCCGTCTAAATAGTTTTTTCTGTTTAAATTCTTTCTGTTCAAAGTCAACAATCTTGTCTTTTGACAAATAAAATTTTTATATGTTTTATATAATTTCAATTCTTTTTTCCAACATGAAAAACTTAACAATGAGATTTTTTTTGCAGCAAATTCTTGTTGACATTTTATTTAACTTACCATATACAAATCATGACTTCAATGTATAAAATGCTCAATGATAAAACTTTAATAAGTAATATAAATAAATTTTATTTAATTTTAATTTCGATTTTAAACTTCTTGCTTTCTCAGAATTAATTCCATTTAATATTGCAATATTTTTTTAATATTGTGCAATATTAAAAATTTAGATAAAATTTAATTAACTTAAAGTATCAACTTTTTTTTTTTTTTTTTTTTAGTATTTATTAATAAATTTGTAGAATTTTGAATTAAATAAATTACTTTTCTACCATCATTTGGAACTAAAAGTTGATGGTTGTCAATACATCCTGGTTTTACAACTATTTCTTTAGATAAATTCCCATGCAATGTTAAACTCTTTGCAGGTAATTTGTTTGCAGAGCTTTCACCGGATATACTTGAATTAGAAGATGATAGACTTAATTTACTTTCGTGAAGCTTTTCCGGAGATTTTTGAGGACCTATTTCAGGCGAAACAATATCCTGAGAAAAAAGAAATAATATAATTAATGTTATAATAGAAAATTTGTATAAAGAAATATTTTATAAATACGATAATGAAAAAAATTATTATAAATATATATAAAAAAGACCTTTTTTATACAAATTAACAAAAGGAAAAATGAATATCTTATATTTTATTTAAATCATCATATTTGTTAATAAACATTAAGTTTTCATCTAAACTAGTTTCTTTAAATTATTTTTATTGAAAAATATTTAATTCTTGTGGTCATGATACAAATGATAGAACATGCCTGATCAAGGCATAAATACCCCAAAATTAGCAAATCAAGACAATATATCTTTTAATTGAGCAATCACACATATGCCTAATATGTATAATTGTTCTTGCTAATTAAAGAACTTTTTAAGGCATAAAACTTTCTTAACTAATCTTCTTATTACTTTTCTATTTATTTTTTTGTTTATTTTATTTTTACTTAAATGTGAAGTGTGATGTCTATTCACAGAAAGCTCTTGTGAATTTATAAACAAAAATATGAACTTTTAATTTATAAATAACAAATAAGTGACTACCTCATATTTTACATAATTCATCCAAGTCTTCCACCAATCCATTGAAACAATATAATAAAGTGAGCTGGGATTAAGTCCTTCCTTTGTATCCCGCTCCAACCAACGACTAAAAAATAAATTACAAAGCTGTAATAAAAAAAAAAAAAAAAAAGTTGCTTAAAATTATGTTAAAAAAACAAACTAGTTTTAGGCAAAGGAAACAACTTCATGGTAATAACAAAATTTAAGGTAATTACAAAATGTAAGGTAATTTTTTTTTTACAAAGAGTAACAATTTTTTTTTTACAAAGATTAACCACATATAACCATTGATTAAACATTAAATTTTTTGAAAATTAAAAATATTGCTTTACTTAGCAACCACTAGTGTTTACATAGCAACAATTGGAATTTTCTAAAACTTAAAGTAGTAGAAGTCCAAAAACCAATTTTTAATACTTAATAATTTTGATACTTAATATTTTTAATACTTAATAATTTTGAAATTTAATATTTTTAATAGCCATAATAGAAAACTATTAAATTTTTTGTTTAGTAAAAAATAACAGTTTATTAGATTAGGGTTAAATTAATAACTAATAATAAATTAGTTTGAAAATTAAAGTTTTTACATAATTTAAGTTTGTTTTGCACAAGATATGTAAAATTTTAATCAGGAAATATATGCTAACAATATGATGTTTATTTATTAGACTTTATTTTTTAATATACTTTTAATATACTATATTTAATTATATTACATTTAAAATTATCCTTTAGTATACTTTATATTATATTTATTTAACTTTATATTTAGTTAACACATTCTACTAAAAATATTTCTTCACTTACCACCTAAATTATTTACACTTACCACCTACTTTTGCATTTGTATTGGTGGTCCCCTACCTTTGTATCAAATACATAAAAGTAAACCACATTCAAAATTGAAATAATAAATGAGTTACCCTACTATCAAACCCTCCTCTTCCTTTAACGCTGGACGCAATCCAAATGAAATATGACAAATCTGGAAAAAAATTATGAAATCATAACACTTTTGTTGTCAGTCAAATTAAAAACTTCCTCTATCTATCCTAATCAAATTTATAACACATTTAAAACAATATATATAAAAAAATAGATTGGGTTAAATACACTAAACAACTTCAACAGACAATCAGTCAAGATTTCATTATATGATACAAAAGCAACTGTGACTGATGAATATTTCATTTTATGATACAAATGCAACTGTGACTGATGAAGATTTCATTTTATGATACAAAAAGCAACTGTGACTGATGAAGATTTCAGTTTATGATACAAATGCAACTGTGACTGATGAAGATTTCATTTTATGATACAAAAGCAACTGTGACTGATGAAGATTTCATTTTATGATACAAAAGCAACTGTGACTGATGAAGATTTTATTTTATGATACAAATGCAACTGTGACTGATGAAGATTTCATTTTATGATACAAAAGCAACTGTGACTGATGAAGATTTCATTTCATGAAATCTTCTTTTATTTTTTATTCAATCAACTAAATTCATAGGTTGGGTTGGCTTACTTGTTTGTGTTTATATGGAAAAAAATTGTCTCACCTGAGTGGGATCCCACTGAATTTAGTTGAGATCTCAATTAACCAGGTTAGCCTGTTTCTTGTGTAAGCAAGATTAATTTTTCAAGGTAAATATTAAATATGCAGAGATCTTTTAAGTGAACCAGCCCAGCTAACAGGGCTAGCCCACATATAAACAGCCCCTAAGAAATTAAACTAATTATACCAGTATTGTTAAAATCATAAAAGGATTTGAAAATCTTATCAAACAGATAGAAATCAGAATATTTATATAAAAACAAACCAGTAATGGTCACTTATACTAAATGGACATTTAATAAAATTATTACCAGGTAATTAGATTGGAATGCTGGGTTAGACATTTTTATAAAAAATATTTAAAAAAAATTATACTTGATAACTTTCTCCCCTTTTCCTTCTTTTTGCAAAAAAGTCTCAAATTTAAAAACTTTTTAAAAAAAATTAATTTTCTTAAAATTTATGTGTTAAAAAGATGAAACTTAAATAAACTTATAGTTGAGGAAATAGTCGTTTCTAATTTGTAAAACATTAATTAATTTTATAAAATTGCTGGTTAATGGTGATTTAAAGCATTATAAATGCTTGAATGCTTAATACTTAACTACTATGCAACAGCAAGATCTATAAACGAATTGTAAAATAATAATATATAATTATAAATATAAAGTTAATAATTATAAAATGATTTTTTAACTTTGATAATTTTTTTTTTTGCATGCCACAATAAAAAAAACAACAAAGATTTTGAATTTTTTAAAACTTTTATTTACACTCCTTGCGTAATAAATTAGCTTTATATTTTTTAGCTGTAGTTATGCTTTTCAGCTTTTGGTTCAAATTTGTCAAAATTGATAAACGTTACATTTTTTTAAAATTATTTTAGGATTTTAAAATTAAATTTTGATTATTCCAGTTATTAAGAAAAATAGAAGTTAGTGATTATTTGTTGGTTTGGTCTTTAGGTTAATTAAATTAAACATGCCATGGATTTATATTTTTGATTTCACTTTATAGGCCAGTCAAATTAGGTTTTGACCCGGAAAAAATTAGGAGCAAGCTAAAAATTGCTGTAAATGTTCTGTATGCATTCCTGATTTATATTAGAAAAATTTGAAAAATTGAAGTGGAGCTTTATCTGAAATCCAAAATAGCATCCAAGATACAATTTGTAATATTTGTAGATCACTTAGAAAAATGGCCAAAATGGCTTTAAAATTGAAATGTTCAATATCTCAGCTTGTTGATTAAATTGAAGTACAATTTTTTCGTCTAATATATGTTTTTCAGGTCAAGCAACTCATTTTTCACAACTTTGTTTTTTTTTTTAAAACAAAATGGTTATCAATATCCAAGATGGCTGCTTAAACACCACCCAAACTAAAACATGAAAGTTTTTATACCACTTTTAAAAACGACTTTTGTGTCTTGTAATTTGTCATTGAGAAAACAAAGATTTTGAATTTTCAATGTTTTATACATATTCGTTTTATACATATTGGTTTACAAAGGAGTTTTTCTTAATAAACCCACAGGAATACAAGTCTTTGATAAATTTTCTTGGAAGAAAATGCTATTGTATATACAAATACTAAATAAAGAAAACAGAAACTTTAAACTGTATTACATCGCATATTGAACAATAGCTTAACTACACGTATTTCAAAATGTTACAAAATTATCATAATTATATTTTCTCAAACTTTAATATAGATTGTAAATTGTTCATATTAGCTCTTTATCTGAACTATTGACATCTCCATTTAGGTCATTGCCATAATCTTTATCTTCATCAGATGTGCCAGCATCATTTACGTTTGCAGGATTTGAGACACATTGATTAGCAATTCAAAACAACTAAATAAACTATTAAAAGAATTTTTCAATCATTACAAATCAACTACTACAGGAATTTATTATTTGGTAGAAAGTTTTGTGTTATTTTAATCACTATTATCATTATATTATTCTTAAGACATTCATTTTACATTACATTTTACATTTGCAATTCCTAATGCATCCAGTTTTGCAGTTACAGCTTACAAGATGCAACAAATTTTCTGGATCTGAGGTTAAAGGTTTGATTTTGATGAGACTTAATCCTATCATTTTCCAACCCTATTCTAGTGGATCCAAGTAATGACCATGTCATTGTTGTCCTTGATGGTAGACACAAAATGAATGTTGCCCATTTGTCATTCCACATTTGAGCTAACACTAGCACCAATTTATTATAGCCATAGTTGATATGATGGAAACTGTTTGCTTCTTCTCAAATCTTTTCTTACTTTTGTCTTTAAATTTGCAATTTAATTTTTAAATTTAAATGTGTTCTTACTTTTGTCTTTTAATTTGCAGATTTTCTGCAGAATTGACAATATAATTTGAAATTAAACTTTTCTAACATTGAGCAAAGTCTTGGAACATTTTCTAATGAAGCACTTGTATCTAAATTGGAAATGGTTATTGGTTGAATACTCTTAGCATTTGTATAGTCTTTGCGGCACTGAACGTGAACATGGATTGACTTATATTCTCTTATTTTCTCAAACTTGCCATCATTATGTAGTTTACTTCAACTTATTAGGTTTTCCAAACCTACAAACAATAAATCTATATCCAGATGTTTTTTTCTTTGTATATTTGTAATTGGCATGCAAAAGCAAAATTAAAGTGACAAATTGAAGACCTAATATTAAAATTATGTTTGTGAAGAAGTATATAAGACTTATGTACTTCTGCATAAAACTTACTACTTCAGCATAAAAAAGAGAATTACCACACAATAAGCTGCGTCTGCATTATGATTAAATTAATAAAATTTATTTTTAGAGAACTAACAAAACTAAACTAACAAAAATTTTAAGGTCTAGATTCAATTATTATTCTTATAAGGATTGGTAACAGTTTATATTGTGTTGTAAACCTTGCCTAAATAACCAGTAGAGAGTAATTAGCAGTTTATGTTGCAACAATGACTTTATATATGTGCGTTTGAAGCCTCAAAGGAATTAGAGTTGAGAAATCATTGGTATACAAGGGAAATGCACTAAATCCAAAAACATCATTTTGAAATAATGAACAAATATGTTTTCGCGTAATAGTTAAAATAATAAGTTTATGTGTAATAAATGCAATTAAAAATACTAATAACTCATTAATAATTGATTTATTAAATTTGCGTGGTATATCAAACGATAGAGAATTTAAAATACTAAATAGTGGTATAAATAACTCCATACTGCCAAAAATGGACTTAGTACATTTTCCTTGTATACCAACAAAATAATGACTTAAAAGCATGCTATGAACCGCACATTTTAAACCGCAAGGGAATTGACGTTATAATATAGTTTACATTGTAATTAGTTTTTTAGATTTGCAGTCAGTTGCTAAGAAATGTAATAAGTTAAAGGAAAAGTAACTTCTTAAGTGTCACAGGAAAACAAGAATAAATTGCTCACAATTGTAACTATGATAATTTATAAATAATTTAGATTTCAGTTTAGAAAAGAAGAATTCATCTGAGAACAAACTCAACTCATTAAACAGTTAAGAATTGTTACATTAAATTTTCAACATTAATTTCAATATACATAACAAATATAACATAATAATATAGAAAATAATTTCTAATCTCAAATGGGTATGAGCTGACACTCGCAATATTATAAGTGTATTAAAAAGTGCATGCGTAAAGTGTATTAATTTAATATCTTTTTGGCTGCCATCTTTTAGCTGTTTAGCTCAAAAATAAAAAATGTCAAAAACGAATTTCTGGACCTAAAAAACATAATACTAGATGCAAGAATCATATTTCTAAATCATCTACAAGTTGAGATATTACAAATATTATTTTAGACGCTATCTTAAATTCCAGACAAAGCTCCAGTCCAAATTTGGCTGATTTTATTTAATATTAATGAGAAGTGCATTCTAAATATTTCCAGCAATTTTCAGCTTGCTCCTAATTTTTTCTGTGTAACATGACATTTTAAAATAATTTTACTGACCTATTAGCACTTATTAAACTGAAAAGTTTAATTACCTTACTTTAATTTAACTTAATTTTAAAACAACCCATTTAACCCTACCTACACCCTACTACCAAATACTACATTAATATCAGTTTCATCTTTTTTGCTTCAGCAAAATTTGCATACATATCAACTTCTGTTCTACTGATTTTTTTAATTACATTGACACCCATGATACAACATTGATCCCCTTGAAAAAACATTGATCCCCTTGATACAACATTGATCCCCTTGATACAACATTGATCCTCTTGATACAACATTGACACCCATGATACAAGGGTAGAAGAAGAAAAACATTTAAAAAAAAAGTATATTAAAATTTATTATGTTTCCTGTGATTTAAAGATGTTATAAGCATTTTTTGGTAATAAGTCCATTTGTTCAATTTAAGTCAAAAATAATTATTTAGGCTGAATCTATGATAATGTGTGGAGAATGAGTTTAATCATAGAATAATAATTTATTGACATAACCCTATGTAAAAAGGTCTATAGTTACTGATAACTTTTGCTAGGTTCTGATAAAACTTTTTTTTTTTAATTCTGAACTATGATATTACCCAAGATTTTAAGATTCAAAGATTTGATAAATAAAGATAAAAATTTTTTTTCTTCGTTTAATAATGAAAATATTTTTATTGTCTAAATTAAAAAAAAAAAAACGAAAAAAAAACAGACTTCTATCTTTATCAGAAATGCGGCAGCCTATCTTAATCATCAACAATCTTGAACTTTACTTTTTTATATCAAGTCTGAAACTGTTTTTCCTTATTTAACTGCAAGGGTTTCTTTGCAAATTGCAGTTAAATTGCAATAAGTTAAAATATGTAAAATAATAAAAATCACAAATAATTAAATAATTATAACAGTTTTGCACCTTTAAAATGTTTTAACGTTTGTGTTAAATTATAGTTAAATCTCTTCAAAAATTAATATATGAATTAAAAAATTAATTATGAAATGTTTATTCTTTATAAAATATGACTAATATATGAAAAAAAGAATAAAAGCTTTAAACAGTTTATCTTTATAGAAAAATAAAATTAATAAAAAAAGTTAATGTAAGTTTTAGTAACATGTTTAAAAACTTTTAAATTACCCAACAAATAACAGCAAACAATCTTTTTTGTAACCTTACCTGAAATATCAACAGCAAGAATTCATGAATATGTGAACTTGTTGATGCCCATATTCGAAATTGATCAAATGTAACTTTATTTTCCTGTAAAAGATGTAAATTTCCATTTTGTGATAAATGACATCAACAACAAAAACAGCAACAGTTATATATATATATATATATATATATATATATATATATATATATATATATATATATATATATATATATATATATATATATATATATATATATATATATATATATATATATATATATATATATATATATATATATATATATATATATATAAACACACACATTTTAATTCTAATGTTCAAAAAAATTTATAACTCTAAATCGTTAGAGCCAATCTAATGAAAATTTCTAAATTTTTTTTATTGAAGGCAATCAATATTAATTAATCAAAAAAAATCAATATTGATAATTTTTATTTAAAAAATCATTAAAAAAACCACTAAAAGAACTAAAGAAAATATAAAAAGCAGAAGCAGATGCTAACAAAAAGCAAATGGAATATTCTTTAAGTGATTAAAGATTAAACAGAGAATGTGCAGAATGTTAAAAACATTACCAGTTAGTCCAGTAAACCTTAAAAAGCAAAAATGCTTTAAGAGAAAAACAGTGTAAGTTACAGTATGGTACATCAATATTTTTGTGCATTTACCATTTTTAATGTAAAAGCACAATCCTAAGTACCAGGAAATAAACTTTAACATGTATTAAAATCTTTTAGTAGAATAATAATAAATAAAGCATGAAAAAAAAAAAAAAAAAATTCTAAATCAAGAAATACATTAATTTAAGAATAAAATTAAAAAAAAAAAAATGAAGTGACACAACGCTACAAACAATATCTGACAGAAAACATGTTATAATACTATACTAGTAATAATGAAATTTTGTTTCCAACAGAAAATGTTTTTAACTATGTTTTTACATCATTTATTTATAGTTTAAACTATAAGTTTGTTTAACTATTTTGAGTCTATACAATGAAATGCTGAGTCTATACAATAAACTGCAAAAATCTTGGTAATAACCCAGTCATAACAAAAGGTTTGCCAATATACATTATTAAACTAAATGTGATATGCTTAACTAATAAAATAACACAATTAGTAAGGCAGGAAGATTTTTTTCTGGTAGTCTTAGCTTAAAAAAGAAATTTCTATAAGACAGACAAGCCTATAAAAAAAAAAGAAATTTCAATAAGACAAGCTTATATACACCAGTCTTAATAAAAACACTTTTGTCTAGTCAACGCTTTTTAAAGTCAACAGAAAAGTCAACACTTTCTAATTGTTTAGAACAGTCAACAATTTTTGATTGTAGTAATGGCACTTTATTTGTGTTAAAATTGCGCAGCAGCAATAGTACTAGAAATATTAGTAATAATAATACATACCTCATTAGGTACTAATCCTTGTATAATTTCTTCTTTAGCAATAGAGGTCTAAATGAAAAAAAAAATTAGTTTATTTTGTTAAAAATCACTAAGATAAAATCAGTTTTTTAAAAAATACATACAACATTAGGTTATATATTATTTACTATAATGGTAAACATTGAGTATAAAAATACATTATATAGCATTAAACATTGAGTTTAAAAATACACTATATCGCCACTGACACTGCAAAACCTTGTTTTTTTTTGTAATTATTCAGGGGTTTGATCATAACTAATTTTGCTTTCATATTCATAGCAAATGCAATTAAGTATTTTTGTCACATGACAAATTGAGACAATCTCATTAGTCAGACTGTTACACGGTTTTACAAGTACATGTATACCACTTTATAGAAACGTTTTACATCATAAACAGTAGTAGGTTAAAAGTGGCTGTTATGAGGTTTTGTTTCAGTGACAATATAGTGTTAAACATCCAGTATAAAAATGCATTATATAGTAATACCAATATTAATCTAAACAAATGTTTTTGGTGATTGGGATGAAATCAAAAATAAACATAAATTGAAAAACCTATGTTAGAGAATTAATTTTTTTTTTAGCCATTATAAAGATTTCAAGTAACAGCTCCTGTTATAACATTTCACAAAATAAAAAACTAATGTTAGAGAATCAAAGTTTTGTTCATATTTAACCATTAAAAATATTTCAAGTGGTTAATACTTTAACAGCTCCTGCTAATATTTCACAAATTCAAAGCAGTTTCTAAACATTCTTATTCATCAACAAAGCTACAAAATTTAATATTTTTATATTAAATTTGTTCACCGGCAAAATTTTATATTTTAGAGACCACCTAATAGGAAATAGTTGACATATGACAACCATAATGAAAATAGTGAACTTATGGCAATCATAATGAAAATAAGACTTACAACCATTACAGGCCTTGTTAAAAAGCATTAACCTGTTTGTGTTTTATATATAAAAACTGTTATTAACAAGTAACACCATTTTTATTATAACTAAAATCTCTCTTGGAGTATTTTAAATTGTATTTTTGTAGTATTTGCCATATTTATTTAGAAAATACTAAACCATAACTAAATAAACTTTTCCATAAAAATTTATCAAAGAATTTATGCCACCATAAGGAAGATTTTGAGATTACAGCTGAATGGGTATTTTTTGCAACCAGCCATAGAAAATCCACTTTTGATGGCATAGGTGATATCATTATCAGGTGATACCATTAAAAAAATAATAGCAAGAGTAAGTTTACAAAGACCATTGGAAAACTAAATATTGACAGTTGATGATATGCTTGAGTTTTGCATCACCAATAAAAACACAATAGTATTTTATAAAATTACCAAAGAAACAGTTAATACAAGGTGACAGCAACTAAAGGAGCAATTTGAACAGTTTGATGTAGCCAAAACTGTTAAAATAGTACCTTTTTTTCTTGTTTAATTTAATAAAATACCTGTTTTTTAAGCAATAAATTTAAGTAGATTTGACCATGTTTTTATTTCTGTTTTAGGAAAGATTACTCTCCAGTTCTTTGTAATAACTAACTATTATTATTAATAACTAACTATTATTATTAATAACTAACTATTATTATTAATAACTAACTATTATTATTAATAACTAACTATTATTATTAATAACTAACTATTATTATTAATAACTAACTATTAAGGACAACTTGAAAAAAAAATCGAGCTACATTAGCTCGATTTTTTAAATAACCTTTGAATTTGGGGTTTTATGTTCGTTCTAAGTATTTAAAGTTGTTTCATTGGATTTGTTGGCCCAAAATATGTAAAGGTACAAATTTTAAGCTTTTCAACACACATCTAACAGAAAGAAGGACCAAAACTATTTTTAAAAATGGCAGATTTTTGTTGGTTGGAGGCTTAAAATACCTATATCTTAGGCACCAGTTGAAATTAGATAATAAAATACCAATTGAAATTAAACGATAAATTTTCATGATTTTCATGAATTTACTGAAAAGTAGTTTAAAAATCAGTAAAATCTGAGTCTTGAATTGTGGGTTGCATTTTTAAAAAAATTGGATGTTTTCACATGAAATCGCCCCACTGTTTTTTTTGTTCTTCCATTTATTAAGTCAAATCAATCAGCTGCTTGTCTTTGTATTTTCCTTTTAAATTCAAGAAAATTGAATACTTTTTGAATTTTGCATAACATTAAAAATTTAGATTTGATTCAATAACTTAAAAGTGACAAGAAAATGCCTTTATATATTAGAAGATATTATTTTAAAAAATTAAATCAAAAATTATGCTCTGTTTGAGAAACTTCTGTGTAAAACATTGAGGACTCATCTACATTAACAGTATCAACTTTTTTTAAACAGTCATATACTTCTTAATTTGGTCCAACTATAACATGTTTGTGTTTCAGAAAAGCAATTTCATTATTTAGCCAAAGTGTTTTGATTTTATAATAAAAAGTTTCCATACAAATCCAATAAGTTTTTTGCCATATTCTGGTGGCATTGGAATCAAAGTGACATAACTTACCATAGATAAAATTTAGGTTATACAGGCCTTGCGATGAATAAGTGCTGCGCGACGCATAAGCACGACGTGATTTTTGACGTCATTAAATTCTTTTTATTTGCTTTTCATATTTATCGACATTAACTGCACCAATTTATTTAATTACCGCAAAACTACTTTAAATCGTTTATGTAGAAATGTTATTATTTAAAAATGTTTTGGAATGTTTCGTTTTTTAAAATGTAAAAACATTTGTTTATTTTCTCGAGTTTGTCACGTTTTGTCTATATTAAACGAATAAAAAACATTATAACTTAAATTTAAAAAAGATTATAAAATATGCTAATATTTGATTTTTTTTTTCTTAAATACGTAATTTAAAGTTTTTCAAATAATTATTTTTTCTTTTTAAAAAGTCAGCGAGTAATAAACTGGAAATTTTAATATTGTACGATTAAAAACTGTGCAATAGCTAATATTTTTACAAGCGATTTTATATAATATTTATTTATTTATTTTTATTTATTTTCATAAAGCGGTTGATAAGCACAATCACTCGTATTAATAAAAAACTTAAACGAACGTTTTGAATAGATTTTTAATGTTAACAAGGAATTTTATTTCTAGTAAAATAAAATAAAATGTTAGAATAAAAATCTTATAGGTATAAAAGAAATATTTTAGCGAAAAAATTATTCTTAAAAATTATTCGAAAAACTATTGACGTTCTATTTTTCAGCAGCTGTTCTTGAGCACGCTTCGATGAGTTTCGGTAACTTTTAACATAAAAGCGATCGTTAATATTTAAGTAATTTTTTTGAGTTACTTTTTACAAAAATTTTAATAACTGTACTTTTTTATTGAATCAAGTAGAATACGTTTTAATATTAATCTTTTTTTTTTTTTATTTGCCCTCACCAATTTTTAAAATGTTTCCTCGAAATCACTCTTAAATACTTTAAATACGTCTAACAGTTAATAAATATTTTTAAATCTATGGAATAATTTTAAAACCTATCAAACCCCTGTAAAATAATTATTTAAGTTTAAAATCTAAAACTAAAAGAAAGTATTTTTGTTCAATTTTATCGACAACGTTGCTATTGCTGAATAATTTTATTAAAATGTTAGCTTAAAAGATTTTTTTTTTTTTAATTTTTGAATTTTTTCTACTTGAAAATAATGAGCATATTTAATTTTTTTAAATTCAAACTTTTATTTCAACTGCATGCGGTTTTTAAAATACTTGATTAAATGTTAAAATAATCGTCAATTACTTCATTAAAATTCCGCTCAAAAATATCTTTAAATATACTCAAACAAAAAATTTTTTGCTCGACGCAAATAGCCCTAGCTACACGCAAAATCGCCCTTGGACGACGTAAAACTCACATCGCCCGACGCTTTATCGCAAGGCCTGGTTATATGGTGGTATATGGTATTTAACCAGATTGATCAGTAAGACAATTATCTTATACATAAGCTATATTATAAATAATTTAATTAAACAAAGTTAATAAATACCTACATCGCCAGGACACTTTAAATAAATCTCATGGAGTGTTGACACCATGTTGTTTAACTCTTCATTGCATAAATTGTTATCAAGATTTATGTCAAAGATTGCAAAAGAAGCTAAAGTAATAATTATTAATAAAATAAAATAATTAAGCTAAAATAATAATTATTAATAAAAACAAAATTTGTGTAATTGTAACTTTCAGTTAATGAGATAATGACAGTTTGATTTGTGGCATTATTTTTGATTTCATTGTTTTTGATTTAATTATTTTTGATTTCATTGTTTTTGATTTCAAAAGATAACTTGCAAAAGGACTTGTTTACGTTTTCTGCATAAAAAAGAATTTATTATCTACCACTCTCTATCACTCTCTTCCCTTATGAATTCAGTCTAGGAAAAACTACAGAGAAATTATATACCAAAGCTGAGAAAAAAATGAAGAAGCAAATAAAGCATAAAGAACTTTAGAGAAATAAAACAGAAAAAATTTTTTAAATTTTTTTTGTAGTGATAAAATTTATTAATTTTTTTTTACAATAATATTAAAAGTAATTTAAAAAAAATTAAATAATTTAATAATTTAAGAAATGTACTAAATAAACCAAAGCTTTTCAGAAATTGCTTACAAATATGAAAAATTAAAAACGAAAAACAAAAATCCAGTCATCCAAGAGCCAACTGCAATAAAAATGTTATCATAGTATTGTAAATAATCTGAAATATTTTTACAATAATTTGAATAAATAGTATTGCTTATAAATGATAATTAAATAATTTTTAAGCACATTGAGTTATGACTAGATTTAACTAATGTAATGATTATTTTTTAAGAACCTTAATACTTAATGAACAGTGACTTTCTATAACCTATATAAAAGTTAATGCAAAATTAATTTTTTGCATTAACTTTTCATTGAAAGAAACTGTTCTTTTTAAAATAAGCTAACATTATTACTTTTTAAAAGATAAAGTTCTGTGTAAGCTTATGTGCAAACTCTATGTATATTTTTAATTTTTAAATTCAACATAATTATTAATTTTAATTTTAAATAGTATAAAAGAATATATAATTGAAATGAATATAAAAAAAATGAAAAATTAATAACCTTTGAGCCTTTTGGTAGTTGAACCTCTACATAATGTTGATATACCACAAATCATTTCTTTTAAATCAATAACTTGATCATTGTTAAGATCGAAATAGTTAAAAAAACCTTAAAATAGTATTTCACTATTAATTAAGTTATACACTATTAATTAAATAATAATATTAAAGTAAAAATAATATGAAAAATATTATAATTTTTTATAAATAAAACTTTATAATTTTTTAATACAGCAAACAAAAATATTAATTACTATAAAAATATTTCTTTTAAATTAAACTTCTATTTCTTAAAAATACTTCTTTCAAATCAACTTTTCATTTTTTCAGAACAACATAACATACCCATTTAATATTTTACAGAACAACATAACATACCCACTTAATATTTTTACAGAACAAAATAACATACCCATTTAATATTTTCTCTGAAAAGTTTAAAGAGATTTGTTTCTTTCATCACTATTATAGTTATAATTAAAAAACATAATAATTATAATTAAAAACACTAAAATCATCTGCTTCATAGTTAAATAGAGGTTTCAAACATTTCAAACATATTAGGGACCCGTTAAGGAAAATGAACTACCCCTAAAAATATTTTTTTTTAAAATTTTTCAATACCAGTATTATTTTGTTATATAGAACACATTTAGAGCAGGGACACCTTAGTGTACCGGGAACAATTATGTTCTTTTCATTTTAAATTTTAACACATGATTCCTAGTTAAGGAAAAACTTTATGTTCAAAATTTTAGCCATAAATGTTGAGCAAAAATATCACAATTTACATTTTGACCTAAGATGAGATCTTTAAAAACTTAAAATAAGAAATAACAAAAATATGATAATAAGTATGTTAATCCGACACCGAATATTGTATATTCCAAGAAACAAAGAATTTTCTTCGAATATACGTTTTTTCAAACAGAAATTGATTTAATTTTATAGTGTAAATTTAAATAAAGTTTTTAAAGAAAATAAAATTGTAAAAGTACTAACAAAACTTTAGATTTAGAGCACATGGTTTTTTGTTCATGAGATCTACCATTTGATAAATTAATAGAAAATCTAATAAATCTGGAAAAAAATGTATGGGGTGTCGGGTTAAATGCTTTTTTTATACAAAATTAAAAAAAACTTTTTAAACAAATTTTTAAAATTTGTTTAGAAGTTGTTACTTTGATAATACTACAAAATTCATCATCAATTTTACAAATTGTTGTTCTTTGACTTTTTGTAAAATTTTCAAAATTTAAGAAAATTATTATATTAAAAAAAAAAGTTGCAAAATTTTTTTGAAACCCAGTCAATATTAAAATTGAAAAATCTCTTGCAACATATTTTGGGTCAAAAAGTTGTTTGAGAATTTTTTTTTAAAAAAAAAAACGTAACAGCTCTAGAGGTTAAAAGATGCATGTTCAAAACTTTTCAAAAAATTTTTTTTAATGTGAAATTAAAATCTTTTCTTGTTTAAAACTAGAAAAATATCTAAACAAGTTGAAAGCAGATAAAATTTAGTTTAGCAATACAAATAATGTTATTGTTATTTATCAAAATAACAGCAACAACAGCATCAACTAAAAGTACAAACATTAAAAAATATTAATAAATAAAAAATTTTGACAAAAAAAAAACTACTTTGACAATGAAGATCGGGAAATGGTGGAGATACAAACAGTTTGAAGGTATCAAAATCAAAATAACCACTTTTAGAACAGCTTTTCATTTGCCAATAACGTTTTTCAATTTCAACTATGTCTGACTCACTCACTAAAAAAAAATTTATTCATTTCTGTGGATTTAGGTTGGCACTGTAATAATATACTCTGCTCACTTTAATTTTTAAAATGTTAATTATAATCAAGAAGTTAAAAATTATAGTAATTAATTCCTAATTTTTGCATTTATCTTGTATTTATCTCTAGAAGGACTACAGTTAAGGAAGCTTTTTATTTTATCTTGAAAAGAGGATATAAAATTAGTTTGTAAAAAGCAATTGTGAAAAGAATTATTTAGATGAATTTAGTTTAATTATTTAACAATTATTTAAATAAACTATTTAGGTAAATGAGGTTGTTCATTTGTTTTTATAAATTTAACAAATTATCATGCCTGAATTTTAATATTAATTTTGATTTTATATTTAATGAACTTTTCCTGATCTGAATTTTTTCTGATAATGATCAAGACATAACATAACATAATTAACATAAAACATAACTTTTGTTAACATTTTATGCACAATATTTGTAAAACATTTATAGACCAAAATTTGAAATTCATACTTTAATATTACATCTGTTATACTTCAATCACGATATAAAATTCAAACTGCTTTAATTCATCATCACACTCTCTGCCAGGTCTTTGCACACTCAGTGCTAGAAAATTGAGTTAGTTTCATCTACAAATCTCAACATTGTTAAAACACATCTTGAAGTGATGAGATCTAAGAAAGCATCATCTTAGCTTTACTTAGCCTTTATTCTGCCATTTAAGCTTTACTTTGCTTTTGTTCTGCCATTTGTTGAAAATAAAATTGAAATTATGCTTAGAGCTGATCTCATCAAGCCAGTGGTTATTGCTAAAGTGGTCTATACTATATATTAGATACCACTAATATATATAGATATGTATTAGTGGTATCTAATATATAGTTTACAACATTCTTTATTACATTTTTTGACAAGGATTTTACGCAAAAATAGCAGCCATATTTTTGTTTCCAATTTCAGTATACTTCTAGATGTACTTTTTTATTTATTAGAAAATGTAATTTATAATCACTAATTAACCAATATACTGAATTAACCAAGATTTAATTTAAAAATTTAAATTATTTTTTTTTAACTAATTTATAAAAAGAGAAGGCTGTGAGCACTATTTAAGTTAGGAGTAACCAAAAAACAAAGAATATTGTTAAAAAACAAGAAAACAATACTTGGAAAACTGTATTTTGCATGAGTCTGGAAAACATGAAAATGGGACAGAATTCCAAAGCATTGGTGTGCAAGGAAAAAAACTAGATAAAATTTTTAGAGCATGAAGGGAAAGATACAGTAAAAGGCTGTTTCATTGATGAATAAAAAGTCACATGACATTGAGTTTGATTGATGAAATAAGAGATGATAGCTCGTTTAAGCAGTGACAATGATAGCATTTGTAGAAATAAGGAAAACATGCAACCTTACAATGCTGAGACAGAAACTCAAACTTGGCAGCTAGAGTTGATCTAACTGCATTTACATTTTGATCTTGCCTAAAAGAGAGAGAGAAGAACCAGCCTAAATATGACAATATTCCATATAGAGAATATTGTCAAATATTCAGTTTCACAAAGGGTCATTTGTGAATGATAATCCAAGAAGAAATAAATTGGAAAACAATGGACTAACCTGTTTCTCTGAAATGACAAGAAGAGTATGGTCATTAAATTTAAGAGCCAAAATGAGAAAATTTTTTTGCAAACAGTTTATTCTTTGCAATTGCAATTACCTTATCATTTGGAGAGGTAATAAGATCAAAACTATGTATTAGAGATCGAATGTCAGACTTAAGTCTTCAAGTGAAACTGTCAGACTTTAGTCTTCAAGTGAAACTGTTAAAGGTTTTCTAAATGTCTAGAACTTTACATCTGTGTTAAAATACAAGATTTGGTAAATAAAGCTTGGCATCACACAGTACCTTTGCAATGATTTCTTTCATCACACAGTACCTTTGCAATGATTTCTTTTATCACACAGTACCTTTGCAATGATTTCTTTCATCACACAGTACCTTTGCAATGATTTCTTCCATCACACAGTACCTTTGCAATGATTTCTTTCATCACACAGTACCTTTGCAATGATTTCTTTCATCACACAGTACCTTTGCAATGATTTCTTTCAAAAATAAAAAGATGCTTGCTCTCGAGAAAGTTGTTCTTGTAAAGTAGTTTTTTATTTTTAATATTTTTAGAATTTTTAATTATGCTTTAAGTTATTAGAGAACTTGACTCAATTATAGATAGTGCATGGAACAACCAATAAGCTATGTAGTTGCCTTAATTAACCCTACATCCATTATTAAACATTAGAATTTATTAGACACATTTGCAATTACACATTAAATAATTTAAAGTATAAAAGAACTATAACGTTATTTAATCTGTTATGCCCATCCCATGACTTTCTAGAAATGAAGATATCAATGCCAAGTAAATATAGTTTACAGTATAAGTATATCTAGCCACAACAATGCACACCAAAAGTAGTAACAAAGATACCTTTCATTCACAACATGGCACTGTTAATACTCTGATGTTTTATAGCTGTTGATGGTATAAGCCTCTCTGAGAGCAACCACAGAGTTCAGAAAAACTTGATAACAGGTGACCTCAGAACCCTTAAACTAAGTTTTAGAGCCTAACCCTCATTAGTAGATGACAGAAAAAGTTGAATTGGCACTATTAAGTAGGTACAAAATCTTATGAGAACTCAAAAATGTTTAATATCCTAGGCAGGATATATGTAATATAGGCTTTGTAATAGGATAATGTAATATAGGTTTGCATCTACGCCAACCTAATAAAAGAAGGGGTATGAGACCGGTCAAGATAGTTATTTTGCTTACGCCAATATATTTGCCTAAGAGGCGTTCTACAAGACAGTAGACAGAGGCAGTTGATATCTGCCGAAAATAAGTATTTTTATCAAGAGCACTAGGGGTATTTTATATCAGGTTGCACTAGATTAAATTTTACCAGTAGCAATGTGGTCATAATACTCCTAAACCTGACCTGAGATTTTCATGTATTTAAAAGAGAATGTGCATTCAAATATATTTGTGATCTAAAAATACTTACTTTCAAATTAAATTGGTCTATTCTAAAACCTTTACCCGCCTATAATAAAGTTTACAATAAATATATGCTTTGTTTGCAAGTAAAATTTTAAATAATAATAATTCATCTAGATCAGGAAAATTTATTAAATGAAAATAAACAAATTATTTGTGGCCATGCTATGCAAATAAAATCACAAATGGTTCAATATAGTGAACAGGACCACAAGTTCTTTAATTAAATAACCTGGCGCTGTAACTCCTTATCAAAGCAAGCTATCAATGATCTGAGATTAAACAGGTGTAAAACACAATTCAACCAATATGTTATAATGAAAAAAAAAATACTGCAGATTAAATTTTATTATTCAAAATGAAGCATGAATATTATATTTTCCTTTTTTTAGATTTTGATTATCTTTCTATAAATACTATTCTGTTTTTATTTAAGTATATATTTTTATTATACTGTGTACACGAACAACCTTTAGTCATGTGAATTTATATATGAACTTATAACTTTTTGTAAAAATTTGTAACTTTTTCTATAATTTGAAATTTAGATGATCTCCTAGTTGAGAAAAAAAAAGTTACATGCAAAAAAAAAAAGTGAACAAATTTTACTTATTTTATATTTAATTAAAAAAAAAATACCAAAAAGTTAAGAGATTTGAAAAACATACACATTGAAATATTTGCTAAACATTTATAAAATGAAGGAACATCATTTGTACTAGAAAGTTTAACCCCATGCTCCCCAAGTTGCTCTTCTAAAAGCCACCGTGTCACAGAGCAAAAATCCACATTTGCCAATAACCATTCATGAAAATCATTGTAAAATAACTTTTCATGCTAAAAATTAACAAATACACTTTTATTATTATTATTATTATTATTATTATTATTATTATTATTATTATTATTATTATTACTATTATTATTATTATAGTTTTATTTAGATAAACTGTTTAGATAAGCACTGCGACATCATACTAAAATAGCCATCTGCCGGAGGCTTCAGTATATACATCAATTATCTTAAAGCCTGCTGCTGCAAAAGAGTGCTGCTTCATCCAGGGTTTGGGATGAGGCAGCAATCTTTTTTTTCGTTATTCTTTTTTTTTCTTCTGAAAAGGCTACAAGCTATAAAGATAAGCAAAACAAGTAAGCAAGTAAAGTAAAGTAAGCAAGTAAACAAAGTAAGTTAGTAAGCAGGTAAAGTAAGTTAGCTCTACTATATATATATATATATATATATATATATATATATATATATATATATATATATATATATATATATATATATATATATATATATATATACATATATACACACACATATATTTATATAGTTAACTCCCAATAACTCAAACTTCCAGTAGCTTGAAGTGTATATCCTGTTGAACCTAACTTTGAAAAAAGTCAAATAATTTTTTTTGTTTCTTAGACGTTCCAGTTGGATATTCTTAAACTTCCAAAAACAATAACATTCTTGGAAGTATATAAGAGATTAAAATAAAAAAGTCAATATTATATCAGACTATACCAGCACGAAAGCATTTCTAATGGTTGATGCTAACATACAACCTCCATCACAAGCAGAATAAAAATTTTCCATGTCTTCTTGCGTAACTGTTACACCATCCATAGACATCAATGAAAATATAACTGAAAGTTAAAAAAATTTTAATTAGTACTAAATGGATACAATAAAAAAAACTAAAAAAACAACTAAAAAAACTTATAAATATAAGGTCTTTAATTCATTGCGCAATATATATATATATATATATATATATATATATATATATATATATATATATATATATATATATATATATATATATATATATATATATATATATATATATATATATATATATATATATATATATATATATATATATATATATATGGTCCTTAAAATATAAATGAGTGGTCCTTAAAACAACATTTTTTTTTAAATGTCTACTTTCACCCTCTAAATGTGTTCTATGTAATCAAACAATACTAGAATTAAAGAAAAAAAATTTAGGGGTAGCCCAAGATCCTTAAACATCAGACAGGTCCCTATAATTATCAAAAAAAATAGTTCTTCAAAAGCATATCATGTTGGGTCTCAAAAGAAGAGATAATCATCATTTTATAAAAAACATTGAGAAAAAAAAAATTATAATAAAGTTTTTGTAAAAATGCTTATTTTTAGTTTTTAGTTTTAAAATGTCATTTTCTAGGCAGTGGAATCTAAAATAACAATTTTTTATAAAATGATTTCTATTTTTGAAGTTTTTATATAATTTTTCTACTTTTGGGACCCAACATGATATATTTTTGGAGAAATATTTTTTAATAATTATAGGGACCCGTCTAATGTTCAAGGGTCTTAGGCTACCCCAAAAATATATTTTTTCGAAAAATTTTTAATTCTAGTACTATTTTATTATATATAACAAATTTAGAGGGTGAGAGTAGGCATTATGGATTTTACAAAAATTATATATACAAATGTTAGAAACGGTAGTGCGCGTAAAAATTTAATTATGTAATAGAATATTCGAAGAAATGTGAATATTTTTTTTTGTCTTAAAAAGTCTGTCTTGTGTAGGCGCAGGATGTTTAAAAAATGTCAGTTTTACTATAAACTCTAAAAAAACTGGTATAACAATCTTATTATTGTTATTTTCAATGTACATAATGCTACTAATGTAAGACGGGGTGAATCATAAAAGATAGCCATCATTATTTGTGGGGCTTAGGGCTTATATCTCCCTCTCCATTATTATGAAAAACCATAAAAATTGGTCAATAACAGGAAATGGTATATGATTTATGGTATTAAATGGTATATTATTTATGATAACGTTGGTCCTATAGCTAATTTGAAAAAACAATTTCCTCACAATTTGCTTTTTAAACTTGTTCTATTTATTTATGATCAGTTTTTAACATCCTAAAATTATAATAAAAAAATAAAGCATTTCTTTGAAATGATCTAATTAACAAACTTATAAAATATATAAAGATAATCTTTACCTACTACAAAAAACTACCAATATTTTTACACTAACATAATATCAATTTCATTGGGATAAATGGCTGTCTAGTCAAACTCAAACAGTATTAAATATCCTAAACAGCATGAGGTATTAGGTAATGGACTGGAACTTTAATTATCAGAGCTGCCGACGCTGAGAGCTAGTTTACCATATGAAATTTTGTTGCGTGATAGGTCAGTTACACATTTGAGTACAAGGTGTATGTGTATACAAATATTTATTAAAAAAAAGTATTCGGATGTCAGCAACTTCTACAATTTTATTGATCTCAGAAAATCAGTTGATAAACTTGTTCTTGAATGGACCATTGCAAAAAAAATTGAAAATTGAGAACAAAAAAATGATAATAATAATAAGTATACAGACAAACTTGATAAGTTGACTTGACAAAATGTAAGTGCAAAATTTTATGCTGTAATGAGAGTGGATGTAACAGTTGTCTTTTTAAAGTCTATGTGACTTGCATATGTTCATAAGTAGCAAAGATACCTTTGCAAGAACTATATTTCCTACAAGCTTAAAGAAACAAAATTGGTAAAAAAAGTTCTTTATAAATAAGATTAGTTAATGTATCAGAGACATTGGTTAACAAGATATTCGGGTAGAAAAGAATCAGACTCTAAAATACCAGGCACAAATAGTGACGATATAGGTAAATGCTAAAATATCACTAGTATTTTTGTCAATTTTTGTTGAAACTGTGAATTAAAAAAAATAGTATAACTGTTTTATTAAGATTAATAAACATAATTTAAGCACTTATTTTCTCTTTTAACAGTAGAATTTCAAACAACAATAGATGATTAAAACATTGGCAATGAAAATGCAAATAATTTAGAAAAAGCTGACTTCAGTTTGAAAAAAAATTACATAGATATTACCAAGGTTTATCAAGGAGCCATTAGGTACCTAATAGAGCTACAGCAGCCATAGCTACTGTTGCTTTAGCTTCTGCAAAAAATGCAAATTAAAAAAAAAAATACTGATATTCTCATTGATCACAACAAAATAAAAAAAAGTAAGTTAATGAAAGTAATCCGAGGTAGAGATGATATTCAATGTATTTTTTTTGATGGGCAAAAAAGATTAAACTAAGTACACGAGAGAAGAAAAAGATGGAAAACTATATCCATCAGGAAAAAAGAACATTTAGTTTGCTTTAAACTAATCTAATTTTACTAATAATTCTAAAGAAAGAGTAGAAAGTGCAGTTAAGCAAATAGCTGATAATCTTTACGAATGGATTATGGATCATGATGTTGGAGACTCTTTAGTTGCTATTGGTGTGGGAAAATTTAAACACTGATTGGAAAGGAGGTGTTATCGACTACTTTGAACATAAATTGGATTAAAAACTAATGTGGATAATATGTGCTCTTCATACAAATGAACTAACTCTTTAAAAATCGTATGATTCAGCTTGACGGAAAAACTGCATCAAAAAATAACTTTTCTGGTTCTATTGGAAAACTTATAGGTAAGGTTACTAGCTTCAAAGTTAAAGATAGCATAATAAAAATTGAACTTCCTAATGCAATTATAGAACTTGACTATGAAGTTGTAAAATCGCTGTCAGATGATCAAAAGTATCTTTATGAAATTACCCATACAATTAATGCTGTTTTTTTTCTGGAAAATCCTAAAGATAAAGAAATTGGGCCATATTTGCATATAGAATGGTTGAAAATGGAATGGTCGGCAAATAGAATATGTCTACTTTGGTGCTCAGAAATAGTACTTTCAGTTGAAGAAACATATAATCTTCAACTTCTGGTGGGGTTCATTATTGGAGTTTATGTGCCACTTTGTTTTGAAATCAAAGTAAAGTTGAAGTGGGCTAAAAGACCTAACCAAGCAATTAAAACTTCTTTGTCATCTAAGATTAAAGTTAAAGACATTGTAATGCCCTTTGAAAGATCTGAAAGAAGTCACAAGAGCAAATATAAATTTAAATATAAATAATATAAATTGTAAATAATTTATATTATTTATATTTAAATTTTATTAGTTGTTTTCTAATTTTTGCCCTCTCTAGGCAATATAAATTTTTTTAGTTGTTTTCTTTTGCTCTGAGATATTATTACTATGATCACAGTAAATAAACATTAAATATTGTATCTTTTTCATAATATTTTATTAAGGACCAATAAATTTTTAACCCTTCAGATAGTTTGTGAATTATTGTCGGAACTATATCATTTATAATTTATAGAGCAAATAAGTTTTTTTCCTCTTTTAATATTCTAGAGCAAACATGGTATACTTGCATATATTTATTTTTGTATGACTTTATAAAGAGTAATATCCAAAATTGTTTTATTTTAATGTCTAGTTGTTTTTTAATGATTACATCGCCATATCACATGACCACCATAGGCTTACAAAAAAATAGCAGAAAAGTGCTAATTCTATGCATTTTTAGTAAAACTAATATTTTTCAAATGCCCTGGGGTTTCACAAAACAAACTTTTTCAGAAAAAAAAATTATTTGTGTTTCTTCCAATAACATATTACATAACTAAAATATTATGCACACTACCATTTCTAACATTTATATTTTTATACTTTATTATGAAATCCATATTGGTAGACAATTTTTCTTATGTATAACGTGTGTGTATGGCATTAAGAAAGGTAGCACCAAATATTATTTTTTATACATATATTATGTTTAATTGTTTTTTGATAATTACATTACCTTATGCTAATAAAAACAGGGTCAAAAAATGCCAATTTGATGAGTTTTTAATAAATTTTTTAATAAAAAAAAATTATTCAAGTCTCTTCTAATATCCTAATACAAAAAACTTTTTTTGCGTATGCTCCCATATTCAAAATTTAAAAAGTATGACCCACCCTAATATAAATGAATATACAGCGTGGAAAATAACAGCCTGTCAATGGTCGATGGCTGCCTAAAATGACAAAAATTTCTATTTTGACCTCCTAAAATGAACTCTTGCCAGTCATGATTGTCCGGTTAAAAAAAATTAAAGTTTTGCAAGGGTTGAATTAAGCGATTGCGATTTGCAGCATATATGGTTTCAAAATTTTAGTTTATGCAAAACCATGTACTTTGTTTTCAAGGGGCAAACTTAAATTTGTTAGCCAAAAAGTTATAAAACATAAAACAAAACAAACTTACAACTACAAAAATAATAACCACTAATAACCAATAATAAGCCACTAATTGCATTATAAAAGTAATAAAATTATAATAGTGTTATTGCTTTTATAATACACTTATAACTTTTATAATTCATTCTTTGTTTAAACAACATTAAAAACGTTAGGAACTTATTATTTAATAAAAACTTTAGGAACTTAAACTAATATGTAATCGAATGAAAATTTAAAATATGAAATGATAAATTTTTTATAAAGTTTATTATTTCAAAAAATGTTACTGAGGTCAGTAAAAATGTGCCAAATTTTTAAAATCGACCAATAAAAATTTTTTATTGGTTACTTTTAAAATTAACACCTTTTTTTACGGACCATTAGTAAAATTTTAGAAATGCTAAATGATTCTTATAGCACGTATTTGTTTCACTTCCTAAAGTTTTTAGTATTATTTGAATAAACACTATGTTTTTTCTAGGTGCTTTTCTACTTCAATTAAAATTTGGGATTACTTATGTTGTATGAACAAAGAGTGAATTATTAAAGTTATAAGTGTGTTATAAAATTTTATAAGTAGTGTTATTACTTTTCTAGTTGTAAGTTTATTGTTTTGATTGGTTTTTATACCTAATTTGCTAACAAATTTAAGCTAGTTTGCTTCATGAAAACAAAGTATACAGCTTTACATAAATTAAAATTTTGAAGACCAGATATTTTTACAGATATCGCAAATCCAGATCGCTTAATTTAACCCATGTTTTAAAAAACAAGATTTAACAAATAATCAGGATGTTATTTGGAAAATGCATATACTAAAAATTCATAAAATCATTTAAATTTTCAAAATAGTTTTATTGATAATAACATGCTACTTTAATTGCTACTGGGTCATTGAAGTGGAAAGTTTAAAGAAAAGATGTTAAAGTGAAAATGTTTTTTTTTTTTTCCAATACTGCCTGGTTTTTAAAACATTGCAATTAATTAAACTTTTATCTAATAACTATTGCATGCTATTAGAAACAAGGGATTTTTTCCCTTTAACAACCCTGAACCCATAAATTTGCTTCATTGATGAGTATATAATGCATGATGTAAATTATATTAAGCTTTTTTGTTTCACTTATTTAAATTACTTGCATTTTACCAATACTGATAATCCTTTTTTTCATAAATGAAATTCTTATTTTACTATTATTTTAATTAAATTTAGATTAATTTTCTAAAAAAATTTTTGTATTAATAAAATTTAGAATGCCGCTCCACACTGTTACAAAATGATAGAAACATCACGATTTCTTCCTGTGCAGTACAGAATTGTGGTTCAGAAGGTTTTGAAGCGCAATAACTATCCAGCTCATATTGAGAGCATAATTCTTGCTATGTTGAAAGACAACCGTCAAGTAATTCAAAGACTTGCTCTTAAAGAATTCTACATGCACGAGAAGATGATATACCAAATTGTAAATTCCAAATCCCTGAAATTAGACTTCAAGCAATAAGCTATGAACAGCTGATTGATTGGCAAACTATTCCCTGCTTGGAACCCGTTTTGACAAAACACATTTCTACTGAACAAATATTGGCCTGGCTTTAGTCAGATGATAATGCCACAATCAAAGTGTTGAATTAAAATTGTCACTGAATCTGCATCTTTATGATCGTTATGCCTATATTCGCGTTCTTTTCGAGCACCGAAAATTAATGCCACCTTTTGATACCAAGTTTGAATTCAAACAGATTTAACTAAAATATTGTAACTGTTGTTAATTGATAATATAAAAACCATTCATTATTAACATAACTTGTTTTTCTAATAGTATTAAGTGTTCAATAAATAAATGATGTACTAAATATTCAATAAATGATTTATTACAAAATGGCATTTTTAAGTAATTTTCAAAGACAGAAACGCAAAGTATAGCAAAGTAATAGAGAAAAATAGTTTGCAGCAATAGATTCAGTATATTTCTGTACCTCGGAGGGATACAACACTATGTCTATTTTCACAACTTTACAGGAGAGGAGTTTTAAACTTTTTTTCAACAAAAAGTGTTAAATAAAAGTGGACTTGGTGTTGTTTTAAAACATGCTATATCCGGTTCTAACTGGTTTTGGACATAGTGCTCTACTCCTCTAAGAAATATGAGAAAAGCTGATTTTAACTCTTTAATAAATTCAATATGGAAAAAAATGGACATAGTGTTGTATCCCTCCGAGGTACCGATTTGAGAACCACAAATGCATATTTTCTAAGGAATTGATCAAAATTTTTGAAGTTATAACCCGGCCTAATACATACATATATATATATATATATATATATATATATATATATATATATATATATATGTGTGTGTGTATATATGTATATATATATATATATATATATATATATATATATATATATATATATGTATATATGTATATATGTATATATACATATATATACATATATATACATATATATACATATATATATATATATATATATATATATATATATATATATATATATATATATATATATATATATATATATATATATATATATATATATATATATATATATATATATATATGTATATATATATATATATATATATATATATATATATATATATATATATACTCTCGAGCACTCAATAGAAGTGGGTGGGGTGGATGTTTATTAATTAATTTTTAAAAAATTTTCCCATCCACCCTAACCCCTGTTTATTAATTTTTACTTGTTATCAACAAAAAAATTATTTCTCAAAACTAAAAATAAAAAAATTTGAGAGAAAATCAGCCTTAAGAATTATAAAACATACAAGTAACTGATATAAATTGAAACTTTGAGTGTAAATTGGGACCCCCCATTTTTTAGATCTGGACTAAAATTCCCACCTACCCCTTTATTCCTATCCCCTCCCACTCCTATTCCCCCTCCCTTGTATTAAGGACTAGAGAGTAAGAGAATATTGTTTCATCCTCTAGGACTCTTCAGTCATTCAATGATTAATATGGGACTAGATCTTAGCAATAAAACTAGAAAACTGTTTTGTTGTGCACAAACTAGAGAGTAATGGGCAAACAGCAATGACACATCCCATAAGGAGAGAACTTAACAAAACTACAAGTTAAGGAGCTATATCCAACATTAGACAATACTTTTTTACAACACAAACATAATTACATGAACAAAACAAAAGCATACACAATAAAACACAAACATAATTACATACATAAAGTGACTTCCGAGTGGATCAGCACCGCCCCAAAGGTCAAGACAGAACACAAAAATACATGAACGAAACAAAAGCATACACAACAAAATACAAACATAATTACATACTCTCGAGTCCTTAATAAAGTGGAGGGAGAGGGGGACATTTATTAAATTTTGGAAAATTTTCCCACCCACCCCAAGCTTATTAAGACCCCATCCCCTTGTTTATTAATTTTCACTTGTTGTCAGCAAAAACTTTTTATCTCAAAACTAAAAAAAAAAAAAAAAAAATCAGTGAAAATCAGTCTTAAAAATTAGAAAATAATTCTTTCAGTCACTGATAAAAACAATGTAAAAATTGCTGACCTAGTAAATCTCAATTTACTGAAAATGAGCTTCTGGTTTATTTCTCACCAAAGTATGAAACTTATATCAACATAGTAAATCCTATTGAAATTATGATCAAACAGCTGTTCAAAAATGCGCATTTAACTGCAAGCCATGCTAGAACTAAATAGTTTTTAGCATCTTTTGTAAAAAATATTAGATTAGATATATAAATTGAACTTTTTTATAAAAAATACTTATTTTGTAAAATAAACCCCCCCCCCCACTTCCTTTTACTAATAAAACCCCCTCCCTCCTCCTCTTCTGGATCTAAACTAAGATATGGACTAAAATTCCGACCCCTCCTTTTATTCCCCCCTTCCTTTCTATTAAGGACTTGAGAGTTAAACCTTTGTAGTTGATTTCTATCTAGTTAATTTAATTTCTTCAGTAACACAATGATTTAATTATTTCATTTGTTTAAGAAGAATTGTTTCAAATATGTTAATCTTTTCATACTAAGCGAAGCAAAAAATAGTTATTAAAAAAAATTAACTTTTTATTTATAAAATAAAAAAAATAGCTTAAATAAAACTAAAACTAACGTTAGTTTTATTAGAATCTTGTTGGACTTATCGGGACCGGGAGCTATTTTTATTTAGGAGGCATTTTTTATGAACCACAGCGTAAAAATATCTTCTTGACTATTTCGGGGCCCCTAACATTGTGAAGCCAGTGGCTATAGCCCCATCTAACCCCACACCTCCTTGATTCAGTTCTGGAAATAAGACACAAATATATATATATATATATATATATATATATATATATATATATATATATATATATATATATATATATATATATATATATATATATATATATACTGGAAATAAGACACGAGTATATAAATAAAAATTATATTATACTCTTTGATAAATAAAAGAACATTTGTTTTATTATTAAGCAATCATAAGATGTTACTTTATATAAAAAAATGTTGCTTTATTTTATATAAAAATTATAAAAGAGTAATGTTTCGAAAATATTTGTTCTAAACATAATTTATTTTGCTTTAAGTTTTTTCGCATTAAAAGTTAATTTTTTATCCTAGCTTGTTCTTGTTTTTTTTTGTAATTGTCTCTTATCGGTCTAGTTAATCTTTTTACATTTTTTTGTTTTGTTTTTTGAAATGTTCTCAAAACGAATAAAAAATCTAGCCAGTTTTTTGCATCTAAATAGTGATTGCTCTCGCTTCTCTAGTGATTGCTCTCTTTTCCTAAAATAGCCCCTGTACAGGGGCTATTTTAGGAAAAATATTTTGACATCGGTACCGCCTCTCCCTGTTCCGGAGAAATTTAGCGTAAAAAAACAATATTTGAAAAAAAAGGCCCTCAAATTTTAATTTGGGTGGCACCCAAATACGGTTGAAATACGCTGTCAATAACTGCCAAAATTTAGCAAAATATATAACAAACTCCCTACCCCTGCTTCTCAAAATAAATTCAACTTACATTTAACTTTTTCATCAACAGTGCCTTTAGTTATTAGAACCAATATTAACATGACATCTCGATAACTTATACCCTTTGATGTACCACCACAAACCAGGTAAATCTGCTGTAAATAAAATAAAATAAAAATAAGAATCAAAATGAAGTAAATATCTTGTTAAAAATTATATAAAATACAAATTATAAAAATTTGACTAGGGTGTTTTAACCTAAATGTTGGGACATTGATGCAAAAAGTGTTAACTTCTACTCGTGATATTTCGGAGTTTAAATATCTTTAGTTTTGCAACTTAACTTTTGTTTCTACTTCTAGCATATATTAGTAAAATGTATCAAAAAATCAATATTTACAAAAATAATTTATATTAAAATAAATTTATATAGCCTTTACTTGCTCAACAAATTAAATTAGTTTTTTAATGAAAAATATTGCTTCAAAATACTGTTCTGATTTGTTAAAACTAAATCATTGCTTTTAACATTATTATATCTTGTTATTATCATATTTATATATTATTATATCTTGTTTTTAGTAAATATTAAAAAAATAATAACAGCATTATCAAGCCTTCCCAGGAAAGGCGTGCAGTTTTTCGTCTGGTACGACCATGAAAACGCTTTTCAAGTTAGAGAACGTGATCACAGCCGTTTGCGCAAGTTATATTATATGCGTTGCTGAAAAATTGTTTTAAATTTAATAACTACATAAGAAATTAAAGTAAACTTAAATAGAAAACAATAATAATAGTTTAAATAATTTGTGTGTTGTTTTTATTTTTGTTTTTTCTTAGTGGTTATTATTATCGGCAACAAAGTTCATTAAGTCAAAACAAAAACAAACAAAAAAATAGTTTTAAGCGTTAAAAAAGATGACTTTCCCACATTTTATGTGTTTTTTCTTTTAAAGACGAAAGAGAAAATATGTATCGTCATTTGTTTGTAAAATATATTTGTATAATTATAATGTAACAAGTTTATACCAAGAGTTAAATTATACGATCGCGTTTGCAAACTCTGGTAAAATATTAGGTCTTTAAAATTTTAGTTCATGCAAAGCTGTGTACTTTGTTTATAACGAGCAAATTATTAAAAGTTTGCTTGCGAGAAAGTTACAAAAAACACAACAAAAACAATAAACTTACGATTACAAAAGTATTAACACTCTAGTCACTAACTGCATTATAAAAGTAATTAAACTACAATAGTGTTATTACATTTATAAAGCACTTATTACTTTTAAAGTTCATTCTTTGTTCAAACAACATTATTAATTCCAAACATTTATTAAAGTAGAAAAGCATCTAGAAAAAATAAGGCAGATAATCAAATTTTATTAAAAATTTCAGGAACTTTCACATATCACTTAAACAACGTTATAAAAAAGTACTTTATAAAAAGTATAGCATTATGAAAAACGTTACGTAAAAACGTGTGTAAATATTTTAAAATCAACCAATAAAAAATTTTTATTGGTTAATTTTAAAATTAAAGCGCATTTTTACGGTCCATTAGTAACATTTTTCATAATGCTAAACTTTTAATACGATACCCTTTCATAAAGTTGTTTGTCACATTTTTATAAGTTACTTTAGTTTTAATATTATTTAAACATCCACTTTATTCTTCTAGATATTTTTCTACTTCAATTAAAATTTGGGAATACTTATGTTGCTTGAACAAAAAATGAATTTTAAAAGTTATAAGTGCGTTATAAAAGTAATAACACTATTATAGAGTTATTACTTTTGTAATGCAGTTAGTGACTAGAGTGTTATTACTTTTGTAATCGTAAGTTTGTTTTATTTTTTATTTTTTTGCTAACAAATTTAAGTTGATTCTCCCCTTAAAAACAAGGAACACGGTTTTGTATAAACTAAAATTTTGAATACTAGATATTTTTCCAGATTTTGCGTTTTGCATTCGCTTAATTCAACCCTTGTTGTTACATTAAAATTATACAAATAAATTTTACAAACACATTGCAACTTGCATTATTTTTGCTATCCTCTTAAAAAAAAATTAAGAAAAGGAAAATCATTCTTTTTATTGCAGACTTCAAACTGTTTTTTTTTTGCTTCGCATTATCTAATTTATTGCTGAATGTAACTCTAAATAAAAAATATAAACAGTACACAAATTATTTAAATTATTAATTTGTTTTTATTTTTTTCTATTTCAATCTCTTTTTATTTTGTTAGTTTTGTTTTTTTTTGTTTTTGAAACTTTTTCAGCATTATAATAAAACTTGCAAACGGCCGTGTTCACGTTTTCTAAAATAATATAATCGCGTGTGGTCATACGAGACGAAAAACCGCACGCCTTTCCTGGTCAGGCTTGACATTATTGTAAAAAATAAATTCTAAACAGCAGCATTCATCTACCATTTTTTATGTAGATGAAAAATGATTCTATTTGACAGAAACCTGAACCCCATTGACAAGTAAAAATAACAAATTATGTTTACTAAAAAATTGTTACAACTAAATTTATGTTCATAGTTGTTATTGCATAACCTAGATTTGACCAATTTAAAAATGAATGGCTTGATAGAAATATTAACACCTGGTTTTTTGTGAAGCAAAAAGAAACAGTAAGAGTCAAACTAAAAGTAACTTAAATAATATTATATTAGTCTAACTCCAACTGCTATGAGTTTAAAAAATACTCAACCTTATTTTAGAGCATTAATTTATCTCTACAAGAATATTGCTGTAGATAATGTGCATGGATATGTATTAAAACAATGCACATCCAGTTTTTCAAAACCGTTAAGTATTCTGTTTAATATACCGTTCAATAATTCTAATCTGCCTGATATTTAAAAAGCTTCAAATGTAACCCTGTTATTTGAGAAGGGTAGTAGATTGATTGCAGAAAATTATGAACCTGTATCTTTAACCTCTACTGTATGTAATATCATGGAATCCATTATAAAAGACTGAATACTTAACTTTTTAGATGGTGAAAAGTAAATCAGAATCAACATGGTCTTTTGAAACATAAATCATGTGTCACTAATTTAGTAGAATCTATGGACTTGATTACATATTATTTATCCCAAAATTTGTTTGTGGATATTATTTTTTTAGATTTCGCTGAGGCCTTCGACTCAGTATCATATCAGAGATTATTGTTAAAATTATCAGCTTATGGTATAAAAGGCAAATTATTGAAGTTTATTGCAGATTTTTTACATTTACATAAACAACATATTCTTATGGGTGGTTTTATATCAGGTTGGGTGATGGTCTTGTGTGGTGTTCTACAAGGTGCTGTGCTCAGGCCAATTATATTTATCATTTACATTAACGAATTGAATAAGATCATCTCAAATAATTCAAAACTCTATGTTGATGATTCAAAAATAATAGCTGAAGTAAAAAATTTGACACAATGTTTATTATTACAAGGCGATATTAATAATGTTTTAAACGGTGTAAAGACTGGTTAATCAACTTAAATGTCAACAAATGAAAAGTTATGCACATTGGCAAACAGAATTTAATGTACAATTATAGTATAAATAAAGTAAATGGTAACTTGTCTTAGAATCGTTGAATGAAGAAAGAGACTTAGGAATAACAATAAGATCGAATTTAAAATGAAAAACGCAAGAGTTAAACACATGTAATAAAGCAAATGCCATAATTGGTCTGATAAAAAGAACATTTAGCATAATAAATGTACAAATGATAGAAATTTTGTATAAATCATATATAGGACCACATTTAGAATATGTAAGAGTAATACACCTATCTGACAGGAGGTATAGAAAGGCTGGAAAGAATTCAATGCAAAGTAACAAAAATCCCTTCAGAACTAAAACATTTATCATACAAAGAATGCCTTAAATGTTTGAATTTAACCAAGTTTAGATTTAAGATGACAGCATGGAGACTTAATCCAAATGTATAAAATTATTTATGGGTATGAGAAAATTCAATGGTCAAATTTTACATTATTGATAAACCTGGGATTCATACACATAAGCAAGGGTATAAATTGAATATTGAAGTAATAAAAAATTGTCCAGGAAGATTTAATTTTTTTTTAACATAGCTGCAAAATTGTGGAACACCTTAAAAACCAAAGATACTAATGCAATATCATCAAATTCATTTAAGGCTATTTTATTGTCCAGATATGATTACTAATGTTTACATTCACAATGGTGTTGTAGCCAGCGACGTTAACAATTAAATGCTTGTTTGGTGTTTTGTGGTTGTACGACTCAAGAAGCGGCTTTGTTTGTATGGTTATGTTTATAGTAACGGCTTTGTTTGTATGGTTATGTTTATAGTAACCTAGTGATAGGTTCTGCTGGGATACATTATCTTTGTTTTCACAATGATAAATTATTATATTATATTATTATACTGCATTACATAATGCTTTTAAATAAAGTATTAATTTCACAAAAATGATGCCCTTGGA